TCGGGTTGCTCTCTGACGGCCTCTCTTCTCCCCTCCGCTCCCAGGCGCCTGAACAACAATGAATTCACCGTGCTGGAGGCGACGGGCATCTTTAAGAAGCTGCCTCAGCTGAGGAAGATGTGAGTGGGACGTGAAGCGGAGGAAGGCGCCGTGCGTCACCAGGCTGACGAGTCCATTACGTCTCTGCTCTTTTTCTCACTCCCGCAGTAACCTGAGCAACAACCGCATCAGCGACATAGAGGAGGGGTCCTTCGAAGGAGCCTCGGGGGTCAACGAGCTGATTCTCACCTCCAACCGGCTGGAGAACGTCCACCACCGCATGCTGAAGGGACTCAGCGGGCTGCGCACGCTGTGGGTACACTGTGTCCACGGATGCATTTAAGATGTGCAGGATTATATTATGTGTGTGTTACATATGATTGTTTGTGCCTGTGTGTGTGTGTGTGAGCAGAATGCTGAGGAGCAACCGTATCAGCTGTGTGAGTAACAGCAGCTTCGTGGGTTTGAGCTCCGTGCGTCTCCTGTCGCTCTACGACAACCAGATCACCTCCATGAACCCCGGAGCCTTCGACACGCTGCACTCCCTGTCCACACTGTGAGCACACACACACGTTACTAATGGAGATGTACAAAAGAAATGCAAAAAGTCAACCGTCCATCTCGTCCCTTGTTTCTGCAGAAACCTTCTGGCCAACCCCTTCAACTGTAACTGTCACCTGGCTTGGCTCGGAGACTGGCTGAGGAGGAAGCGCATCGTCACCGGCAACCCTCGCTGCCAGAGCCCGTACTTCCTGAAGGAGATCCCCATCCAGGATGTAGCCGTCCAGGACTTTGCCTGTGAAGACGGTGAGACGGAGCCGATTGAAACTTTCCTTCTGCAACGTCAGCAGCCGTGACTTCCTTCTGTTTTTTAACGCCCACCTTGTCTGTCCAGGTAACGACGACAACAGCTGCTCACCGGTGCTGAGGTGTCCGGCCGAGTGTTCCTGTCTGGACACCGTGGTGCGCTGCAGCAACAAGGGCCTCACCACGCTGCCCAAAGGCCTCCCCAAAGAGACCACCGAGCTGTGAGTGAGACACCGGCCTTTGACCACCACAGTATGACACAGTGTACCACATGGTGTACCATACGGTGTATTACACAATGTACCACACGGTGTACCACATGGTGTACCATACGGTGTATTACACGATGTACCACACGGTGTACCGTACGGTGTATCACACGGTGTACCATACGGTGTATTACACGATGTACCACACAGTGTACCACATGGTGTACCATACGGTGTATTACACGATGTACCACACGGTGTACCACATGGTGTAGCATACGGTGTATTACACGATGTACCACACGGTGTACCACATGATGTACCGTACGGTGTATTACACGATGTACCACACGGTGTACCGTACGGTGTATTACACGATGTACCACACAGTGTACCACATGGTGTACCATACGGTGTATTACACGATGTACCACACGGTGTACCACATGGTGTACCGTACGGTGTATTACACGATGTACCACACAGTGTACCACATGGTGTACCATACGGTGTATTACACGATGTACCACACGGTGTACCACATGGTGTACCGTACGGTGTATTACACGATGTACCACACGGTGTACCATACGGTGTATCACACGGTGTATCACACGGTGTACCGTACGGTGTATCACACGGTGTATCATACGGTGTACCATACGGTGTATCACACGGTGTATCATACGGTGTACCACATGGTGTACCACACGGTGTACCATACGGTGTACCACACGGTGTATCACATGGTGTACCACACGGTGTACCACACGGTGTATTACACGGTGTACCACACGGGGTATTACACCGTGTACCACACGGTGTATCACACGGTGTAGTACACAGTGTACCACGCAGTGTACCACACGGTGTACCACACAGTGTATTACACGGTGTACCACACGGGGTATTACACGGTGTACCACGCAGTGTACCACACGGTGTACCACACAGTTTAATACAACCAGACATTCGTGGTTAAATCATCTTCTTTCCCGTTCTCTCCTGCATTATATATTTCATATTTCTCTCTCCTTTGTCTCTCAGGTATCTGGACGGTAACCACTTCACTCAGGTTCCCGCCGAGCTCTCCGATTACAAACACTTAACGCTCATGTAAGTCGCCCGCAGCGCCTCAAACTGAAAAGAAGCGTTTCGCTCAGTCGACCCGACACCGGAGACCACGATTAACCGGCTGTTATTGTTCCAGAGCTCTGCGTGTGTCACTTTCATGTGAATGGATTTGGATTTGGCGTGTGGGCGTGACACTGTGATGCACATGGTTTGTGTGCGTGCATTTGTCTACGCCTGAGTGGACAGTGCGGCCTGTGTGTGTTTCATGTATCTGCTATTGCTTCTTTTTCAGTGATTTGAGTAACAACCAGATCAGCACGTTGTCCAACCACAGCCTCAGTAACATGTCCGAGCTGCTTACTCTGTGAGTCTGGCTTTACATCAGTCCTTGGGAGGGCGTGTGTGTGTGTGCGTGTGTGTGTGTGTGTGTGCGTGTGTGTGTGTGTGTGTGTGTGTGTGTGTGTGTGTGTGTGTGTGTGTGTGTGTGTGTGTGTGTATTCCACAAATATTCAGGGAGAAGATGCCTTTGACAAAAGAAAAGCAAACAAAAAGTTCATTTTTCTAGTCATATATTTTGTAATAGAGTCATGCATGAACCACAAAGCAACAAGGTCAAGGTGTCGGTATAAATAGTTGAAAATATTGTCCCCACTGCCCATAACTCACCATCAAAAAATGGATGGGTAAATAATTAAAGTACTTTGTACAAATTGAAAAAGTAAAGGAGTTTTGCTTTTTGCAACCAAAAGTAATACAACAGGGTGCAGCTTAGAGCAATCGAACTCTGAATAAGACATTGTTAGGCAAACAGTGTTAGAATTCTAAGGGCAAAACACACGTTGCCAAGGGAGACACCTGTCAATCACAGTAGCCCCACCCTAAAGCATACCCGCCGAAATAAACATCATGCTGTACTGAAGACTTGAAACTAGAGATTGAGACTATAAACCCCAAAGAATAGGCACGGATTTCCCCGTAGGCATCTAATTGTGAAGTTTTTTCTTTGCAAAAGCCCAAATACGCAATATTGCATTTAAAGGTGCAACGTGTAAGATCTGGACAAAAAAAATCAACTGAATTTGAAGACAGTTGACGTTAAGTCAGAGACATCCATGTGTTTTGTTGTAGAGAGATTGAATGAAATGATTCTGCTCAGCAGCTAGCGTGTGTGACACACACAGCGAATCAATGATTGAGTTACTGCAACCACAAGATTTCCTTCAGCCTGCAGCCTCAATATGTTGCACGGTATGTGAGATTAGCCGTGGCCGACACACAGATGTTCTCATTGGCTTCTATACGATCTGACTACTTATTACAAGCAGAGGAGTCGCTACCTGGAGAGCAGTTAAAGGCCTTTTCTTATTGGTCTCCCTTTTCACAGCCCGAGGTTGGAGGTTGACCTTTTATTTGCAACATGAGAACACGTTTGGTTTCCAGACTGACAGACTTCTGTTAAATACGGTCTATGGTCGTGTTACTGTACATTCAATTTACACAGAAACGGAATAAAAAGAAATATAATTCTTACTTTGAGTGCGAGATGTTTGCATTGGTTCTTGTGAGACGTGTGTCCGACTGTGTGTGTGTGTGTGTGTGATGCATGTATGCTGCAACGTGTGATAAATTGCCCCTGACTGTGTGTGTGTGTGTTTGCTCTGTTGCTCTGCTCAATGGTTTGTAGTTACAAACTAGATGGTGCTCTGTTGCGTTCTATAAGTCTGCACCTGTCGCCGTGCCAACATGTTTATTGTGTGTGTAAAGAATCCTGAGCTATAACCGGCTGCGGTGCATCCCGGTGAGGGCGTTCGATGGGCTCAAGTCGCTGCGTCTGCTGTGAGTATTCAGCGTGACTCTCCTCTTCATCTCTGTGACCGTCTTCCTCGCTCATCCTCTTCCTCTTGCCCCCTGTCGCAGGTCTCTCCACGGCAATGACATATCACTGATTCCAGAGGGCGCCTTCAAAGACCTGTCGGCCCTCTCCCACCTGTGAGTAATACACACACACGCGTATTTATTTACTTGTGTTCGTATCTTTGCTAAATAAGGAATTGATTTGCCGAAAAAGCAGCCGGGAACAATTCAATGTCCTCACGCTTCCCCGTTACCGACGTTTATCAAGCCCTCGTCGACCAGTTTGCTCAGATCCGCTTTTTTTTTGAGGGAGCAATGATGATGTGCCACGTACCCCATGTTATAGAATGATTAGAGCCATCGAAGCCATCAGCAGAGTCGGGCCCTGAATGCGGCGCTGGCGAGAGGACGAGGAGGATTTAAGAACCACAGGCTGCAGATAAACGAGCCAATCGCTGCGCAGCACCATTAAGGCTGATGATGCTAATGAGCTTCCTTTCCTCGCCCTGGATCAATGCTCCAGCAAACGTGGTTCATGCACTGCCACCAGAACGAGACACGGCCCACCGCGGTCATTTTATAGTGGAGATATGGCACAACACAAACCGACCGGGACGCACAACCAAGTCCGGAGGTCATTCAGACTCCTCTCGTTCCGCCGTGTCCTCCCTGAGTGAACATTGTTCTGTGTCCCCCCCCCCCCCGGCTGGCAGGGCGCTGGGGGCCAACCCGCTGCACTGTGACTGCCACATGCAGTGGCTGTCCGACTGGGTGAAGAGCGGCTACAAGGAGCCCGGCATCGCCCGCTGCGCCGGGCCCGGCGACATGACCGACAAGCTGCTGCTCACCACGCCGTCCAAGAAGTTCACCTGCACAGGTAAAAGACACGGCGGCAAGGCGGCGAATGCGCTGGACTCCCAGAGGAGTTAAAAAGTAAATTGTAGAAAAGTTGTTTGGGGTTTTTCTTTATTTGTGGTGCTGCATTTTTTTTAGTTATTACATCATTTTTATAAAACGATGTCAGGGTTGTTTTCACTGGTCGACACCCAAACTTTAGTGTATTATATTCAACACCTCAAGGTCCTACAAGCGGCTCGTAGCTGTAACTCATCATACTGCAACGTGCGAACCTCATTACATCATATTAACTCTAATCTTTGACCTAATCTAACTGACTGCACTGTAGAAGTCCCCGGGGCCTTGTGGTTTCCTGGTGCCAGGTAAAGTAGCCGAATGCGTCCCCGTCCTCAGTCCCCCCCCCCCTCTCCTCCCCCAGCTCCTCCCGAGACAGTTCTCCTCGTCCACCTGAGCCCCGGCCGACCCGCTCGTCCTCCCACTCAGCCCTGAATGTTCCCCCCGTTGTTATAGTTTGACTTTCCGTCATGGACGTGTGTCCCCTGTGCATGTCATGGCCCTGCAAAGAATATCACATGTTGTAATTTAGTTTATACACAATTATTATTATTATAATTATATTATATGTATACCTTATGTTATAGTTTTTAATTCAATTGATTTTATTTCATGTACCCCAAAAAAGCACAAATTAAAAAGCCTCACAGGGCTTCAACATCTGTAGACATGTGACATCCACTGTCCCAAAACCATCACATCGCCACAGGAAAAACTCACAATTAACAGTCTCTCAATCTCCCAGGATGGACGGAACACAAAGGATGTCGCGTGTACCGAATGAACAACGTGAAACGTGTGCACACTGCGTTGCACAGCGCAGGCAATATCTCTTTATTGTCCTACAAGTCAGACTATTTTTCTCATGAAGCCATATTTCGCAATCGCTATTTCTAAAATGTCAAAGAAAGCGAGCACCTTTTGTCGTGCGGCATTTAGAAAGCTGACTTGTGGTTTCGTGCAGGCCCCCGAGGATGCACATGCATCTGTGTGTACGTCTCCCCCTTTGTTGGGACTCGTCTTACTCCCCCCAAGTGCAGAGCCTTGTGTGAAGCTATTCCCCTCTTTTGTGTGTGTGTGTGTGTGTGTGCGTGTGCGTCGTGCAGGTCCAGTAGACGTGAGCATCCAGGCCAAGTGCGAGCCCTGTCTGTCCAACCCCTGCAGAAACGACGGCACCTGCTCCAACGACCCGGTGCACTACTACCGCTGCAGCTGCCCCTACGGGTTCAAGGTGACGCACCCGGGGGGGGGGCTCAGGGGGGCCGCCGTTCGCTCGCAGATGCTCTCTCTTTGCTCAGCGTTTGTGTTTGTGCGCGTGCAGGGACAGAACTGCGAGGAGCCCATCCACGCCTGCATCGGTAACCCGTGCCAGAACGGCGGCACCTGCCACCTGAAGGAGGGAGGAGGGGGCAACTTTTGGTGAGATTTCGATCTTCGTGCTTCTGTGTCACAGAGGTGTCTTCGTGTCAGATCACTTGTGCGCTGCTGAACTTCGGGGGAAATGAAAGCGAGAATCCAGTGTTTCGTAGTTTTCCCCCCGTGTCCGTGACCCACTCCGCTTCCCTGGGGGCTTCGGGGGGGTTTCACCCTTCTTTCCTTACATCCGACACTCGTGACTCCCGCAAGTATAAGAAAGTATGATGCAAAATAACCACAATGCCCCTTTTTAACCTTTGAACTGTCAGCAGAGCGGCCTATTTTAATGCCACGACGAGGTCGATATCACCTTCTGCATTTATTGTCCGCTGCACTGTGAAACGTTATATTCACAAGTTATTTACGGGGGAGTCGGGAAACGGCTGACCTTCATTCTCTGCTCGTTCTAACTGACTGATCAGCCAATAAAGGAAATGATTTCTCAGGGCTTCGCTGCGTCGTCGGTTCTTATCATAACTGATCCAAAGTATAGACACGGCTTCCAGAAGAAAAGAAGAATATAGACGATAAAACGCATTATTTTATGTGCACCAAAAAATGTAGGGCTTTTTTCATAACGTAGGGATCAGATATCGGAAAGGTCGGTGCGGATAAACAGTGAACCCGCACGTCCTCTGCAGGGAACAAGCCCCCGTGTGACAATACGTCCTCTCCGCCATTCTTATTCTAATCGGGACGTTAAGCCGCTGAGGTGATACAGCGAGAGGAGGAGGGGAGCAGACGCCTCCCTGCACCAAACACTCCATCAGACCCTCGCTCGCGCCTCCCCCCCCCCGTCTCCTCCCGTCTCCCTCTTTCTTTCTCTGCCGTCTCTCTGTCGCCCCTGTTGCGTTGTCTCATCCGTCTTCCCTCCATCTCCGCGCCGCAGAGGGTGAAATATTCATTGTGAAGAGCTGTCGTTGACTACATGATGAGATATTAATCCACCCGAGTGGATGCTGCACAGGAGCTCTTTATTAGCCACATAATACACCCGTGTGTGTGTGTGTGTGTGTGTGTGTGTGTGTGTGTGAGTACTAGTTGCAGAGTTGAGGCACGCTTACATTAGCAGAATAATGACATGGGATATGTAGATGGGGCTGACACTGCTGTTTCCAATGTGTGCGTGCATGTATGTGCGTGTGTCTGTGTGTGTGGGTCCAAGAAAGGTACCAAAGATATCTGTCGACGACGTTCTGTGTGCACAGGACGTGTCGTTTGAAACCTCGCTCACGCGCGCGCGTGTGTGTGTTTGGTGTTTTAAGGTGTGTGTGTGCAGAGGGCTTCGAGGGCGACTCGTGCGAGATCAACTTTGACGACTGCGAGGACAACGACTGCGAGAACAACTCCACCTGTGTCGACGGAATCAACAACTACACGTGCATGTGCTCCCCGGAGTACACAGGTGAGGGCCGCCTCTGCTCCGGGGGTCAACGCGCCGCGGGGGGAAAGGCCCCACAGGCCGAGGCGTGCCACCCACAATTACTCTATCGTACCATATTTAATCTTAATGGGGAGAAAAAACCGGCAGCCACCTTTTTACTCGGGGAAGGTAACCGCAGAGACGGAGGTTTGAGCTGCAGTTTGCGTTGCTTCAATTAGTGTCGGCCCGCCTATCGGACCCCGGCGGCCACAATGCACCCTGGGAGTCTGAGCTTTCACGCGCACACAAGCGTGTAAGGTTTTCTCAATTGAAGCAGATGTTTTCTAACTGCGTTTGGAGGCCGAACTGGAGCGGTAGGAGCGCTCCATGTGTGCGCCGGGGTACGTTGTCCGTGAGAACAACGAATGGCACTTTTCACAGTGATAATCTGCAGTAATCTGTGCTGCAACTCGTCTGTCTGCTCTTGCACTGTGCTAATCGCCTCTGACTGCTGTGCTTTGTGGCCGTGTTCTCTCTGTGTGTGTGTCGCTGTGTCTGTTTCTCCGTCTCACTCTGCTTTCTATCATCTGTCGTCCGTGTGTGTGTGTGTTTGTGTGTGTGTTTGTGTGTGCGCGGTTGCAGCTGCTACCAATGATGTGGAGAGAGGTTAGTCTGGTCTTCTCTCTGTCCTTCCTCCACCCACCCCCTCTCCTTTCTTCCGTCCTTCGATCCTTTCCTTCCTTCCTTCATTTCCTGTGCTTTATCCACGCCCCCCCCCCCCCCAGGAACGCCGCTCTGCAGGACCACGGATTTAACACACACGCGTTATGCGGTCATGCTCCACGTTAACAGTGCACGTCCTCCATGTTCCAACAGTTTGTAATCCATCCCCTCAGAAATCTGGGCCTGTTCTGCTTGCTGGCTGATGCATACGTGTTTTTACTAAAGCCAAAGGTAAATATTGTGCCGGAACATTCCCGGGTAGCGGTTTGGACATCGGAGGAGAAGGCCGATGATATTCTAGGAGTTGGATGGTTCCAGCTCTCTACCTGGCAACCTTTAGTTCCACTGGAATACGTTAGTCCTCTTTGCCGTCTGGGATTTTTGCAGCCAAAAAGTAGGGACTGCGTTTGGACTGAGGAGGTGTGATGTAGAAACGTTTGGCTCCTGTAGTGTTGGCAACCTGTCAATCAAACACATACCCTGTTTTATGGTCTATTTGACTCCAAGTAGGCCGTCATTTACGAAATGAACATCGTGATGTATCGAAGAAGAATGAAAACTTTGAGACCATCAACTCACGTTTCCAATTTTTACTGAGGGAATAAATTAAGGGAGAAGTTGTTTTCTCAGACTTCCATACAGCAACTTCTTTTTGCAACCGGAGGAGTCGCTCCCTGCTGGCCTGAAGAAATCGAGCAGGTTTTAAGCAGTTGCACATTGGCTTCACTTGCTGCAAACTGGCGGGTGGCGTCTGGCAGCAGGACGCCGTCCTTTGCATGTTCACCCGCAATCTGCTGCAGGGAACCTAAATATCTAACACAAAAACGTTCTCATAGCAAATGCTTGCTCACTTCACCACTTTTTACAGAAATTTGTTCAACAACATGAAACCCGAGGACCTTAATGACTAATGCTTCTTTTGTACGTTAACGCAAAAAAAAACATGCATCTCCCATTGATCCCCGGGCGGTCGTGTGATTATTCCCAGTGGACGTCGTGCTGTCAGGAGTATCGCTTTATTCCCCTTTACGCCTCATCAGCGGGCGGCTCCGAGTCGCAGGAACGCTGGGGATATTATCAGGAATATGACACTCCCAGAGATGAGATCATTTATCAGACCGCTGTGTTGGTCAGAGAGTCATCCATCATGACGCGCACACACACACACACACACACACACACTCTCTCCTGGCTCTGCGGTTTTGCATGTACACATAGAGCTGCTCGCTCAGACCGAGATGCACAAACAAATATTTAGGTGTTAATATGGATTTCCCTATTGTTTGTTATTTTTGCCAACAGTATGCAAAGTATTGAAACGGTGTGTGTGTGTGTGTGTGTGTGTGTGTGTGTTTGTTCCCAGGAGAGCTTTGTGAAGAAAAGCTGGATTTCTGCGCTCCAGAGCTGGACCCGTGTAAACACGACTCAAAGTGCATTTTGACCCCTCGGGGCTACAAGTGAGTGGACTACACACACACACACACACACACACACACACAGGGGCACGCAGATAAGCATTGTGTGTGTGTGTGTGTTTGATTTGGGCCTCTTCGCACAGGTTTCCATGTACGTGATGTTACTCTTTGAATATCCTTGTTGTCTGCGCGTTTAACCACGTACCAGTATCCAGCATCAACATGCATTCTGGTGTGTGTGTGTGTGTGTGTGTGTGTGTGTACATTGTAGGTGCGAGTGCACTCCGGGCTACGTGGGGGAGCACTGCGACATGGATTACAACGACTGCGAGGAGAACAAGTGTCAGAACGGAGGCCAGTGCATAGACGCGGTCAACGGGTACACGTGCGTGTGCACAGAGGGAAACAGGTGAGGCGACATGAAGCCGCTGAGTGTTCGTACGTAAAATATCCCCATAATGTAAAAGAAAAGCTGAAGTAACTAATGTGTGGTACATTTGTGTGTGTGTGTGTGTGTGTGTGCGTTTGTGTGTTGCAGCGGCTTATTCTGCGAGTTCTCTCCCCCGATGGTCCTCCCGCGCACCAGCCAGTGTGACACGCACGACTGCCTGAACGGCGCCCAGTGCGTGGTCACCGGGGCCGAGCCGCGCTGCCAGTGCCTCCACGGCTACCAGGGCGAGCGCTGCCAGACGCTGGCCAGCGTCAGCTTCGTCGACCGCGAGTCCTACCTGCAGCTCCCCGCCGGCCTGCTGGCGCCAGAGACCAACATCAGCCTGCAGGTGACGCCGCGCGCCGCTCTGAGAAGCGCGCCGTCGCGCAGTTAGTGACGAGCGGCCAGCCGTAGTTTTAGTCTAAAACTATCAAATATATGTTGTGCTTTAAGCACAAATCTGTGAAATCGGTACATCAGAGTGTGGGAATAGAGGAGGATTTAGGTGAAATAAAACCTGTTTAACTCAAAGCATCAGTGGGGAAGAATAAGAATAAAAAAGTACTGGTGTCAGGAGAACATGCCTGAGGAGGAAAGTTCGGGACTTTCCGAGATCCCGTTACAGGCGTCAAACTTGGGCAGGACCATAAAAATATTACACCATCCTTTCCAGGGCAGTTTAAAATAAAGATGGAGCCTTGGCGGGAGTCGGAGGGAGGATGTGATGCTGTGTTCAGAGCGGGGTGAGGGGGGGGGGACTCTCTGCATTGAAGTCGGACTGCAGAACAGAGTAGATGTTGGAGCGGTATGGACTTCGTTGACGGACCCAGAATGAGCTTCTCTAGCGTCTGCTGGGCTGGTAGAGAATAAATACTGAACTTTGTTCATTCATTTGTTCAATATAATATAAGAGTTGTCTATTTCCTTATGTGGCGAAATAGTACCACAATTTGCCTTGTTGTTTATAATAGATTGAGACCGGTAACAGGATTTTTTTTAATACAAACCTCATGACAAAGGCCGTTTCCGCGCCGTGCTTTCAGATTGCCACGGACGAGGACAGCGGCGTGCTACTGTACAAAGGGGACAGCGACCACATCGCCATGGAGCTCTACAGGGGACGCCTCCGGGTCAGCTACGAAACCGGATCCTACCCCCCCTCCGCCATATACAGGTACGTGCAGGTACGAGCACAAACGTCCGGCACACAGCCACATGTGATACAGATGTTCTCTCTCTCTCTCTCTCTCTTCTCAGTGTGGAGACGGTGAACGACGGCAGCTTCCACGCTGTGGAGTTGGTCGCGTCGGACCAGACTTTATCGTTGTCCATTGACGGCGGTCCGCCCAAATCCATCAACTCCATCAGCAAGCAGTCCACACTCAACATAGACTCTCCGCTCTACCTGGGAGGTAAGACAAATCTAAATCTAATTTACTTGTAAAGAAACACATATTATTCCAAATATTATATTTGATATATATTGATTTTTTTCAGATTGTCCTTGTTTGTAATGTTGCATTCATTAATTGTTTATTCATAATCCAAAATAGATGCATAGATGTGTTTTTATTGTTGAAATGTGGGTGTTGCAGTAGCTCAAGTACAGGTTAAGATAACAGATAAAATACGTTACACACTAAAGAGAAACAAAGGTCATAGTGTCCTGGAGCAGAGGCTCGGATGGACTAACTTAAAACAACATATAGCGTCATCATGTGAAGACCACAAAGACAAATATCAGAGCAGCTTAGTTTCACAATGAGCTTTTTGTAGCACTGGCTGTCTATTACTGCTGCAGAACAACACTCTTTTGTATTTCAAAGTAGCGTTTAGGGCACAAATACCTTTAAGGAGTATTGCACCTGTAACCGTTTCCTCCTGCAGGTATGCCAGAACGGGCCTCGTCCTCCGGGGGCCTCTCGTCCCTGCAGCACAGCTCAGGCGGACGCAACGGCACCAGCTTCCACGGCTGCCTCCGCAACCTGTACGTCAACGGGAAGCTGCAGGACCTGGGGGCCGGGCCGGGGGCCGGGGCTTTGACCTCCGGGGCCGCCCCGGGCGCCGCCATCGAATGGCTGGGCCGCGGCGTGGAGGCGGGCTGCCAGCCCTGCCAGAGGGGGGCCTGCGTCCAGGGAGACTGCCACCCGACCGGGCATCGCGGCTTCACCTGCACCTGCCACCCGGGCTGGACGGGAACGGCGTGCGACCTGCAGGTCAACAACCCCTGCGACGGCAACAAGTGAGTGGTGTCAGGGTCACATATATTTAGTATACATACAGCTTGTCTATTCAAGCTGCTGTTTTGCTTGATTGGGACCTCATCGTCGACATCATTTGAGGCTTCCTACTGGCTGCTTTTTGTGCTTTTTGCCACGTGATGCGTCCAATGACCGTGGGAGAAACGGAAACCATAGCGATCAATGATCTGACCATAATGGCGTCGGTCAGAGCTTCTACCGGGGCAGTTTCCCAGGCGGTTTTAAAGAGATCACGCTCGTCATTCCCGCCGGCGGCGTCCTGGGGTCGAGATGGTTGAGGGTGCAGCTTGGCTGAGGGCTTCATCCCCCACCTGCCCCCTCCTCTGTCTCCAGGTGCGTCCACGGCACTTGCCTCCCGATCAACTCGTACTCGTACTCCTGCCGCTGCCAGCCCGGCTTCGCAGGCGTCCTGTGCGACGAGCCGGACCAGGACGCGGCCAACCCCTGCACTCCGTCCCGCTGCAAACACGGCCGATGCAGAGTGTCGGGCCTGGGCAAGGCCTACTGCGAGTGTAACGGCGGCTACACGGGAGAAGTGTGCGACAAAGGTGAGGAGAAAAACGAATTCGTCCTTAATACTAACATTCTTCTAAAAATAATAACCACATGCTCCTGAGCTTTTGAATGCAAAGCTTGTTTCTCTTCTAAGCTTCAGCTCGGCTGTTTAATTAGTCCTGTGTGAGTGTGTGTGTGTGTGCGTGTGTGTGTCTAACAGTGTTCAATGTCTCTGCTTTAACACTTCTAACCCGTTGCTTTTTCAAACTCAGCATCTCCTGCGCTTCCTCCTAATCCCTCGCGGGGAGTTACTCAGGTGAGACGGCCTTATAACATCTTACTGTCGCCCCTTTTTTATTTTTTCAGTGAAATAACCACTGCAACCACTGCGTCACCTTGGTGTCACCTCATGCAATGAGGTCGATTTACACGCAGCAATACGACAATGAGTCTTTATATCTCATCTGAGATTAACAGTCTTTTTTTCAATCGTAAAAAAAAAATTGTTTCAGCCAAAGCTGATTTATCTCCCAGGGTTCATTTGAATCCAATTAATGACTTTTTCAGAAAACGAACTAACTACGTGGTTATTGCCTAAATAAAAAACGCTTCAATGCAGGCGGGAAGTTTATTTTGAAAGGACCTTTTACATGTAACAAGTGTAAATGAAATAGTGTGGTGTCCTCTCACCTCTGTCTCCCTAACACGTCCTCGTCCTGTCCTCTCAATGGACCCTTTGAATTACGCCCGTGGCATCGCTGCGGATGACCCATAACCTTTGCCTTTCCCTCCTCGCGCCCCGCAGAGGTGGCCTGCCGAGGGGAACGGGTCCGAGATGTCTACCAGAGGCAGCAAGGCTACGCGGCGTGCCAAACCCAGGAGAAGGTCTCCCGCCTAGAGTGCCGGGGGAGCTGCGCGGGGGGGGCAGACGGACAGGGCACCTGCTGCACCCCCCTCCGCAGCAAACGCAGGAAATACACCTTCCAGTGCACCGACGGCTCGTCTTTTGTCCAGGAAGTGGAGAAGGTTGTCAAGTGTGGCTGTACAAATTGTTCCTCGTAAAAAAAAAAAAAAAAAAGAGATTCTCTGCCCTCCAGATTAATCTTCTTGCCCACCTTACTTGATGTCCAAGGTTTCCTCTCTGAGACAAACCCCTCACCCTCCACAGGCCCCCTCCCCCGACCGTCCCTGTTATTTTTTTATTTTTTTAAACCCTTAAAAAGAAAATGAAAAAAAAACAACAAAAAAAAACAAGAGAAACAACAAAAAAAGAGTTTATTTTATTTGTCAGTTCTGGGCTGATGATTGATGCTTCCTCGGTGGAGATGTTGAATTGTATTGTAAAGTACAAAAACAGACTTATTTTTTATTATGAAGTGGAGAACAAAAAACAAAGACAAAAAAAAAGACAAGAGTTGACTTTTTCCTTACTTCCTTTTCGTTGACCGTGACGACCCTGACGGCGTGCAACGCCCGCCTCTTCCCCCGGCGAGGCCGGTCCTTGTAGACTTCCTGCTTCCTGTCTGTGAGTTGTGTGTTTTTAGGAGTAACCTTAACTGGTAGTACCACAGACTCACCGCTAGCGGGCGCTGCATTAAGAGCGCCGGAGACGGCGGACGGCGATTTGAAAAGAAAACACAAAAAATAAACTTCGACACGAGGAAGCACCACCGTTGGACCTCCTGGACCCTCGGAGACTGTGTGCATGATCCCACACACAGCTGTGCTCAAACGCCTGGTGTTCCTTACAGCTACTGAACAACAACACACACACACACACACAAGTGCTCTCACATGTAGAGGAATTACACACCTGCAAGGTTAGATACAGTAGTCTCTGTTTATCTGTACACACACACCCCCAAAGTCATGAATGACAAGTATTTATTGTACCATAAATACCTGTACTTATTCAGTAGATCCCCTGTGTTTCAATCTGGTTCTTTTAATATATATTAATTTATATTTTGTCCTTATTTTTGTATTAAAAAAGACATACTCTGTCAAGATAGCTGAACTAACAACATGGTGTCCTTTATTTTGGTTGAAGAGAAGTTTTTTTTTTTGGGATCACTGAAACTATTGTGCTTGCCAGAGACCGTAGTTACATTTTAATCTGCAAATGTGACGTGAAGACATTGTATATTTTTTTTCCTGAGAGTTTGTACTGTGCCATTGCCAGAAGGTCTTTATATTAGAGTATAAATGTATAGATCACTTCTTTCCCTATGTATTTCACACACACAATCTCGTGAGTAGCATTGACCCTAGAGGATGCTTAGGAGCTGTTTTTACCTTTTTAACAAATTTATGCTTAAAGAATACTGTGACTTTTCTAAATGAAACTACTTTGTTAGCCCCTCTCCTCTTCCCCCGGTCTCCGATGTTAACATGTTGCTGCTAAGTTTTTGTACCGTAGACTTGGATCCTGATCTGTATGTTATATAGAACTTCCTGCTCCTGCTGTACAGGGGCACCTTGTGTAACAGATAAATACGCCCCCCCCCCCCCACTCCTACACATGTGCATTGTGCTTTATATTCCCTTCTTCTCCATCCCCAGACTAATGTCAGTTCCCTGACTGATATTTGTTTATTAAACACAATATTTACCTCACACTTATTGCATTTTGCCTTTTGGTTTATTTCATGCAAGTCTGGAAAGTATTCAGACAAATCATAAGCTCCTCCACTTTCCTTTATAGCAATGCACATAACTTGTGCATTCCTATAAACCTGTTTAGTCCTGATAGGAGATGCAGAGTCCTGGATGTTTCTTGTTGCCCGCAAACCCGATGGAAAGCCCTTTAAGTGCTGTGTGAACCTCCTTTGTGCCAGAACCTCCATTCGTGTCCCAATCCTATAAGAAACTCTTTAATACGGCTGCGTAAAATGTTCTTTCGCTGCCCTGAACACGTCCACGAGTTTATTCCAGTTAATCCCTCACATCCCATTGCTTCTGTAAATAGCTAATTAGCTTCCCGACTGTGAATTTATCCGCAGCTGCTTGGTTACCAAGAAATACACTATTTGATCCTGTTTTAGTTGCATGTCTTTGAAACTAAATTATTAGTAGTATTTTTTAGTCCCTATCCATAAATACACTGTGTGTTTGTGTAAGGACAAATCTGCTTGATAGCCAGGGTACGGAGATATACAGAGACATCAAATGTCATTGATGGGGTTCCATCGGGCTCTTTTTTGCTTGTTTTTTATTCGTTGGTAGAAGCCGGATCTTTATGCTTATGTGTATCACAGGTTAATGCGTAGAGAATATATGCGGGTTGCTTTGAGACACTCTTCTTAGAAAGCTTACAAAAAATGCCTAATATATTCTCATTTGAATATGCAGTGAAACAGTTCCACCTGCTGGTGTGAAACGTCATTACAAGTGACCCTAATAATAGCACTTAATAAATTGGATGAATTTTCTAGTCGAGTCCATAGATTCTTAATTGGATTGAGGTTTGGGCTTTAATGGTCCATTTTAAAACATGAACATGCTCTGATCTAAACCATTCCATCGTACCTCTGGCCGTATGTTGAGGGACATGGTCCTGCTGGAAGATGAACCTCCGCCAAAAAGTGTCACGACAGCCACGCTGACACAGTTGTTTGTGTGCGTGGCAGTCTGTTGATGTTTTTCCAGGAGTCATCACAACGGGCCGTGGAGCTCAGCTGCTGCCAATTACCTGCCGGATTGTTACGTGCCAGGACTTCGCCTGAGACTATCGTCGTCCACCCTGATGGACTCTTCCCCACCAAGCCCCAGAAACTAGAACGTCTCGGACTACTGGTGTTATTTTTGGATCTTTTGTGAATAAACTATTCTTTATTCTCGCCACCAATCCAACAAGGCCGTTTCCAGTCAGGGAATCCTGATTGGTCAGCACAACTCGGCCCTGCAAGATGTAATGACCAGTCTCCAGGCACTTTCCGTCAGTGTGTCTGCCATCCAGGACCGCCTCAGCACCCCGGTCGTGGCACCTGCTCCCACCCCAGCACCAGTCGCCATTGCCGAAAACCAATCACGAACCGTGGGTACCAACCCCCGAGAGGTATGGTGGGGACATGGGTCAGTGTCGTTCATTCTCAATGCAATGTGGACTCGTGTTTGACCTACAACCACGAACGTACGCCACTGATAAGGCCAGGATTGTCTATATTGTGGCGTTTCTGAAAGGAGAAGCCCTGGAATGGGCATCAGCGGTTTGGGAACAGACCAACCGGGACCCTCCTACCTACAGCTCCTTTACGTCCGAGATGAGAAATCTTTGACCATTCAATCCGAGGTAAGGATGCCTCGAAGCGCTTGATGTCATTATGCCAGGGAAGGAGTAGTGTAGCACGATATGCCATTAGGTTTAAGTTTCGGATTTTAGCAGTAGAGTGGTTGGAATGAGGAGTCGCTACAAGCAGCGTTTCAGCACGGTCTAAATGAAGGTTCTGGATAGGACCCTAGTTCATCCTAACTGGTTGGATAAATTAATTGCGTTGGCACTGCGGGTGGATAACAGAGGTAGAGAACGGACAAGGGAGAGCGAGACTCCAGCTAACCAAGGGTAACTCACGAGTTGGCAGGTGAGGCAAGGGCTCAAGCCCCAGAACCCATGCAGCTGGGAGGCCATCACGTTCCGGAGAAGGAACGTCAACGACTGAGGGATTCCAACAGCTGCCTGTACTGCGGCCAGTTAGGCCAATACCTCGCCTCCTGCCCCCAGCAACCGGGAAACCGGCGGGCTCGCTAGAGGTGGGGAGGCTGCTAGCGAGCCCGACTACAGAACCCCGTGCCCCAGGGCGAACATTATTCCACGCCGCCCTTCTCCACCAAGGTCAGTCTTACAAGATTCATTCATTAATTGATTCTCGTGCGGATGAGAGCTTCATAGACGCAGGACTAGTGGAGCAGCTTGGCCTTCCTACAGAGACCTTGAAGAGGACCATTGAGGCAAACACCTTGGATGCCCGGTTACTGGCACGAGTCACCTCCAGAACCGGACCAGTCCAGTTGCTCCTGTCAGGTAACCACTCAGAATAAATAACGTTTTTGATTATCCATTCCCCGCACATTCCTATCATTTTAGGCCACACCTGGCTGGTAAAACACAACCCCACCATTGGAGTAAGGAGAGGGTTATCAGGTGGAGCGGGCATTGTCATGCCAACGGAAGGATCGTTCACGCCTCAAGAGGTCCACGAAGCCTCAAGTAGAAACTCTGGAAAACTTTTTGGATTAACGTCTCTGATGCTCGTCTGTGTTCGCGTGAAGTGATGCGGCTCCCTGCAGATGTCCAACTATGGTTTGTAGATTGTGTGCGGGATTGTCGAAGTGTTGGCGAGTTGAGGACTTTGTGCGAGGGCTGCCACTAGTTGCGGGCGGCTTAATTAAATTGGCGACGGCAGGTCGCCGCGCAGTGGCTGCGTGAAGCCTTCTCGTTAGAGCGTGGATGGATCGGGCCGACTTGCTCGGGTCGGGTATCCACCCTCTACTTCTCGTGCAGACAGTGTGGTGATGTTTAACGCCGTGTCTTCGGGTCAATGATTCGTTCATGGTTCATTTTTCACGTGACCTGCATAGGCTCAGCACTGGTACCACTTGGTTGGCAGAAGGATTGTTTTCCACGTGACCCGCATTCAACGAATCATTTGTTTCCTTGGCTGAGCCGATGCAAGTCCCGATGCGTGGCCACGAGGAAATGAACAAATCTTTTTTTGAGAGGACTCGTTACTCTCGAGTCCTTGTAAGGATTCGTTCAAAATGAACGAATCGTTCACGAACGACACATCACTACTAGATAATTGTTAATCATGTGACCAAATGGACATTTAAAATACTTTGGGAATAATATCCAGACGTGACAACGCCACTCTTTGGAGGGGAGAGACCCTGAATTCAATTACCTTACTGGCCAAAAAACCCATACAAGGTAGATCATAGACAGAGGCTTCTGCGTGTCCAGTGCAATATCACTTTTATTTAAACAATAACTTTATAAAAACACATCCAAATAATTTATACCAGTAGTGATCGACCGGGGGCAACAATGACACTTCCAACAATAAAACACTGCACACTGTTAAGAAAGGCTAAAATAACACTACAAACCAACACACACAAATACGATTAATGATCCTGGTTAAAAGACACAACACAATAGAAGTGGAGAAGGTGGAAGCAACGGTCATCAAAAAGGCACAATGTCAGTTTGTTATTTCTATAAATAGAGAGCAAGATGAAGGCACTAGAGCATATTACTAAACTAAAACTATGGTCGGAGAAAAAGAGCAGCGGCTGCCCTGCCGACCACTGCGTGTCACCAGTTCAGCCTGGAATGCACAAAACAGCCACTAATCACCAAGTACCCATCGTCCTTCTCATTACAAAACGCATAATGTGCTTGCAAGCCCAACTTCCTAGGCCCAATGCACCTGTGCACCAGCAGGTAGGACCCTGGGCTCACCAGGTCTGGTTCAGGTCTGACCTTCTACCATAGGAAAGAACATTATATTAATTTCCCCATGGCCTACAGGATGCAGATTAAAATTGCACAACCTACCTCCTTAGTATAGTTTGCTCACCCACACGGTACTGGCCAGCAACAAACAGAGCAACCCAGACTCCAGCACGTGCCGGACAACGAGAACAAACGTGAGTTGCTTAACTCTCACGGGATCTCCTTTCTATGGAGGGGCTCTCCTTGAGTTTAAGCCTCCCGCTCTGTGCTGAGGCTCCCAGGTCCTAAGGTCCCACTCCTCACAATCATAAACAATTAGTAGATGTTATCTTTACTGTTGCTGAAATACAAGTCCTGAAATGCACCTTAATAAAAGTACAAATATTGACTCTCATAGCTGGTTTGTACAGTGATTCACCCAAAATGTCTCTGTTTTGTGACAAATCTCACACTCTCAATGAGTTTCATTATTTTATGATACAGTTTTCTATCTTGACTTATCACAATGTGAAAGTGCACTTTTACAAATACAACTTCTGATTTTCTTTTATTCATCTCAAATCCTCCAACACCACTAAGCCGACCGTATCCGAGTCCCGCTGTCGGGCTGCACTGTGCCCTTGGATGCCTCCGGATTGTTCTCTGACCTGTGAGACTCCAACAGCAACGACTCCTTTTCTCCCTGTGTGTCTCTGGTCTATTTTTAGAAGCTAGACGGACACTGTTAGAAGCGTTCACAAATAATTCAGCTGCTCCACGCGGCAGCAGGAACGAGAAGCGGCAGCCAGCTGTGCCCTTCCAGCTGCTCCGGCCACATGCTCTCATCTTGTTGATGAAGTCTTTTGATAAATCGTCCTGCCTTCGTTTAAACCCCTCGGACATATTTGTTTGAGCGTTCGTCAACCTCTTCCAGTGAGGAAGAATGGATCATCTCTATGTGAATCTGTGTGTCACAATGTAAATGTTTTATGGTTCGAGTGAATTCATTGACAGTAACATGATGTACACTTTACGGTCTACAAAGACGAGATGTGCCTCATGCGAGAATGGAATCGACTCGATGTGTTGAACATTAACTTAATAACATAATATAAAATAAAATGAGCAAAACAAAAATTGAAGAAATCTGAAAATGAACTAATGTCATTTAGTAATATCAAATAAAAGCGTCTGTCTCTCTCCCCTCGGTTTGAGTTGTCATGGTTTGATAGAAGCTAAGCGACCTCGTTCCAGGGTCAAACGCTGCACTTCCACTGGCTCAGAGTAAAAGCTGAAGCCATCACCAACATGCAGGAGTTCATTGTTTGTGAACCTGTAATTCCCCTTTCTCCATATTTCTAACTGAAATCCTCATGTTTTATCTCTGCCCTCTTTTACTCATAGTTCATGCTCTCACACACACACACACACACACACACACACACACCCTTCTGCCTCCGAATTCTTTATCAGTGGTGTCTGGTTTGCAAATCTAATCCGACCTGATTCACTTTTCTGCCGGAACCTGATTCATTGAGGTGAACACACACACACACACACACACACACACACACACACACACACACACACACTCATAAATAAACCACACACTCATGAATGGAGAGTGTTCACTTCTCAGGTTTGTCTTGGATCCTTCATAGAAGGCCTGTGTGCTTATAGGCACGATTAAGCCAGGACTAAATTCTACTGCATGTTTTCTTTATGTATTATTATTTATTCAAAGATAAGGGACCAGGATTACTGCAGAAAAACAATGCCGCGACCTGATCCCATGTCCCCAAAGACACCCAAATGTGAGGGATTATAAGGACTTTCAGACGGAGAGACATCACAAACTGGATCAGTGGAGAAGGAAGAGCAAAGTCACATCAAATCCATTAGTCGGTTTCTATAAGGGCACATTTTTCATTCAATTAGATATTTATAAGGATGTGGAAAACATTTTTCATATTAGATCCGGTCAAATTTTCAGCTTTCAAAATTGTCTCTTATAAGACGGAATGCATTTTGTGAATTATATTATTATAGTTGTCACTCCTCTGCCGTTAGCGAGGTGCTTTTCTGCATGAAGCATTGAATCGTTGAATTTGTCTCCTGGCTCTACTTAAGAAATTCTTGTCCGCGCTGCTGCTTCAGCGAGGAACTGTGACCTGGATGAAAACTAAGTAGAGCTTGACAAATTGATCGTTGCATCTCTGTTTCTCTCTCGCTGGCCTTTCTTAACTCTCACACATTAGAGGGGTGCGGGTTTGTCCCACTGAAACTTTCCCCAGGCGAACAAAGATGATGAAGTAAGCTCCTTCTTGGTTGACACGAGAAAGGACACGGCGGCGCAATGAGACCAGCGGAGCCATCAGTCAATATTGAATGATATAATTCTTTTATTGCTCCTCAGGGGACGGACCCCCGAGCTCTCCGAACAGCAAAGACTTGCAGACGACGACGTATATTTAAGAATGTATTCCACCTGTGTTTTATTAATCCTCTTTGGTATGGTGGCTATTCTCGCATACAGTAGGAGATGCCTACAGGCTGATGGATATCTTGCAGCCATATGACTCCACAAACCCTGAACACGCTTCCGCTCTGCAGACAGGTAAAGGTACGCTGCAAGTCTCGCTGTTTTCTCATGCCTGCGTGAACGCAGACTTGTTAGCACTGGTGTATGACAGACAATAAATGGATAACATATAGTATTTTTTCGAGTGAAATGAGAAATCGGTGCAGTCTATTAGTTGTTGCACTGATAAAAAAAAAGTATGTGGTGTACATAATGAGAAAACTCAAACTCGACTCAAAACCTCTATCCCATAATCCATGAAACGAATTGGGAAGTCACAGCATGGATTTGTGTGACTTTAATACTCTGACGAATGAAACCGTGTGTTGGTTGAAAAAACAAATAGGAGCAACAGTCTATATGCAAGACGAGTATCCAACCACGCCGTGTCTGACTATCGGCGTGTTGGTGTGACTTTGGTTCTCCATTGGAACGAGTGGAGCGTATGCAGCACCTGAAGTCCAGAGACCACGTTTGCTCTGCGGCCTGTAGTAGTGATTTAAACCCAACCACGGTACTTGACGCTGGAATCATGAATCCGGTCGACCCCCTGTTGAGACGTGAGGTTCCTGGAGGCCGTACACACACTTCCACATTCGGGACTAACGAGGGAGTCTCATTAAACGGAGGAGAACAGATGTTGACCGGAGTGGCGCTGTCGCCATGAACGCTTCCGTGTTCCCGCCGGGTCGGGGCGTCTTTCACAGGAACAACCTTCACAAATAATTCATGTTTGTTTCTTTCAGTGGATAAAGGTGGGGGGAGGGAGGGGAGGGAGGGGGAGTGCAGAGTGCATCCACATGAAATGGCACATCAGCTGACGGTTGCTAATGGGAGTCGGTTACATAATTCAAGTTGATTCAGAGAAATGCTGACCTCTGACAGCTGAGAATTACATATGCACGTTAAATGTGAATGCAAAGTCAAGGGACAACAGCAATTAATAATCTGAACACTATGCAAAAAAGCATGAACGAGGGGAAAGAGGGATGGCACCTGTCCCAGTTTTAGATTAGATTAGAATTAGATTAGAAAAGCTTTTTAAATCCCCAGGGGGGAAACTCGTTTGCCACCGAAAACCCGATCATGCACACAATAGTTCCCACAATGCACAGCAGAGAGGCTTGATTCAAGACTTTGACTGTCCTGCACCCACGGGCCAACTACATGAATACGCTTTCTCTGCTTTAGAGTTTCTCTTCAACTTGATTCAAGGGCTAAGAATAAACACGATGCTGACATTTGGTGACGTGTAATCTAATGAAGCGTTTTGTGGTAAACACTGATGACCTCTGGACTACGTTTTGCTTCACGTCTCCTCGTGTCCTTCCGTGTCCTACATCTGGCGCTCACGCGTCCCGCCTGCCGTGTCCCGCGTCCCTTCCACGCGCGGTGTCTCTCACATCGGTATCCGCGTCAGGCCCTCCTCGGTGTCCGTCGCCGGCTCCGGCGCGGTGCCCCTGTGGTACAGCACCGTCACGTTGGCGTTCCCGCTGTCCTCGCTCCCCCGGACCGTCGTGGCGCAGGAGACGTCCGGCTTGGCGCTCGGCCGGCTCTCGCGCCTCGTGCGTCCGGCCTCGTTGCTCGCCATCGCCGTGCCCACCGCTTCGCTCGCCGCGGTCAGGCAGCCGCGCCCGCGGCAGCACAGCAGGCGCAGGAAGGCGTCTCTGAAGTCCGCGTTGAACGCGTAGATGACCGGGTTGAGGGACGAGTTGCTCCAGCCGATCCACACGAAGACGTCGAAGGTTTTCTCGTCGACGCAGTGGGGCCCGCGCCGGGATCCCGGGGCCTTTGGCCCGGGGCAGAAGGGCAGTGCGCAGTTCAGCACAAAGAACGGCAACCAGCAGCACACAAAAACACCCATGATGATGCCTAGAGTCTTGAGGACCTTTGCCTCGCTCCTGATGGAGACCTTGAGCTCCCGGTGCGACTCCGCGGGGCGCCGAGACTCGGGATGAACGCTGACGCGCGACTGATAGGAGCTGGCGCCTATTTCCGCGCACAGGTGAGGGCACAGCTCAGGTACGCTCGAGCGGCAATTCTGCGCGTGCTCCGCCGCCCGCTCCAGGGAGGATATCATCCGGATCTGCATCTGGGCTATCTGGTAGATGCGGGTGTACGTGACGATCATGACAGCCACGGGAATGTAGAAGCTGATGAGGGAGGAGGAGATGGCGTACGTGCGGCTCAGGCTGGAGTCACAGCTCCCGCCGACGCCGCCGGTGACCTCCCCCACCGAGGGGTCATCCGCGTCCGCGCGGTGCCAGTTCAGCTGCACGGGCACGAAGGAGATGACCACGGAGACCGTCCAGGTCACGCCGATCATCACAGAGGCCACCTTCTTGTTCATGCTCCTCTCGTAGAGGAACGGGCTGGAGATGGCCCAGTATCGGTCCACGCTGATGACGCACAGGTTGAGGATGGAGGCAGTGGAACACATAATGTCGCAGGCCAGCCAGGTCTTGCAGAAGTCGCCGAACGGCCAGAAGCCGGCAACTTCGGCCGCGGCTTTCCACGGCATCACCAGCACGGCGACCAGGAGGTCCGACAGGGCCAGGGACACGATGAAGATGTTGGTCACTTTGGCGCGCAGGTGCCGGAAGCGACAGACGGCGACGCACACCGTGAAGTTGCCGAGAAGCGTCCAGACGATGAGCGCCGCCAGGACGCAGGCGGTGAGCGCTCGGTGCTTTGGTAACTCCTCCTGGCTGCCGGCTCCTAGAGCCAAGGCGGTCGTGTTGGTCATCGCCCGGTCCCGCGCTCCGCCATCTGACAGACTAGAATGAAGAGGATAAATCCATCCGTTCGTTCCATTAAGAGAGAAAAAAAAAGAAAAAACAGAGTCCCTTTAGAGTGCTGAGCGCGCATCCTGCTCCATGCGGACTGATCTGTGCCGCCGCTCCGAGCGCAGCGCAGATTTACTCCGGTGAACACGCGCACCGCCAGCTGGTGCCCGACAGCGCGCACAGCGCACAGAAGTTTGACAGAGGAGACAAAGGCCTTTTCAAGAGGAGATTTTGTGTTTATTTAGTTAGTTATGTTGACAGGGCGACGTTAGGCTGCAGGAATCACTCCTTCTTTTTTTTATTTTTCAGCACTTTTCCGAAGGAGCGCGTTATAATTCAGCACTGTGGCAAAATGCAACGTGATCTCGCAATATTACACATAGAACGATTATTTATCATATTGAATGATCCAAATTAAGGTAATGCTGGACAGTAACATAAGTTAAACATTGAGAGAGATAACTCATATGTTCATCACACCACGTGGTTGAGAGGAGGATAAGTCATATAAGATGATGTCATTCTTTACACCTCACTTCCTTTCCGCTTCCTTTTTCTGCTTTCTGCTTTAACAGATATTTGAAGCTCGACACATCGACTGGCTTTTTTATCCTTTTATTGATGAACAGGGAAACCGGCTGTAGCCCAACTTGAAAAAGTAAAAACAGAATATTCAAAATCAGCACGAGCAGCACACCAAACCGGACATGCAGTGACACTCCTGAGTACGGTTAACATTCTCACCAGGACCAAAGGGACTTCCGCACAGCATTCATGGGACATCAGACGTCAGTCAAGACAGCAACACATCAGGCACAATGTTCAGCCATCCTACATCCTACTGGAAATGGAGCTCTTCTCAAGAAGGAAAGGCCACAATGTGTTGGAATCGGTCTGTAGGTTTATTTTGTATGTCTTTTATTACTAACTTGAGGGGGTTATGAATAGCTGCACTGAGGAGGATGTGAACTAATAGGGAATATTCAAAATGGTGCACCGAATATATAAATGTTAAACAAAATACTATGGATGAAATTCTGTGAAAATATTTGGTGATCTTAACAACATTTGCTGCGACCAACTCGCAGGTCACGACCTGCACAGCGAAAGTTAATTCTGTGGTGTTTGGCAAAAGTGCAGAGTTGAAATCACGCTGCAAAAAGTTGATTCAGCTGTTACAGAGTCAATTGTACGAAAGAGCCGGAGTCATTATCCAGTGTCAAGGACTTCACACTCCATGGTGTTGGGTTTAACTGTACAGTGTATTTAACACTGAGCATTTTTGACACTTCCGAGTTGAGTGTTGATTTCACATTGACAAGATTGGGAGAATAGAAACACCAGCTTAGAGTTAAAATTGTGTCAATTTGTGTATATATATATATATATATATATATATATATATATATATATATATATATATATATATATATATATATATATTTCAGTCTACATCACATTAAGTATATTTTGCACTCTCTTATCTTGTCAGATTTGCCTTTCACATCACTTGTATAAAATATTAAAAGCAGGTACTCGTGTGGAACTTTCTGGATTGGGGCCGTGCCGACCGTGAAATGCCGCACGGACTTTGGAAAAGTAACTCACACAAGCCTCCTTTAGGCGCAGAAGGAACTTTATCCTGTTCTATTGTGATCTTGTGAATGTCAGCCTAACAGCTAAAGCTTTACCAGCACATCATTTTGCTAGTAATCTATTTACCTCAGACTGATCGAGGCTGCTTACCCTCCTTTCCAGACTTTATGCTCATATGAGCTAACCAGCTGTTTGTAGTAGAATCATTTACCATGGACAGCTTTCTCTCCCCCTCTCTCTCTCTCTCTCTCCCTCTCATGCACACACACACACACACTCACACACACACACACACAGGACACGCTGCTGTGGATAAAAGCAGATCCTTTTGCCCCGGGGGCAGGACCAGATGGCCCAGCTGAAGTTGAAGCACCGGTGAGGAGCACTTAAAATAGCACCGCACGCCATATTTGATCTTTAATGGCTGCAGGGTTTTGTTTGAATACACATCCAGATCGTGGAGACAGAGGCAGGCGGGTCAAACCAGAGGGTGGGAGTTGATAATCAGATTATCTCTGGGATTTTGGGAGTGTACTATTTTTGTACATTCGCTGATTTAGGACACACTGGAATTAAATCTGTTTTGTTGAAATCCCATTGCTTTCATTTAAATGCCCTTTCCAAGTGGGAATTAAAGGTTAAATCTAATAATAGTAACCATTCTGAGCTCACAATATGTGGTACTTTTTGCATGAAGTACGTGCACGAAAAGATCACAGCAACAGTGAGTTTATTTGTGCTTTAAAATGACGAATCATCCGCAGTATGTCCGTGTTACTGTATGCAGCAGGGGGCTTTGACACTCTCTAAAGCTGCGTTCAGCCCCACCAGTCCCATTTCTTGCGCATATCCAGCTACGGTCGTCATTGTGCCGTGTCTTTGCGCAGACTTCTTATGGGTCGTCTGGTTGCACAACTGCTTCTTCAGAGTATGCATCTCCTTGTCCTTCCTCTCCCTCCGCAGGATCTCCTCCAGCTGTCTCTTGAGGTTTTCCTCACTCACTTTGCGTTGCGCAACCTCCGCCCTGGCCAGTTTCAGCTCGCGCTTGAGGGCCACGGCTCTCCCATTCTCCGCTCGGTGATTCTCCAGCTGAATCTCCTTTTCTCTTTTGCGCTCCTCTCTCTCATGTCGGAGCAATTCCTCCATTTGCTTTTTCCTGTCCCCCTCCCTCCTGCTCTGCTCCTCCAAGCACTGGGTGACTTCATCCAGCTCTTTCTCCAGAGCGTCTCTCCTCGTCTCCTCCCTGTGCCTGATGGCCTGCTCTTTCTGTATTTGCAGAAGTTCCCTCTCCCGCTCCTTCTTTTCGTCCTTTTGGATCTTCTCCTCCATTGCTCTCCTCATTCTCTGCACCTGTTCTTCCTGCTCCTCAAGTTTTTTAGTGACTTTGTCGAGCGCTTCCTGAAGAGAGGCCCTCTTCTCCTCCTCCTCTCTGCGTATCTCCATCACTCTCACCATCTCCTGTATCCTCCCCTCCTTCTCCTTCTTGTCATAGTCCTCCACCACTCGTCTAAAGGCCTCCTGCAGATCTTTTGCCATTTTCTCCCCCTTCTGCTGCTCCAGCTCCTGTTTTTTCTCCATCTCTTCCATCTCCCTCTTGTTTTTTTGCTCAACCATCTCTAGCTCTTTTTCATAAAACTCTCTTATGGCCGCCGCCTGCTTGTTTGTCAGCAGCTCCTCCTTCTCAATCAGCAGCCGCCTCTCCTCCTGCAGCTCCCGAGCCAGATCCTCCTCTGCTTTCTGGAGCATCTTGCTGCCGTAGCACGTTCCTCCATTACCCTGCATCATGTTGTCCACCAAGACAAGCAGCTCTGACACCTGGTCCTTCTTGTAACTCTGGTTGTTGAAGACACAGTACCTGCCCCCACATCCGCCCACCAGCTCGGCTAGATCCTTGGACATGTCTATGAGACAATGCCTAACGGAGGTCCTCTCTTCCAGAAGGTCTCCGTGGGTAAAAACCACCACAGAGAAATTCAAAGCATGGAAACCTATCGCCTGTTTTATCTGCCGCAACGCCTCATTCGCCCCCTGAGTGAACCTCCCAATCTGGATAACGAGAAGGAACACGTGGGGGCCGGGGTACAGGAGGCTAACGCTCCTCCTCAACTCCTTCTGCACCTCCTGTGGGGTCTGATTGGTGTCCAGAAGACCCGGAGTGTCCAGGATCTTCAGGTGTCGCCCACGAAACTCTCCAGAGACAGCGCAGCAACGTCGGGTGACGGAGGAGCTGCTAACCTTTGAGTCGAAGACCTTACGACCCAGGATGGAGTTGGCGGTGGAGCTTTTCCCGCTGCCAGTCTCCCCGAGCAAAACCAATCGGATCTCAGCCGAGGAGGAAGAAGGCCTCTTGCCTTAAAAGAGAAAAAAATATACATTTTTCAAAACATCTCAATAATACACAGGTGATAAAATCAAAATATCCATGATTATAATACGGGTAGATGAGCGTTCTGATTGGTTGAGCGTGAGTCACAGGGGCGCATCATTGCTGTTCACATTGACCCGAGCGTTCCGTATCACTGCGCACTCACAGTAACAGGTTAGATTTGCCGTTAGCTTTTAGCTCGGTGGTGATCGCCGAAAAAAAACCTGGAAATCCCACAAATGATCGATTTCCGGCAATGTGAGCTATTGCAACCGGACAATTACGGTGGACGTCCTGAGCGATGAATGAGGTGGTGTCGGACTCAATGCTGTTTACATGCACATACCGGGGATATTTTTTCTCTCCACTACTGGAATGAGATACACAACGTTTGGTGGCTACAACTATTTTGAGCTGAAAGGCAGCTATTTACTTACTATTCATAATTCTGCTGGTAACCGTATTATAAAAGCAATGAGGTACTTGAGGCAGTACTTGTAACTGTTCGAGGGTTGCCCTGCGCTGCGCGTTGGGCCTAACAACGCCCCTGAACTGTTACATTATTGGACGATAAAGTACAGCCTCTCGTACCTCATTGCTTTAACAGGGCGACGCCGTTATCGTGAATTATTTTGGCCACAACAATCAAGTCGTGAAAATCTGATTGTTTCAGCCCCAGTTCAAACGAAAGCAAGACGAAAGGATGCGATCATAGAAACAAAAATAAATCTCCACTTACCGGCACAGCTGATAGAAGACAGCTGCTTGCTGATGGAGGACATGCTGATTCTGGTCGCTTCGTGAATCAAGAACAAAAGAGTACATCACTATATAGATCCCAACGTTGTGGGCGTGTCCAACCCTGTGACGTGTTAAACCCCCTCTGAACTCTAACCATCGCCATCACCGGGTTTCAAATACAAGTCCTGATATGACGCGGAGCAATAGTCTGTCTCTGACACCCAGATTATATCTCTGAGTGGACTCTGAGGAGGTCATGGTTCATCTGAGGCAAAGATCTGGGAAGCAGGGAGAGTCTACTGTGCAAGAGGGGCTTGTGGTGTGTAGTCAAAGTCCAACATACTGGTTGTGTTTCTTTATCTTAGAAGTGATTGGTTGTCATTAAGAACCACCACGGATCAATAGACCCTTTGCAGCTAACGTCATGGTTACGTCACTGCGTTGGTCGGGGACCAAGCAAAGGAAAACAGTGGAAGAACACAACTCACTTCGGAGTAGTGGCTTCATTTTAAGGATAAATGTCATCTTGTCACATTATCGGGTATCCAAACAGACATTTGAGAAACTAACTTCTGCAGGTTTGCTAATTTCGCCACTTTCTCCTGCAACACTACAAAACAAAGATGCCACTTATCAGGCGACAGCAACGCGCCTCCCAGCCATAAACTGCGTATGAGAAGTGAACGTAGTCTTCATGACGTCGTCTATTGGTTTGTGGACCGCCGTTTTGAAGACTTGAGTTCAGCAATTCTGCTGATCATCTTGGATCATGGCTATGGCCACTAATAAACATAATTTACCATTTTTGGCGAGGAGCAACGTAGAAAGTCCGTATACCAGCGGTCCCAAACTACTTTGCCTCACAGACCAGCCGACAATGGGGGGGGGGGGTCGCTGCACACAGCAACAAAAAAAAAAAGCGCATTTATTAAATTTAAGAAAATGAAATTTCTCCAAAAAAAGTCAGCATCGTGGTTGTGGACTTGTAGATCTGAGTAACTCATCCTAAAACATCAAGTGAGGTAACAGCACTGGGTCCTAAATGGCTTGTTTTTAGCTAATGTTCTAGTAAAAGTATTAATACAAATCATCGTGTAAAGTACAGGTTAGCTCCTCACCTTTCGAGCCAAATACTGTTCTAATTATGAAAGTTAAAATTGCCATAACCAGTCGATAAAAGGATGATATTAAATGCTATGAACATGGAGTTCAGTCCCCTCCAGATGCTCTTCATGAGTTCATACATGAAGCCTGCACGGTGCATATCGGTTTACAAACTCCACCAGACGGAAGCGGAGGTCAGTTTGTGCAATTCCACCTAACAGACAAGTTATTGATTGTTTCTATCATGATGCGCTGCAGAAACCGATCAATAATGTTGTGCCACTGACACTACAGCACTGATTAATAGGACCATTTAAACTGATGTTACCATTATATAACAATTTGTTATTACTTAAATATATTTAAATGCTGCCTTAGGATTCACAACTTGGTATAATTCTGATTGTTGGCTGAATCTTTTATTAGTGGATCAGAAATGATATTAAATGACACAAATTATACGTTTGTTAGAACGTGTTGTCATTTTTGTTCTCTTTTGCTGTATCCACAGTCACAATCAAATCTTAAATAAAAAGGCTCAGTGGAGGAATCTATTGTAAGGATTATTTTCAAACTAATGCTTGATGTAACAATGAATTGTCTGCAGTGAATAGTTGGGAAAGCAGTGGTTTGAAAGAGAAGAATATAGCTTCTTTTGCCTGCATTTCAAACCATTAAAAGTACTGTTACATCTCACAGCCCAAGAAGAGGATCTAATAAACTTGGCAGATGTTACATTATATCTGTTTATAAGGGGCCGTCTAAATAAACGTACGTATATATTCTCTTTTGCTTTGCATGTACAATTGATTCAGTAACTGTTTAGTCTGTAATTCCATCATATCTGGATTATAGATTATAGATTAGAGGCATTTAATGAACTAAACCAGGTTCACTCAATCGCCTGCCTGCTGTTATTTTTCTTAAGTGTTTGTAAAGCATCACATTTGTCATCTGTGTGTGTGTGTCCTCAATGTTGTGTAACAATTGCAACAGTTAAATACATTTCAGTATCCTTAAAAATACATATATGCCCATTCTCACCTTCATGTTGCTGTTGTTATTGATTTATCTTTTCCAAAATGATAAAGCAGAATGATTTCCCAAAACACGTGTCCCAAAAGTGTATGATGAGTTTTTCAGCCAAACAAATACAGAAGTGGACTTATGTATGGTGTAAAACAAAAGAGATTTGTAACACACTGCAAACTGGAAACGGTTTTTTACTGGAGCAATGAGTGGAAAGTTAAGATGACAAAGGTACAGCACATTGACCGTTTGCACTCTGGAGGTAGTAAAAGGCTTTACGCTCTAAATATATCTTTTAAAAGATGAGTAGGAAGATAATTCACTCTTTCTCTCAAAGTCTATTTACATTTGTAGACTTTTGGAAACGTACCATTTTCAGAAAACCTGTTACTCCAAACAAATAATTGTGTGAATGTAAAGTAATCAGCGTTTTGAATCCATGCTGGTATCTATTACTTCTGTTACCTTATTCAGCTGCCGTGTCTCCAATCTGCTGGGCCTCTCAGTGTAACTGAGTCTGGAAAAAACATCATCCGTTGGCCCTTAAATGTGACGTCGGTAATGAGACGCCTATCGCTGGACGATCATCCATAATGGAGAGTCCGTGCACGTGCAAACTCTCCTGAAGGTAACGCAGCGAGAGGCTTTGATGAGCTCCCCACGTTAAACGGAGGACCCACCCACACACACACAGACACACACACAACACAATGCTGACACACGTATAAAACAGTTGCCTGGTGTTGCGTCACAGTAAAAACGAGGATAACTTGAGTAGCGGTGAGCTCCGGCGGTGACGGTAGGACGAAAGTCACCCGTGTGGTAAAAAGACGACGGCGGGGGGGCTGTCAGGACGCCTTGGCGATGATGAGGATGCTCATGAGGAAGACCATGACGAAGAATATCCACATGAAAAACCTGTCCATCACCTTGGCGACCTTCTTCCACTCTGCGGCCTTGACGCACGTGGCCTTCTGCTCGCGGAAGCAGTTGGCGATGTACTGGATGTTTCTCACCACCTGAGGACGAGACACCAGAGCGGGCGCTTCAAGAAACTGTAGGAGAACGGGGGTAATCGGACACGTGGGTAATCAGAGATGCCGCGGTGGACGCACCTGCCTGTGCTGCAGGCCGGGGCAGCGGCAGGGGCAGGCTGGGAGTTGGAGTTTCGCCGCGGGGTAGAGCAGCCGCTCCTTCGGCCCGCCGTTCAGGTGCCGGAGGTTGGGCGGATGAGGAGGTGCCGGGTGGCCTCTCTCGCACTCGCCCCTCTCCGGCCCGGCGGCGCGGCTGCTGTACTGGTGGCGGCTATTGTTGGCATTGCCGTTTGCGTGGCTTCCGTGGTGCCTGCCGCGGCGAGGCACGGCGTGGCCGTTGCTGTGCTCGTACGGGTCGCCGCCGTCGGGGTAGTCGAGGAAATGGTCGTTGTTCGGGGGCTCCTTCTCACTCTCTGGCGTGGTGCAGTTCTCGCCCACCTCGTAGACGAAGAAGATTTTGGACATGTAGTCTATTATGAGCACCTTGGCCCAGTGAGGGACCGGCTTGGCCTCGGCGCCGCAGAAATGAATGTTCATGATGAAGATGGTGAGGGACGTGGAGGCTGTGATCATCGTCATGGTGGCGATGTAGTACTTCCCTGGAGGAGAGGACCACCACAGATTCATGAAGACAGACAACGGCTGTGACTGTATTGACATAAAATAGCAATGATCAGGGAATTCATGCCATGGAAGTCTCTTGTCCCTTGTGCATCTTTATATCACTCACAGCAAGTCAACAGTATGACATAAATCAAACGGATTAGACATTAAGCCAAAAAATCAGAAGTCAAATCTCGACAGAAAATTAAGACTTTCTGTAAACAAAGGCAGGAAGGATCATTCGGACCTATGTAGGGCATGCTCTCCGCGGGGGGCATGCTCTCAGCCACCAACAACTGGAACACGGTGAGCGCCAGCAGCACCGTCACCCCGAGGGAAACCTTCTCCCCCGAGTCGGCCGGCAGGTAGAAGCCCAGCGGGGCCAGGAAGGAGATGAGGAAGCAGGGCAGGAGCAGGTTGAAGATGTAGAAAGAGGAGCGGCGCTTCAGGAGCAGGGTGTAGGTGATGTCGGTGTAAGGGTCCGAGCAGCAGCCGTACATCTTGACGTTTCTGACCGCTGGCATGCCGTGACACTCCCACTCAACGTTCTCCACAAAGTCCGACAGGTCACCGCTGTCCATCCCCAAACTGATGTCCACCTGCCCAGGGGACGCAAGAATGAATAAAGCCTGTCCGCAAACCAATGGGTGACGCCACGGTGGCTACGTTCACTTTTTGCATACAGTCTGTGGCTGCTGGAGATTCTTCAAGTATATAAAGTCTCATAAACACTTATCAACTGATTCAAACCAGACACGTGTGGCCTCTGCCTCCTCCCCCCCCTTCAGGGCTGCTTAAACACACCTGGTTGCCATTGTAGGTCCAGGAGCCGAAGGTGAGCTTGCACTGCTGCCAGTCGAAGGGGAAGTAGGAGACGTCCACCACGCAGGAGCTCTTTGTGATCGCCGGAGAGTCCCACACGATCTCTCCATTATAACGCAACTTGACATTAGTGCTGGATTCACCTGCAGAATCCTCGTCCGCCCTACGCAGCGAAGCCCGAGGGGACGACACGTGTCAGCGAGACAAACACAAACTGCTGCGTCGTGCGTGCACTGTGAATCGGTACCGACTTGTTGTAGAGGACGATGTCGGGCTTCCAAACCAGGTCGCTGGGGATGTTGATCATCTCAAGGTCGTCATAGTCCTCCTTGTCCCACTTCAGGTAGGCGTCATGCCAGACCTGTCTGATCCACAAGTACGTGGTCAGCACCTGGTTCCTTTCATCCTGCAGACGCAAGAATATTTAAAGAGAGAGAAGGGTAAAAGGGAGGATAAGATCTCAATCGGAGAGGGATACAAAATGTGTTGGTGTATCTTTTGCTGCTGGGATTGTGGGTCTCTCATGTAGTATAGATTGTCCATGTTTATAGGTCTGAACAACAAAATAAGAGATTGCAGATCAACATTTTCCTGCAAGAATTGCATTACAATGGGAGTCTGAGGCATTTTTTTAAATGAACTATGAATGTAAATTGCAACCACATCAACAGATTCTGATCCACGTCTTCCTATAATTCCCCAAACCATTTGTTTGAGATTTATTGTATTTAATATGTGATTTTGTCAACCAAGATAAAACATTTTTCAGGCGCCTGCTCAAAAATATATACAACTCTGTAACTACATTGTCTATTTGCACATTTGCTTTTCATTTTATAACTCTTGGACTTGACTTGGACATTGTGTTTTGTCAAACATTTTCACACATATCAATGGGAATTGTAGCCAAGACACCTCAAAGGGTGTGAGGCACATGTGTGTATATTTTAGAGCTGCTAGAGTAAAAAGCTGTGAACTAATGCGCTAATGCAATAATAATGCTTTAACGTGCCCAGCACTAGTATATTTATACCTATAATCACGATACTACCTAATGATGCAGTGTCTTAAACTTGCATTCTCTCTACTGGCCATCAGGGGGCGACCTGTCCGCTTGCGAAACGATGACTGATTGCATAGAGGTCTATGGGGAAATGACTACTTCTCTCTTGATTTATTCCCTCAGTAAACGTGGTAAACATGGCTTTATGGTCTCTAATATCAAGTCTTTGTCCATACAGCATGATGTTAACTCAGTAAATCGTGATACATTTAGATGGTGGACCATAAAGCGCTAATTGACCCGTTGCTATCAGAGTTAGCGTCTTTGAACTTTAACCCCTTCAAAGTTAATTGTGACATTTGGTTTGTATATCCAATACAGCTCTCTCGTCAATTCTGGTTGCAAAAAAAAACAGATGGTGACGACCAAAAGCCGAATGTCCACGTAGAGGTTCCCCACCACTCACCATGTCTTTGATCTGCGACAGGGTGATCTGCAGGGAGACATTGAGAGCTTTGTCCGTGTCGTCGACCGGTCTCAGAGCGTTGGAGTAGTCCTCCATCAGGTCCGCCAGGAGTTTGCGGGCATAATGTCCCTGAGCACCGTGGGACACTGAGGAATGCAGGTGGGTACGACAGCAAATGTGAACTAAGGTCAGAGTCGGCTTCACGATATAAACATCGAGCAGAACTGACCTTGCACCAAAAGGCCGATCCAAACCACCAGCGCTGCCCTCCTCATTTCCAACCAGCCACCTGCCGAGGGATGAATTATCCAGGGAAAATTTTTTCCCGGGCGGCCTGCGTCCAGACTACAGCTTCACTGTGTCGTGATCTCCGTGCACCCCTGCAGACGCTGAGCGAGACCACGGAGAACTCTCACCACCTCACAGCACATCCTTTCAGAAGCTCTGGGTGCTCTGCTAGTTGTTAGACGTCCATCGCTGCCGTGGAACAGGACCTGGGGTTATCACACACACACACACACACACACACACACACACGGGTACATTGCAGGATCACATAACAAACACGTACCGGGGGAAACGTGATGCCTGCGTCGCTATCTGCTTTTGTACATGGCCACAATGTACTACACACACACACACACTGAACCGTACGGAATAACACAGCCGGCGACATGTGTCAGTCACACACACACACACACACACACACTCAGGCACTTTCTTACCTTTGCTCTGGTTGTTCAATATGAGCCCACGCGTATGTCGTGACGCGCTGGACAGGCGATGACCTTCACACGGATGCAGAGTCAGGAGTCGCCCTGTAAGCAGTGTGTGACTGTAGGACGGTGACGATGAGCTCTGGGTGTCGATCAGAGAAGAGAGCGTCTGCCGGATGTCAAAGCGATCACAGACTAATAGACCTTTGGAGCGTGTGTGGAGCGTGTGGGTTTTTACGTTTCTTTTTGAAAGCCTTTTTATCCACTATCATGCTTCAATTTCATGCATATAATGTTGGTTGTATGATGCACAATTTATAATTTGTATTATTTTACTGTAAATGTTTGGCCTTCACACGTGTGAGCTCTATGCTGGATTCATCACACGTCAGTGTGTGTGTGTGTGTGTGTGTGTGTGTGTGTGTCTAATGATATCATTGCAGAGTGTATATACACAAATATTTCATGTTACATGGGATATATTTTTCATATTTCAAGTTTTTTGCAGCGTGAAATATTTAAATAGAATGTAGATGTTACAGTACAGTCTTCGGGGCCAAATGTTTTCTTAAAGGCTCGGGGGGCAGTTGCAGTAAAAACCTCTTCAACAAAACGTAATGGTCTTCTTCAAAAGTCTTTATTTGTCTTTGTCATATTTTCTTCTGATGAAATTAGTTCACTTCAGCCGAGGCCGACGGGCTCCTTGAGGAGAATCAGAAACTTTATCATGAAACATCAGAAACACGGTTCTATGTTACCCTGCAGAGTGCTACTGTAATGTGTCACACAGTTTCTGTGGTGCTCAGCTCGCGTATGACAGGTGCTTCCTGTGTGTGCGCATTGCTGTTTGTGACTGTGTGTGTTTGCGTGTTTGTTTGAAAAGAAAGTGAAATAGTGCCTTTGTGCCAGAATACGACTAAAAAGGAGCGTTTCATCATCATTTTGAATCATTATCTCTATTCTCTGTGAGCTTGTGCGTTGTGTGTGTGTGTGTGCGTCTCACGTGTGCGAAAGAGAGAGAGACGTTAGCAGACAGTTAAAATGTGTGTTTGCATGTTTAACATTTGAAAAGTTGTACAAAACGCAGAGGTGGTGAATGAACGCGGTGGCGTGCGTCAGAGGCGTGCACGTCCACGCTGCTGCAGCAAACGCAGGAGGGAACTGAAAGGAAAAGAGAGTGGGGGAGCTTCAGAGGGTGAGACGTGAAAGAGAGACGGAGACAAAAAGTGGAGGGAGCAGCTGTGTAGAAACTGCTAAGGAAGTGTGTGTGTGTGTGTGTGTGTGTGTGTGTGTGTGTGTGTGTGTGTGTGTGTGTGTGTGTGTGTGTGAAACACATTCCTCTGGTGTGATGGACAGTTTTCTGTCAGTTTCGTCAACAATCCACTGGTCCTACTGGCAAGAAACATATTTGACTTACTAAACTTCGAGATCACTAAGATCTTCTGACACCAATCTGTTAGTGATTCCCAGAGTAAATACAAATCATGGGAAAGCATCATTTAGTTACTACGCAACAAACAGCTGGAATAAACTTCCTGAAGATTTAAGACTTTAAGCCCCAACTCTGACCACGTTTGAAACAAGACTGAGAACTTTTATGTTCAGCTTCGCCTTCTGCTGAATTTGACCTACATTGCACTTTTAACCTCTGCCTTTTAATTAAACAATTTAAATAAGATTTTAATTTATAATTGTATTTGCTGTTTTTTATTGTCTTTTAATTCCTGCATTTTATTTTCACTTTATTGTATGAAATGTTATGATGTGAAGCACTTTGAGTCTGCCTTGTGTATGAAAAGCGCTATACAAATAAAATTGCCTTGCCTTGCCTAAACTCACTAAAACTGTACTAAAATGACTAAATGAAAATACTCAGTACCTTAAATACACCACTTGAGTAATTACCTGGAGAATGGATGGATGCAGAACCCCAGGAGCCCTTGAGTGGATGAGAACAACCTGCACTGAGTTAAACCCTGTAGAGCGTGTGTGTGTGTGTGTGTGTGTGTGTGTGTGTGTGTGTGTGTGTGTGTGTGTGTGTGTATTTCAGAGGGGATGAGGCACTGTGGTATTTGTGGGGACAGAGAGAGAGAGAGATAGATAGAGAGAGACACAGAGATAGAGAGAGAGAGATAGAAGAGATATATTCGGGACCAGCTCTCAGGAGTCACCAATGCGTCTCTTCTTTTTTCGATCATTGGTCTGATTAAACCCCACAAAGAGGCCGGGTTTATGAGTAAATGTCCTCACAATAAATGTCTCCATTAACTCGGGCGGACACCATTGTCAATGCCCCTGCAGATGAAAAGGATCGCTCCTACGTGTACCCATATAAAAATGATCATCATGGGGCGCATAACTTTGTACGTCGTGTGCGACTGGGGTGGCGTAAAATGTTATGAGCTGTACCTCAGAAAATCTGCATGGCGCCTTTCTCCCTCAGGGGCTGTGAACCCGCCAGTAATCTTGGAGAGGATGGGGGGGAGATTCGCCTGTTTGCTCTTTTTCCAGTGGAGGAGGGGGAGTGAAGAGAGGGGGGGGGGCTTTTTTTCCCGGTTGTTTGCTGTTCAGTGAATTCATCTGTTAATGCAGCCCTGTGTGTGTGTGTGTGTGTGTGTGTGTGTGTGTGTGTGTGTGTGTGTGTGTGTGTGTGTGTGCGTGTGTGTGTGTGTGTGTGTGTGAGGCGCTACACCCGCTACATGTTCTTCTCAGTATCTATTGCACTCAAGTGACTGCATTTATTGAGTATGACACTTCCATAGTTGTCTTGTTTTGCGGCTCATTGAAGCATTTATTATCACTTGTGTGTGTAACAGCTCTCTGGTTCTTTCACCCACTCGGGCAATAAAGAAAACAGAGTCAATCTGCAGCAAAATCACAACTGACGTTGTTGTATTGTCAAATCATTTTCATCTAATACAATGTGTATTTTTATTTGCAGCAAATTAGATTCCATGCTGTACACGTGTTAATATACGCGCATTGAAAACTTCTCCCCGTACGATGCGCTCGCTTTTGGATCCGCAGGACTACAAATGTGAAATTCATATTAGTGCAACAAACACGAAAAGAACCAGCAGTGAAACACACAGCAGGTGCAGACTTCCCCACTAGGCCACACGCGCTTTAAAGGGCTCCAAGCCGCTACAGTTTTCTATTATTTTTTGAATTATTTATTTAAAAGGGACCATGTACAGTTCAAAACATAAATTTCACTGTAGGACGTGTTTATGAAAATGATTGAATTATGTCACTATTAACTCATCGTGACTTGTAGCTTTCAGTCAAAATATTAGAATTGGCATTAGATGCATTAATAATTACTATCGAGCATCATGTAAGAGTCGAAAGCTCCAACTGGACCGTTAACTCTTGACGTTGTATAATGTGGCTGTTAACTATTTAATGCCAGACTTTTACTGTGCGGTTGTAATAATTTCACAATTATTTGTTGATGGTTTAAATAAACTTTTAAGGTCTTCGTGAAATACAACACAAAAAGCTGAGATGTTCAATACATTTCGTTTCTCGTCTTCTACCAACGTAAATACCAAAGTTCCCATTTGAGAACAGTAAAGCATCTATTGCCCCGAATTCACAAAGAAACAGCAGTATTACAGAGTAATAGAAGATATTTAGTCTGTAACAAAACCAACGCTGCAGTTACGAGTTGGCCAACGAGTCCAAAACGCACCAAATTTCAAAAAGCTCCACAAAATATGTGACAGACAGACGGACATTATTTGATAATCAACAGAAGTACGTACAGACACGTAGTGTGATGCTCCAGGTGATCTGTTTATTCAAAGTGTGCTTAAGGACGAGACGCACAAAGCAGACAGGACGTTGACATCGGAAGTCTTTACGCTACACACAAGATTCCCTGTAGAGTTTATTTGGGTCAAGAAAAGGGCGGCTTTCATAATGAACGAGCACTTTTTAGTTCAAGCTCACTACTAATTCTAATCTAATGCAAACTCCCTAAAAATCGGACAGAGAGGGGAAACAGAAGGTCAGGTGACGCAGCCATTGGGGGGAAAAAGACGATGTATTTTAAAAACACTTGTGTTTCCCAGTCTTTTATTCGCTTTAAAAAATACTCGAATGACTACATTTTCAATGTGTTGCCTCGCGTTTAATTCATGCACGGTTTAAAACATGGCAGGTCTATTTCAAAGAATTAACAAACATACAATTCACTAACATGTCGCATGTGGGATTATTGTTAAAACAATGTGTTCATAGTGACATCATATTACATATGTGCTGACTGTAGAGCGCTTGATTTTTCTTAATGGTGAATTTGTGACAGACTGAACTTGTCGTCCGCGCAGCAGAAGAACCAGAGTCGTTTTCTACGTCTCTTTCTGGATCTCACCAACGCACAGCTGGGAGTCGTCCCTTTTTAAACACGGAGTCTTTCAGAACCATGAGAGGAAGACTCTGACCTGCAGCCCAACGCGCAACGCGTCCGAGGGCCGCCTACGTGCCCGCCGAGTCGAGGTCAAAGGTCAAAAGATCTTGCACTGGTTGATGCCGAACATCCGTCGCCTGGCCCGTTTCCTGGCCCGGTTCACGGCCGTCCGCACGGCGTACTCAAACACCTGCTGCACGCCGCGGTTCCCCAGGGACGAGCACTCCAGGTAGCCCTTGGCGCAGACCTCGTGGGCCACGCGTCTCCCCTGCGCCGCCGAGATGCAGCTGCCCCGGTGCGCCCCGGCCTCCCGCAGGTCCGTCTGCGTGGCCACGAGCAGCACCGGCACCGTGGGCAGGTTCTCCCGGACCTCCGCCATCCACCTGTGGCGGACGCTGGCCAGCGAGTTCGGGTTGGCCACGGAGTAGCAGACGAGGACGACGTCGGCCTGCTGGTAGGACCTCGGGCGGATGTGCCGGAAGCTGTCGTTGCCCGCCGTGTCCCACAGACCCAGGCTGATCTGAACCCCGTCCATGTACACCTCCACCCCGGTGTTGTCGAACACCGTGGGCTTGTAGCTGTCCGGGAAGGTCTCGGAGGTGAAGCGGACCAGGAGGGCCGTCTTGCCCACGGCGCTGTCCCCGACCAGGACGCACTTCACCGACATCTCCTCGCCGGCGTCCATGGCGCGCTCCGGGGGTCTCGCTCGCTCGAGGGCCAGATTTCAGCGGTGACGCTGACCGACAGCTCCGCCTCTCCTCCGACGGCTCTGATAGGAAGCGGGTGCGTGCAGGGGAGGGGGGGGGGGGGGGGGGGGGGCTTCACGCGCGCCTCGCTTCGCGTCCTCGGCCGCCGGGGGCCCTCGTCTCGTCTCGCTGGTTCCGGGTCTCTGCGGTGTGATCGGGCGTCCGTCCTCTGGCCGCCATTCTGCCCAAAGTCACGGTGGCCTCTCAGAGGGGCGGAGGGGAAGCTGCTGGGGAGGAGAGGACGCGTGAGAAACATGAAGCGGGCCGCTGAGCGCCGCTCAAAGGGACTCTACATACTGTTGTGGAATATTTCAATAAAAGCTCGGTAGAAGAGAATGATTTGTCTGATAAAATAGAGTCTTGATGAATGATCAAAGTTGCAAAAAGTCCATTTATCGCTTGCAAGCAGGAGGTCAAATACACAGGCACGTATCACGGTGCTCTGTGGAAATGGCGTCTCCGAGCACTAAAGACGCTGAGTTTTTATACACATGTGAAGGACATTCTCCGTGCCAGTTACGAGAAGCTGCAAAGCAGGTTGAGATAAGAACCCAGGTGACGCTGAGGGTAACACACACACACAAGATCCTCCTCAGTGGCCGCTGCAAATCATAATTAATTGACATAAAAGTAAAACTTGGATCCGGAACTTTCGTACCGAATAAGATATGAACCAAGGCCACGAACAGAAGTCCTTTGTTTTGAAGCTTCTATGAGATCGAGTCGACCGTCTTTGCACATCAGGGTCAAATACAGGACACTTGAGACACGGCTTTAGCACAAAACAATGTTATAACATATTTTTACCATTACAATACTTTCTGCACGACAAATGACATACATTACCGCAACTAGCAGACCACGCCTTTTAAAATTATTAACATAGTTTATGTTTACTGCAAAAAGGAAAATATTTGATGTGCAACAGTTCTGATTAAATACGCAAGTAACGATTTCATGCATTTGGGTGTGACCGAGAATTCCAGCTGGACCCCGAAGACTCATTAACAAGTGACATGTCTACATATTTAATATTTGAGTCCGTCTCCAGTCACACGGAGGCGTCGCTCATCAGCAGTCCGGCACGAACGAACCTCTAAGAAAGGAAGGACGTCTGTGTTGTGCTTAGTGATACGGTGGCTTCGCAGCGCCACGTTTTTTCTTATTTTCAGGATTTCTTGGTCACGATAACGAACAGTTAAGCAGAAGAGTCATAACCTCAAAACCACCTGCCATGACACGCAGATGGAAAGACCTCCAGAACGTCAGCCAGTGTTTGTTTTTTCCACAATTCCACTGAAGAAGACGTCACTTGCAGCCTTTTGTTAAATAATAAGGAATATATTAATAGTAAATAATGATATAAAACCAACAGATTTAACTGTTTCACTCTTTCACGCAGCGTGCGGTTCTCATGGTTTATACACAACAAAATACATTTGACTTATTAATGAAAATCTCACTTTTCCTCTTCGGGTTTTCATTATGGAGTTTTGGAGAGGGGAAAAGTAACATCGGAAACACTGTGTTGTGTGAGGAGAAAGAACCAGATAATTACCTTTCTTGTCAGTGCTCTCGACCTTCAACTCCCAGAAGCCGCCGGCCTCCTTCACGGCCCGAAAAACTCCAAAACGCTGTAAGCTGTAAAAACTCTTCTCTATGAATAATTATCTTGTGAACTGGATATCGTCAACCAGCAAGTCTGTATGACTTTAAAAAGCAGAGATTGAAGTCTTTGTCCCCCGGGGCCTGACGGCGCCGAGGCTGGTAGTTCAGCAGAGGAAGGGAAGTGAAGAAGTACGACAGAAGAGTAAAACACATCCGCTGGGTGAGAGGGGGGAGGGATGGGGAGGGAGGGGTTGTCCCCCCCCCCCCACAACCAGCTGGCCTTCTTTTCTCTTCTGCATGTGTAAAAATTTATCAGGCATTTTCACGCAACAGAAGGCGAGGCGGTTAGGATACACTCCGTTAAGCAGAGCTGTGTATTATAGTGGACCGCCTGCTACACAAGATCCACTGCAGTTCCTCTAATGGCCGTTAGGGGGCGACTCCTGCGATTGGTAAAGGTTTTCAAAGTTATTATTCAGAAAACCTCTCTAGATTGGTTCTGCTTCACTCCATCAAAGTAAATCTTTCCTAAGATACTGTCCACAAGCTGGGCTTTGACTTGGATGGGTTTTTAGCCCGGTGTCACCATGTTTTATAATGATTGATACCCTGTAAGTGAGTCTTTTTCAGGTGGATCCTGGAAATTAAAAGAAAAATGTTCAGTGTGCCATCTTTGTGTTTGAAGAAAAAAAAATAAAAAGCATCATGGCGAAGGCCGCAAAAATGGCGGCAGCTTAAGTTGAGGCTTCAAACTATCTGACCACGAACCGATGGTTGACATACAACACACGACTGCGTCGACTTCCGTACTTCATTCACAAACAGTCAGCGCTCAGGTTGCATTTAGGCACCACGTTGTTAAAGGGCAGAAGAATGAGGGGAATACAAAAAAATGTGGTTATGCGGCTGCAAATAAAATGTTTTAAACAATGCAATGTGAAGGTGGAGTATTGTGTTAGAAATAAGAAATTGAAATAATCTAAATATTTTGCGCTTTTATCTGTCACATGGATTTCCTCATTTCTACATCTACAGTTCTTCCAAGGTTCTCCAAACCACTGTTGTCCAGTTCTGCATAAATTCTACTAAAATAAAAACGGCACAACATACATGATTCCACTCTCAAATGAGCAGGTCTTTTGATAAACATACTCAGTGTGAAACAGTGAACAAATGGTAGTTTATTCCACGATACAATATTCTCTGTAAAATCGTTGAACAAATTAATAAAAAAAATACACTTTATGTTCGATAACATTATGTACACTTGTTCAAAATGTATCGACATCGTCACTACCCCTTTATGAAAAAATACAACACAGAAGTGTTTGAAAGCTATACAAATAGTGTAGAAACCTGAGGAACACAGGATTTGGCACATTGGGTTAAAAGAAGCCGCAACAAATACGCGACTTGCATCCAAAGAGAATCTTCTACCTGAGTTTGCGTATCAATATAACTATATTAGGTAAATGAACAGTTGCCATGTGTTGCCGAGGCAAAAAGAGACGGATTGCTGCAGAACTCACGGAGTGTGTTTAACCTCTTTTACTGCTAGAGTGTCATGCTCACCTCCGCACACAGATAAAACCAACTCTCCTCCTGCTCAGCATCGGGTTTGGTGAGATACCGGCAATATATTATATGCACTTAAGTAACATGTGTTTAAAAGCACGGATGGCGCGTCTTTTAAATCCCCAGAGAGCAAACATCACGCAGCCACCCTCCATTCAAGGTCCACTGAAATGCTCACATTACATCTCTAACATGACTCATGAATGCAAAAAATATTAAATATAGTCATTTCAACATTAAGCCTTAAATTGTTGCTTTTATATCACACTTTAAAAAGGCATTAAGAAAAACGTAGATAAAAAAAGTATGACGCTCTATAAAACCTTTTTACATTTAAAATGTATAGACATTCCAGTTTAACTGAGGCAAAAAAATGATTTCCAAGCTCACGGTTATCTTTGATAAACACAATAGAAAAATGCTTCTCATTAGGATTAAATTAAGATTTGAACTAAAATGCACCTCAATTTAAAAGATTTAGTTATATGAGAGATAAAGAAAAATGAGAGCATGAGTGTGTACCGTACTGTAAATACTGTAGAATGTGGCATTGTGGAACGAGAGACAAAGAGAGACAGAGAGTGTGTGTGTGTGTGTGTGTGTGTGTGTGTGTGTGGTCCTCCATAGCAGCACCATCTTCAAACCGGCAAACCAGGTTCTTCTTACTTCAAAGACACCAACACGAGGCCTGGCTTTGGCTCAGCGAACCTGAGAGATGGAGAGATAGAAACGATGGGTGACAAAGAACGTGGAGCGTGTGTGCGTGTGTGTGTGTGTGTGTGTTGTGTGTGTGTACCTGTAGTGTTTGTTGGTGAGGTAGTCTATAACGGCAGGGCGGATGCGGGCCACGCCCCCCCGGCTGTGGTTCCCTCTTCCTGTGATGACAGAGAGCTGAGGTCGACACAGACCCCGCTCACAGTCTGCACAGGAACGGGCCAGAGACGAAGAACACAGTTAAGTTCACGTGTTTGCACTTGCACCCCTCGTCAGAACCGACCAATTACCTGCAAACATTTCTAAATCAGACTCACTCCTACCCATAATCCAACAGGATTTTCCAATGCTCTGTACGAATGATTGATATTTTTTACACATCTCAGGCCCTCAAAATCTAAATAAGTGAGTACAGCGAGTTGTTAAACTTGCCTTCTCTCTAATGGTCAGCAACCATTGTACCCCTTTTGTAAAAAGAAGTCTATGAGAAAATGACAGCTTCTCCCTTGATTTATTCCCTCTGCACTCACTGAGGGTCCACACTGTACGGCATGTTGCTCATTACCTGTGGTTTTGTCCTGTAAGACCTGAGCCAGATGCTGCAGCGCCTCGTCCACATGCAGCCCATGGAGGTCCAGGATGTTGTTGGGCAGCAGTGAGGCGTTAACCCGCTCAAAGATCTGGACCGCCGCGCGGTGGTTGGCCTCGTGCATCCGCTGGCCATGCAGGTGTCCCTACAAAAAGGGTGATGCAAATCCAAAAATAAAACAAATCCAAGGAAAGCTCAAATTTAAAGTTTGATGCCAATACGCTATATTTTGTCTCATTCTCAACGTTACTACAGGAAAACAAAGTGAAAGTATCGCGCGAGACATTCAGCCTCTCACCTGCTGTGCGTAAAAGGCGGCCACTTCTTTGCTCCCTTGCTTGTAGGCCTCGGCAGCCTTGGAGAAGCTCTCGAGCTGTCGGGCCCTCTGTTGTGTGGCCTCGGCCCTGAAGTCCTCGTACTCTGGCTCCTCTGTATCCTGGTAGCCGCCTGGGGCTGACTCCGGGGGCTGCTGCCTCTGGCAATCGTTTTTTAAATGAGGGGACAGTGTGAATTCTTCGACCAGCTATTCTCTGAGCAGCAGCTGGAAAGACTGTTGTTGTTGTTGTGACGGCAGGACACAGCTGGAAGTTTGAGCCGGTCCTATATTGGTTTTTGCTTTAGACATCGCTTACACCGAGACACATTGCCGACACACTCCTCTCTGCCGCTGCGCTCCTACTGAAGCGCATAGAAGTGAGAATATTCCCACTGATCGTGAATACCTTCTCCCGCTCCTTGCTGGCCGCTCGGAGGTGGTCGGAGCGAGGGAACTCCGGGGCGACTACCGTCTTGACGGGCTCCTCCTCCAGCAGAGAGCGGAGAAACAGCTCCGTCTGCGTCAGGCTGTAGCTGCACACACGAAAACACACACATACAAGTCAGTCAGCAGTGCTGGGCGGCGCTTCAGCAGAGATCAGATGCACACGTTGTTAAAAAGACACAATGTTTGTACCATCAATTTTAAGATGGTGCCGACAAAATCAAAGGAATAGAGTTTTTGTACTTGTGGTCTCTGAAGATGTCCTGGAGGAAGTGCCTGTCAATGGTGGGGAAGAGGGAGAACAGTTGGTCTTCTTTTAACAGGGCGGCTCCATCACGGCGGTCCAGGTCTGCACGGCCTTGTCTGGTCTGTGGGACGGGAGGGTTTCGGTGAAGGTGTGGGGGGGGATCAGGGCGAGGGGTGTGCAGAGCGGAACTAATTAAGATATGTATGGATGCAAGTGTTACTTTTTCCACGTTCTCCTGCAAAGCCTGCTCCTCTTTGATGATGTCTCGGAGCGACACGTGGGGGCGAGGCGCGTTCCAGTGGTCCATGAAAGGAATCCGGCCGCACGCATCCGGTTGGTTGACCGGCGACGCGCCCTGTGACTCCCCCCAGTGCGCTGAAGCTGTACATTCAAAAAGAGTTGTGAAAAAACATTGACTGGGACAAAACAAGGCAACACTATTACACGGGAAAATGCAACAGATGTAGTACATAAATACTGAAACCCCCAAAATACCCAACAAGCTGATGCATGAAGCAGAGTCAGGGTTAAACAAGGAACAGTGCGGAGCATTTACAGGGATCTTTCTGTGTGAGTGTGGACTTACTTTCCCGAAGCAGGTGAAAGGAAAGAGTTGCTCGTCTCTGCTTTTCCTGTAAAAACAACGTTCACAGGCCAATGAACAACGTGAGACCCACTCACAGCAGATGATGTAGTAATGATGTAGCATGGCTGCAAACACATGGACTCTAGTTGGTTCACCTGAATGGTTTCCTTCCACTTCTGGTGGAGCAGATTGGCCATGTTCAGATCCATCTGCACCGCGTAGTCCTCAGTGGAGAAGGAGCCTGAACATGAGAGGTTGTGTTAAGCCTTCACAAAACCACTGTTGTTATTTTTGGTGCTGAAGCATTCAGGCTTCTGTCGTCGCCGAAGTATTAAATGCGTATTCAATATTGGTCTGCGTGTCGGTTACCTGGGTCTGCTCCGACGGGGCCGAACAGCTCAATTAGCTGCAGCGCCACTTCAGTGGGCAGACGGAGCTCCACGCTCCGGATGTCCAGGTGTAGGCCCCGTCTCTCCTCTGTGTGCCTGCTTCTGGCAGTCTCCTCCTCCACCTCCACCTCCACCTCCTGCTGTCTCTCCATCTCGTCCAGCTCAGCCTGCAGCAGCCGGTGGACCTCGTCCATGCTGGCGATCTCCTCCTCCATCTCTCCAACTCCGGACTCTTCAACTATCGCTCCGTCATCAAAGCTTCCACCGAAAGCGGCCGGTTCTGGGCGAGCTTCCGGTGTCGCTTTGCGGTCGCCGCGCCGCTCTCCTTCGTTCGCCGTGTGAGGCACACTCACATCCGCTTGAGATATTTCGCTACCAGGAGGATCTTTGTTCGTATCAGCTGCTTCGCCAGAACTTTGCTTCTCGGTTTTATCGGCGCTCTCATGTGACTCACTCGCTGCAGGCCGGCCTCCCTGGGGCCAGACGTTAGGGCGATGCTCGACATGCACGTCAGGACCTGACGGGGTCCCTTCAGGATTCCCTGAAGCTGCACACAGAGCGGAGGTGAACCCCTCATCAGTACCTCCAGCCCCGTCGTCCTCCTCCCCCTCGTCGTCCTCTCTGAAGAACCTCTCTCCAGAGTCCAGAAGCAGGTTGGTGGTCCACTCGAGGTCCTGGCTGCACTTGTCGTACAGATCTTCCAGCGTGTCAAAACTAACCAGTTTGAAGTGGCGGCTGAGGATGCGCAAGCTCTCCAGACTGTCCTGAGTCGCGGCGCACTCCGTCTCCTCCACCTGCGTGCCCTTCTCGTGGGACACCTGGTAGGGCACCTCTCTGTAGGCCGACGGGTGCACTGCGACGGCCGCGGAGGCGGCGGAGGACAGATCCGGCACGAAGCGAGAGGAGTCGCCGGACAGCACCGCCACGCCGCCGGGGGGGGGGTCGCGCGCGTCGCCTCCCCGGTTGAGGCGCCAGAGGAGGGCAAAGTCTCGAGGATCCGTCTGGGGTGGGGCTGCCCGTCTCTGCCGGCGGAAGCAGGGGCGGAGGCTGCGGGCGCGCGTCAGATCTGGACGGGTGGAAGCCGGGGCTCGGGCTGCAGTCCGCGCCCACGTCTGTGCCGGCGCTGGTCTGGACGCCGTTCGCGCCGTGGTCTGCGCTGTCGGGAAATCCGAGAGCACTGTGGGGGTCAGCGGGGCAGTTGTGAGTGAAGGTGAGCGCCAGTTTGCACTGTTTCCCCGACCTTCGACCCGGGCGGAGCTTTCTCTCCTGGCTGCCTCCGCTGAGAGCACCGCTGTCGCCGCCCTCCCACGCGGGACTCTCCCCCGCAGGACTCTCCCCCGCGGCGCTAACGTGACCCGCATCAGCTTCAGCCTCCCCGCCATCCTCCGGCCTGTCCGCGCCAGGTGGCCGAGCGGCCGGTCCGGCAGCAACATCCCCTTCGACACTGTGGCGAACATTTGCCGCCGCCGTTTCGGAGAGGACTAGCGAATGAGCATCGAGAGCGGAGGTGGGATTTGTCGGGTCGGTTGCTTTCATGTCCACAGATTCGCTGCCGATCCCCAACGTCTTATCCTTTCCTCCAGTGGCGCTTGCAGCTTCATTTCCCCCCCTTGCAATACCGTCCCAACCGCCTGTCGGCCCTCTGACCTGACAAGAGTCAGCCGCCTTCCAGTCCAGCACGCAGTCGGGTAGCTCCCCTCTGCTGCTCTTCACCGCCGCCGCCTCTTCTTCCTCCAGTTCCTCCAAAGAGCTCTGGGAGAGCGAGGACGAACCGGAAGAGGCCGCCCGGATGTCGGCCGCCCCCGTCTGAATGAGATCAAGGAGCTTCTGAAATTCCGTCACATCGGGTCCCGGTTGCGACTTTGCTTCAGGACGCACGCGTTCCTCGTCCTTCCCGTCCCCGTCTTTAGAACCTCCTCTGCTCCTCGCCGGTCGCTGCTCGAGGGACCATGCGGAAGGCCAATCTCCTAGAAAATCCAGCACCGGAGGCCTTCCCTTCTCTCCCCCATCCCTCGCCGTCCCAGCGCCTTCTGCCTCGCCGTCTGATTGGTTAGTGTCCTTCACCAGGTCTGTGGGCTGCGACCCGTCGAAACAAGACCTCCTACTCGGCCTTTCTCTGCGCACTCTTTGCGCAGTGGATTTAGAGAAATCCACGGGCGTCTCGTCCCCGCGGGGATCTTCGACCCTCATCACAGACTCCACGATGCAGTCCGGGATGCTCTGATCTCCGGTTGGAAGACTCCACTCCGACTGGGCCTCTGACCCGGAATCCAACTCGCCCAAATCCACGTCATCGAGCCTGTCGCGCGCGGCCGCGCGCTCCGCGACGGTTCCAGTGGGTTGGAAATTGAGGGACTCCGTGGATTCCTGGGAGCCCTCGTCCAGCATTCCCACTCCACTAGAACGGCCGAGAGAGGACACGTCGGGGAGAGAGGAATACAGCCGAGACGTCTCACACCCCGCAGACCATCCCGGCAGTCCCACAAGGTCAGGACAAGGTGTTTTAGAAGTCACCAGCCTGTAGAAAACAATGTTCGATGATTCATGTGTATCAGATGAGCATGAAATCAATGTATTATTCATTTGAACCAAACATCTTTAAACAAGGAAATATTTAACTTACTTGCTTTTATTAAAAAACTGAATTATACTTTGTTTCCAAAACAACAGTCTGCATTCAAAATTAACTACCACAGTTTTTTCTGGAAATTTGACAAATTAAATTATATCAATTCTTGCAGAGAAAAGTAAATAATGATACCATTGGCCTTAACAACTTTAGAAGGTCTCAGTAATCATATAAATCTCAGTCACACACAGTTGATTGCTGGTCAGATACGTCTAACCTCACAGAGCTTCATCAACATAAGAACACGTGTTCTGTCGTTGAATGTCACATACATGCAGATACCGTGGGAGAGCCACAGCTCCTGTTAGAATGACTATATTCACATCCTGCTGGTGATAAACAAATGAGATGATCCGCCCGGTTATGTGAATCACAGCTGGGTCTTCTTTATTCAAACGCCATGTGACACAAAACATGTAATATAATGAGTGGACACCGTGTCACAGCGGGGTCACGTACAGCTCGCGGGCTGCATCGCGTTTTCTTGCATCCAGAGGTGACACAAGAGGGCGGAGCCAGGTACAAGCCAGCGGCGAACAGGACACTGGTGGGTGAAACTCACTGCGAGCTGCTGTTCTCCAGATGGAGCCGCGGTTTTGTTTCGGGCATCCGCGAGCCCATGATGGACTGGACCGTGACGAAGCGCTCGTAGTTGTCCAGCATGCGTCGGATTCTTTCCACCGGCACGTTGTGTGAGTTACGTCTGCGTACGCGGAGGCAAACAAAGCAGATAAGAGAAAACAACTCTCAACGTCGGATTATTGTTTTGCAGCTACTGTGATTTCTCGCCTCTCCAGTTCTCTGGGCTTGTTCTTCCACCAAGTGTCCGGCTCCCTGAACAGCACCTTGTAGCCATGCTTCAGCGCCTGCAACGGTTGATAACATCATGTGCTCATGTGGACGACGTCCCCAAACGTATTGCTTTTAGCATTTTTAGAAACTAAATGCACAGCGGGGTCAGTTAGCCACGTGATTTCCTCGTGTCCATGGAGCAAGCAGACTGACCTGAGCCACGTAGGGTTTCATCTCCCAGCCCTGCATGTTGGTATTGTCGATGATGATGGGGTTGGCCCCCCGGTCAAACGCCTCCTTGGCTGTGGAAGAAAGGTGGCAAAAGAGAAACAAAGCGTTAAAAAGGGAAACGGTGGCAATAAATTACGTATGAAACGCCTTTTGCAAAACGACGTTTGCTTCCCAGGACTGTGTGTGCGCGCGTTTGTGTTACGCTTGCCTTGTTTGTGGTTCCACTCGTGGGCCTCCCCCAGAGCGGCAGGGTCATACTGATAAACCCCATTGCGACTGAAGTAGTCGTCCGTGCTCAGTGCAACTCCGCCCGGGTTGTGCTCTACGAGGGCTCTGCAGACACACAAACAGATTACAAGCTGTGATTACAGGCGTCAAAGATCTCATCTCTTTCAACACAAGCAGGGCAAACTTTATGAATAAATGAAAACGTGACTCTCCACTAGTCAAACTATGAACAGTTATACAGTGTGTATATCTATGAAGTTGCGCCTGTGGATTATTTCCAAGCGTCCCAACATGGTTACCTTGCCAGGGTCGACTTGCCGGACCCTGGAGCCCCGCGTAGCATCACGAGCACCTTCCCCTCCAGACGCAGCCTGCTGTGCTGGGCGGGGGGTTGCGGGGCGGCAGGCAGGGCCCAGGACTTTGGGATGGCGGCGGCGGGCCTGAGAGGTGCTCGGCCGGAGGCGGGACCCGGACCCAACCAGGGAGGGAAGAGCCCGGCCTGGTTGGACCACACGGACGGGGACTGAGCCACGGGGGTAATGAAGACTGGCCCCTGGGTTCCGTGGACGCGGGGAGAAAAAGGCGGTGCGCCCGGGTTCCAGGGCAGGGACACGTTGCCAAGCGTCTGCTGGGTCAACGGGTTGGTCTTGGCTCTGGCTCCACCGACTACACCTTCAGAGGGAGCGACCGTGGTCTCGTCTAAGAGAGCACGGGACACGTCTTGCTGCTTTTTATACCTCTGAAAGGCGGACGGACGCCCCGAGGTCGCCAGATCCAGAGGGGGCTTCAGCTGGTCTTCGGCCGTCTCGGTCATCAGATGTGTGAAGTTGACCACCGACTGCTGCTGCTGCTGCTGCTCAGCGACTTTGCCCCCCCAGACACAGAGCTGGTCAAGCGAAGTTTGCTGGCTGGCCTGAAGCAGCTCAGGGAGGACCTGCTGCTGGGACGGCAGCGGGGGCGGGGAGCAGAGGGACGCCCCGACGGGTAAGTACTGGCTGCCGCGGAGCGCTTCCTCTACGCCTCGCCGTGAAGTTAGTGCCTGTAGCTCCTGGTCGACGAGACGGTCCAGATCTTCTGTCAGGGGGCTAGTGGGCAATGGGGGGAGCAGCTGGGACGGTCTGGAGGAGTCTTCCCCGGGTCCAGACAAGCGACGCGGGCTGAGCAGGGCCGCGGCGGTGCGCTCGAAGCCGGAGACTCGGGAAGGTGGCGGCGCGGCGACTTCGGCAGCCACAGAAAGCTCCAACAGGGAGTCCATGGCATTTTCCACTGCAGCACAACGAGAAAACAAAAGGATTCAATGGTTCAAATGCTTTTGATTGGTAATAAGAGTAAGCAAACCACATGAATATAAGGGTCTCTGATGATACAGACATCCTCCTGTCTGGTACATCAGATACAGCTTCATACAAAACACGCAATTCAGAACTTTGTTGAGTGGTGCAACAAACACTTCCTCATCCTCAATGTCAAAAAAGACAACAAAAAAAAAGAAAGACAGACATATTCAACCCCAAAATCCATTGGAGACGGCTCACCAGTGGTAGTCCAAGAGCAGAGCATAGCGCAGGTTGACTCTTACGGATACCTGGGCGTACACGTCGACTACAAACTGACATGGAGCGTTCAGGTAGAGAATGTCCGCTCTCTGGTCCAACAGCGGGCTACACTGTTCTTCTCCGCAGGCTGAGGGTCTTTGGTGTCAACCAGAAAGTGTTGCTCTTCTTCTACCACGCCACAGTCGACAGCGTCCTGCGGTTCGGATCCTCAGCCTGGTTTGGTAACCTTAGTTTACAGCTGAAAGCCCGGATCAAAGCCTTGAAAATCATGTCCTCCACCCACATCCTCCACCCTGGATATCAGCTGCTTCCCTCAGGCAAACGCCGCAGAGTCCCCCAGTGCAGGCTCCACCGCTTTAAGAACTCCTTCGCCCCCCCCTGTCCATTAAAGTCCGAAATGGAAAGTCAGCCAGAGCCTAACTCCCCCCCAACGCAGACTTACTTATTTACTTACTTATCTGCGGCTGGTGACAGTCTGTGGATGTATGTATGTACATAAATACACATATGTATGTATTGGTCTATACATACATACATACATATACACATATGTATGTATGTATGTATGTATGTATGTATGTATGTATTTGTCTATACATACATACATACATATACACATATGTATGTATGTATGTATGTATATGTGTATGTATGTATGTATGCTCGCTCTACGTCATTGTATTTTCTAAACAGCTGACACTGTGCGTCTCCAAGACCAACTTCCTTCGGGACAATAAAGTCTATCTAAATGAAACACAATGTTATACACACCGTCATAGTGGCAATAACGACTAGGACACGCACGGTGGGTAACTCCTGTCCTTGTGTGACACTGCTTAAGTACGTACACTGAACGCATACCGATACCGCAGGTGGACGCGGGGCAGTCCGGGACACGCAGGTGAAAACCCGGCTAGCAAGCTACACCAGCTCCCCCGCGAGCCACGCGCCAACCCGCTCGCACAACAGGTCGGACGGGTGTCGTCGTCGGGGTTGTTGTACCTTTGAAGTCGGCCTCGGACAGGACGATGTACAGCACTTCGGGGTCCAGGTGCGAGAACATCTCCTGCATGCTGCTGACGATCTTCTGCTTGGCGGAGCTGGAGAGCGACGCGCTGGGCGGGAAGTTGGTTGCCATGGCGCCGTCTGACCCCGCCGGGTCTCGGTGAGCGCTGCTGTGGCCGAGGCTCCCCCGCTCCGGCGACCCGCCGGGGGCTCTGGCCGGGCTCTGGCCGCTCTTCTTCCTGCGGGGCATTCCGTGGTCGGGCTGTGGCGGCCGCCCCCGCGCTCATTAGCGGCTAGTAGTGAAGTAGCAGAGAGCTAACATGGCGTGAGGGGCCCCGGAGCTGAGAACATGTTTCGGCGGCGTACGTTGAGACTAGCGAGTGCCCAAAGTGCAACAACTCAAGGCCGGGATGTGTGACAGCACTCCAAGCGAGGGGTGTCGTATGTGTGTAGTTGCATCACAAAGTGCTCACCGTGCCAGGTTCGCCACAGACGTAAACACCGGAAGTTACGACGGTGACGTCAAAATAAAAGTTTGTCGTGTCACGTGGTCCCGGTTGAGCTTTGGAAGCTCTGAAAAAATGGGGATTAAACTGCAGCAATGCTACGATGATGGTTTCTCCTAATTGTTTGTTTTAGCATATTCAAATTTACATTTCGATATTTTTTATTTATTTATCTGACTTTTGCACTGGGTTGATTGTTAATAATTGTAATTAATCACCTAACTCGACGTATGTACGTACAGTTCCGATTCTCCTGCTGACATATAACATATTGTAAAAAGAACAAATAGCGGCATGGTGAACTGTGTGATGCACATAACCAACTGAACAGTATACAATGTCAGATGTAATATAAAATGTGTTATATATTTTTTTGCACTTATTTAAAGGAAAAGCGGATGGTCTGTATCATTCAAGAAAGTAGTTCAATTGAACCACCTTCTGAATTGTTATCTACCAGTTGACCACTGGGTGTCTCACTCCTCTAACAACCCTCGCAACTCATTATTTCATAGAGAAAGTAAACTTGCACTCCCCACGTACTTATGTTATGTCAGTACTACTAGTATTAGTATTAGTTGTCATAACAATGATAAGAATAATAACACGCACATAACCGGGACATGGTATCATGCATATAAATAAATGTAATTACGTAAAAGCAATGTTGACACCGGGGATATTTCAAAGATAAAACCCCACAGTAAGTTGAGGGGATTTGTGCGTGAGGTGACTCCCGCCATGTATATTGTGTGCTGCAGTACCCGCGTGGGACCGAGGGGGGCGCTGTGCACTCAGCCTCCAGACACACAGCACTGACTGAGCTGCACGGACAGAGAGCTTTGTGCCGAAAACTAAACCAACCTGTGTCAGACTAATGAATTAAAACGGGCCACTTGAGAGGTAAATACAAACAAGGGGATGCTTGGCAAATATTCTACTGTTTTTGTCGTATTTGTGTATTTGAAAATAGATTAATTTCGCATTCATTTGGGATGTTAAAAATCATCTGTGTGGGCAAGTTGGTGTTGCGAGACAGGGCTCAGGGCGACGGTAGCAGCCCTTCGTCGCCTGTAAACTAGCGGCAGTACGGAGCGATGCGTCGAAGTTGAAAAAAGACAGTAACAAGTACATTAGCTTGATTTTTAAACTTCACAAACTAGTTTCATTTGTTGTCAAACACTGGAACTGACCACGGTCAAGCCTATTTTAGGCAGAGATGATGGGATACCCCACTTCCTCTGTGATTGTCTGTAGTCTGAGATGTGATGGGTACCTCAGTAGTTTGCGGCCTATGCGCTAGCAAAGTAGGCTAACCCTTTAGCTAGCACGGCTAACGTGTATTAGCCGTTCGCTGCTAGCATTACTTCCTTCCCGCAAAATGCTAACCGCTTGCCAATGATGTTTGCACTGCAACTAGCTAGCTAGCTAATTTGATAACCTGTATGACAGTAGACATACGCCGGCCGCTTTCGTGTTGTTTTGGGGTGTTTTTCCTACAACTTAGCGGTTCAAATAGCCGTAAGGTTACTAGAAGCCCCGATATGCTTGTTTCTCTAGCAATACCATGTTTGATTGGACATTAACGGAAAATATGGAGCTTGTATTTAGCTGGGGTATTTAGCATGCAAGCTAACAATATGTACACTGTTGGTTGAATTTCGTCTTTCTGTCTGAAAAGTTGTCTGGACCAGAATATCGTTAAATAAACCGCTCCGGTGTAGTTCATTTCAGCGGGTACACTTGATAGTTGGCTAATGGCAATGGTGCTTAAAACCAGGTTTTGGTAAGTGCGGTAGCATGGTTGTGCTGAACTTTTGTTTTCTGGCCCATAGAGGCCAGTAGAAGACCGTGTGGACCACACATCAACAAGCATGGAGTTCCCGCAACAGCAGAAACCGGCGGGGGACGGAAAGATCACCTATCCGCCCGGAGTGAAGGAGATTACCGACAAAATCAGCAACGATGAAATGGTCAAACGGTTGAAGGTGTGTTGACGTGATTTCTCGCTGTCGGAATTCATATCCTTGCAAGCCCCAACGGGATTTCTCTGTGTTCAGCCCCTGGCAAAATGCCATCACCCTAATTATGTTGTATGCTACTGTATGTCAGACCAACTCACAGACATGGTACACGGAGAATTATGGTTTAATTTGAGTTTGACTGATACTGCTATTATTTTTCAGTATTGAGGTCTCCACATTTTAGCAGTTCTTCCATCCTCTTAAGACTAGGACAAATGGGATGATCCCAACACAAGACATGGAAACAAGTAGTTTCTGCATTCGTTTTAATATGGTTTCCGTTTGTCCTCTGTATCAACTCCTGAGGGAAATATCTGCCTCAGCTGCTAAATGCTTCACTGCGTTCACTAGCTGTTCACTGGCTGTTTCTATCAGCCGTGTTTTATATGAAACATAGGTGTTAAAGCATCTCACACTCCATCCTGAAGTTAGTTTTTCAAAGCTGGCACTTATATTTACTGGGATCTTGTGACTCTTCTTAATCACATTAGATTGTTTACTCCAGTAATACTGAAGCGGTTCTGTGACATCTCAGAACTGACTAAGTTAAGACCGTAAAGCGCAACAACCTTTGGCCTTGGCAAGCGAGACAACCGTGCTGAATGGCTGTTGACTGCTAGACCAGTGTTTACACATCCATGTAACCTGCTTTTACTGCTGAGAAGTAGACAGCTGACACAAATTGATGGGAGAGAGTTACGATTTGTTGCACTTCTAGCAGAGCCTGTTTTACCCAGTTTGCAGTTAATTTTATGGTGCAGTTAATTTTCTACGGTTTGAGATTCCTATTTTTCATTCACGTTCAACTAAAGTCAGCCACTATCACAAGCAGTTCTGTAGCTTTGACTAAAAGTACATATTGTACCAGGTTACACTTCTCACTCAGTGTCCCAATACAAATGAATACTCCCAACATGGTTCCACATTAAGGTTTTCACCAAATAACAAAGTTAAGTATTTTAAATCTTAAAGTAGATTGCTCGAGGGTTTTGCACTTTCCTCGCACTATTTCATTGTTTGCTGCACAGGGATGGGAAGGAAGCTCAATGACTTATCAGCCTCGACCATCATTGGCTTGGGAAAAAAACATATATTGACAATTGTGAAACCGGGCAATCAGCAAATGATTATCTGCATTAAGTTGAGTAGGAGTTGTTTTATTGAATGTTGAGATCGGGATTCTCAGTTTCTATATCTTGTCCATCCTGGCAGACAGTTCCTTTTTGTCGCTGCAGAACGTTGTAGATTGAAAAAAGCAAAATAATCCACTCCACCCACTGTGCTTTGTATACTCGCACAAACACCAGTGATATATTTCACTTCATAAAAATATAAGTTGTTGGCACACACATGATGAATAATAAACAACCTTCCAAGATAAGTTGTTTATACCCAATCACCCAGAAACTATCCTCAGCCAACTCTGTTCAATTTATACGTTATCCTAATTCTTCTAAATGCAAACACTTAAAATACCATATATTATACATCATTCGGTTGTGTTTAATTGCTTTTATTCTAATGCAATGGTGTCTTTGTTTATAGGTCACTAAATCCAAATAGTTCCATGAAAAAAGTTTTTGTTACAAGTTATAATGATTAACAATTGTTGTCAGAGCTCTCATTACTAATTAAATACGCCAAATGGGGGCGTTTTTTTAAAGATACAATCTAGCTGCGCCCACCAACTGGCAAAAATATTTTCTCCACTACACTTCGATCTATAAAAGACCCACTGTGTAACAAAAGGACGCAACATGTACTTGATCATCGTGGTCGGTAGAGACCGATGTTTCCAACCACATTGCTTTCACGGAGGGGAAAGGCATTCTTTAGGGAATCGTTGAGACTTTTAGAAATCCCTTTAGTCTTTCGGGGAGTTAGATGAGCGGGTCGATACCATACTTGTGTATGTATGTAAATATGAAGCGATAAGCACCAGCCTTTTGTCGTCTGGCCGTCACTGTGAGGTTGCCAAGCAACCATTGGAGACTCCTGAAAGTGGGGGCATCCGGCCAAGAGATAATACCCTGAGTCCCCCCCTATAAAACCACAAATAGTCCCTTTTCCCCTTTGCTTTTTATTGTGATTAAAGAAACCAGAGCAAACCAGAGGTCGCGCTGGCTTATTTTGTACCGTTTGGACGGAGCCCGTCGCTGACCCGTTTCCAGGCTTTGTGCTAAGCCAACTGCGACTGGCTAGCTTCATGTTTACCGTACAGGCAAGAGTGGTATTGATCTCCCCGTCTCAAGGAAGCACATAAGTATTTCCCAAGATTATACAGCTAGGGATCTCTATTGGTCTGTGGGCACTTATGTGCTTTGCATATTTCAAGAACTGTTCATCCAGTCTGCTTTGCACACGGCGGAACACGGGATGTCCAGTGTAGAATGCGGTGCAGTTTGGACAGATGTTGGCCCTCTAACAAAGGCCTCAATGTTTACGCCTGTTGGTTTTAAACCCTGACTCTTCATTCTTTTTTTTCTGGATTTTTTTTAGTTCCTGTCCTATTGATTTGTCTAGATCTATTCTGTAATTGTGCCCAAATCTTATACACAAGGACTTGGACACAACTTCCATTTCATATTGAATTAGTATTTTCATTGCACATTATTAACCAAACCAGTTTTTGGTTTTTTTACTACATGTCTATTGGAAATTTCCTTTTTCACACTCTGTCCACACAGTCTCCATCACTGTTTTTAGAAATATTTCCGTTCCGTTTGAAGGTACCTGAAAATGACTAATCACGTACACTGGGCTCGCTGGTGCCAGTTTAAACAGGAAGTAGGTTTGTTGCTTTAGTTTTATTTATTTATAAATAATAAATAATTGTCTTTACGTTCAATACACATACATTGCCTTGCATAGGTATTCACCCCGCTGGGAGTTTTCTACGTTTTGTGGTATAACCACATATTCAAATTAATTTCATTGCGATATTATGTAATCGACCAACACAAAATAGTTTACATGTATGTTAAAAATGACACCCTCTTTACTGTAAAATGAATCCGAAGAAAGCAAGAGGCCCACGTAACTCTGGAGGAGCTGCAATGAGCCACAGCTGAGGGGAGGAATCTGTCCACTGGACAACTACTAGCCGTGAACACAACCGGGGCCTTCATGGTAGAGTGGCCAGAAGAAAGCTGCTGTGAAAGTAAACCATAAGAGGTCCTGTTTGCCACAAGCCATGTGGGACACACATCAACATGTGGGAGAAGTTGCTCTGCTCAGATGAGACAAACTGAACTTTTTTTTCCTCCATGCAAACCGCTGTGTGGTGGAAACCCGACACTGGCCATTAACCTGAGCACCCCGTCCCAACAGGGGAGGTGGTTCAGCAGCTACAGGAAGCTAGTCAGAATGGAGCGAGAGAAGGATGGAGCCAAATACAGGTCAATCCTTAAAGATGATATGATGCGGTCTGCAAAAGAATTGAGGCTGTAAACATACAGCCAGAGCCACGATGGAACGGTTTAGATCAGAGCATGTTCATGTTTTAAAATGGCCAAACCTCAATCCAATTATGAATCTATGGTGAGATTCTCCTTCCAATCTAACTGAGCTTCATCTTTTTTGCAAAGAGGAATGGATGAACATTTCCATCTCTAGATATCACAAGAGATTTAGAGCTGGAATTGCAGCAAATGGGGTTCTACCAAGTATTAACTCGGGGGGGACTTATGCAAGGCCCCGTATTTGTGCTCAAGATCTTTCCCTTTATACTCTATTGGACCAATTTTGTTAAGTTTTTATTTTTCAAACTTTGTTACATGGTTTTCTTCTATCTCACACATACGATGTACTTTAAAGTGAACTCTTGCATGTGCACGTTTCACTAGCGTTTGGTACTCTTTGTGGGGTGAATCGAAGAGCCTCTCCCACCGGAGAGCGCTTTTGTTTTGAATTGTACTGAAGAAACCGCAGCATCGATAACGACGCTTGTTTAGTGTCCATCGCTCTCGCCAAAGCCGGCGTCGTCCGCCGCGTCGGGCTGCTGCTGGCAAATGGCAACACTAAACGGCTGCTTCCTCTGCATGTCGGCAGTAGTAGTATTGGTAGTCAATCGATAATTTAAAGCAGTTTGCTTTTCTCCCGGCGGTGTAACAATCACACGCCCTGTCAAACAGCAGCCGTGGTTTATTAAAGGCCCCCGTTGGATTCGCCCGGGCCTCATTAAGAGGCAACGCAGGAGTTTTCAAAGTAAAGTTCTCGTCTAAAAAAAAAAAAAAAGGACTGCTGTATATTTTGTTGCTAAAGGTGAGACAAGCCGAAATAAAAGCTTATGTTTGAATAATGGATCAGTGAGTCTGAACGTTTACTATGCGTTCCGCACTGTGAGGTATTTATTTACCTAGTCGTGTACCGGGAATGTGTCCTCGCACGTATGACCTTTGCTAATGAGCTGCTTTGACAGATGACATCACTCTGTATTTGAGCAAAAGTTGAGTCTGGTTCTCCTTTGTAGACCAGCATATGTGCTGGTCTACAAAGATCAACCTGGATTTAAAAAAATATATTTTTTTATGAACCGCTCATGTCTGTAAAAACACTTTCCTATTTTTCCCTTTCTTCATTTATTTTATATATTCCTTGTTATTGCATGCACTGTGTGTTTTTGTAGAACAAAGCACATGTAGCCGCATAAGCAAACGTGGCCAATAAAGCTGATTCTGACTCGCGCTGAGAGCGTGAGAGGTGTGCGTGCACGGCGCTCTGCAGTCTGCTGCCGCTGGCGGCCCATCCCCCACCCGCCTGACTGCATAGTGAGCTGCTCTGCCTCTCGTGTAACGCGCTCAATCGCTCACTCTTGTGGAGGAAGTGCTAGTTTAAAGCCTGGTATCCGAGTGAGTCTACATAAGAACTGGTTGGTGCCTACAGCGTTTGCTGAGAAGGTGTTTGCGGTGAACCTAGAAAAACAATTTTTTTCCTGTCCCACAATAAGCACATGAGAATGAAATGTAAGTAGGATCTGAGACGTATTAAAATCTTTTTTTTATTATTTTGATTTAATTCTCAAGCAGAAGACTTTCCCACCGTTTCTTTTTTTCCAGGATTCGTAACTCTGTAACTCTTGGGTTAATCCTTGTTGTTATATAGTTACAACCGTGACTCAATCTCAACACACGTAAGACAAGTAGCTCCTCCATGACGTGCAGGAATATATTCTGCCGTGCAGCCCTAGTAAATGGTGAAACGGCTCTACTCTCTTCAGGTTAATTCAGCTCAAGTATGTCTGGTTGTCCGGTCGCTCAGACTGAGACTGATTATTAGCTGCTCTGGACAATCGCTTCAGCATCGCGACATGTTGGTACTTACAATTCCTGGCCAACTTCCTTGAGCTTCCTTCGTCGTGGCTCATCACTGTCTAACCTGCTGTTAATAAGGGATGGTTATTGTTGGGGTTTTCCGATATCCGGTGCTAAAAGAATACAGGTGCCTGAACCGATACTTCAAATAAAACATAAAAGCACAAAGCGGCAATTGACGACGTTAAAGAGCGGCTTTTTTCGGCAATTTGTTTTTCTTCAAGTTGAACAACATGTTATTTAGAGTATAGAACAGTGGATAGATGGGTATCGATCCTTTTTGTAGCTACTTGGATTGATTATGGTGGGAAACTCCTTTATGGTCCAGCAGGAGTCGTTTCAAATGCAAATATTGTGTCAAACTGTTGTTTTCCCCTCATCCTCCTCCTCCTCCTGTGTCGCTTGGGCTCACAGATGGTGGTGAAGACCTACATGGACATGGACCAAGACTCCGAGGAGGAGAAGCAGCAGTATCTCGCCCTGGCGCTCCACCTCGCCTCCGAGTTCTTCCTCAGGAACCCCAACAAAGACGTCAGGCTACTGGTGGCCTGCTGCCTGGCTGACATCTTCAGGATCTACGCCCCCGAGGCCCCCTACACCTCCCATGACAAACTCAAGGTTAGCAACTGACCGTGCATTACCGTAGAAAACCCGCCAGCAAAAGACTAAAGCGATCGAAGCTTCTTCAAGCAGTGTACACCAGTTGACGTGACTGCTGCCTGCCGGTTTGATGTAGATCCTAACTAAGTAAAATAGAAAAGGCCATTCTGCTACAACGTTATCTATACTACTGGCCTGGTGTTTTGGCAAACCCGTGAAAAAAAACTTTGTTAGCTGGTCTCATTGCAATGCAGTCTGAACCTCTTGAGTCTGGACGACGGCAGACACTGTAGCTCCTCAAATGACCACTTAAGGCAGGTCCCCAAAGAGGGTCGTTCCCGAAATAAACCTCCTTACAGCAGATACAAACCTGTTTACAGCCTGCTACAAACCAAAAGAATGCAAATAGGTGTTGACATGTTTTCTGTCTCGTCTCCAGGACATTTTCCTGTTTATCACCAGACAGCTAAAGGGACTGGAAGACACTAAGAGCCCTCAGTTCAACAGATACTTCTACCTGCTGGAGGTAAGGCGCTGATGTGGAAGTGTGTTTGTTCACGGGGCTGTGGAGCAAACCGCTGGTGACCGACTAACATGTTTGTGTGTTTCTCTAGAACCTGGCGTGGGTGAAGTCGTACAACATATGCTTTGAACTGGAGGACTGCAACGAGATCTTTATCCAGCTTTTCAAAACACTCTTCTCAGTCATAAAGTAAGGCTCTGCATATATACATATATATATTTGTTAATGGCTCTTTTTTCCAACCTTTTTTCTTATTCATAGTCTCTCCAGTAGCCCTTGAATCTGTTGCACATGTAGATGAGCTCTATCGTTACTCCCTTTCTGACGTTTGTTGTTTTCCTTGAAACTTGCCATCATTCTATTTCCAGGAGTTGAGGGGATTACAATGAGCCATCACCCATTTTCACACACATTTATTATAACTTCGTTGTAAATTCACTTTTCTTTCATGTACCTATCTTCTACAGCAACAGCCATAATCAGAAGGTGCAGATGCACATGATAGACCTGATGAGCTCCATAATCATGGAGGGTGACGGAGTCACACAAGAGCTGTTGGACACCATCCTCATTAATCTCATCCCTGCACACAAGGTGGGACACATAACACGTTCATATGTATTAATCATTTATTTATATTGACTGCGCAGAATTTACAGAGAACCTGTACTACTATTTTATTTTCAAAGCTGTAATCTGGCAAAATAATGTTTAATTTCTTTTTCTATTTGCATTCTAATAATAACAATATTGCATATGATTGGAACCAGATTCAGCTGAGCTATTGGACAGTCCTGGAGTTCTGCATCAATGAGTGTTTGAGTGAGATGTTGTGTTCAACTTTCCTCGGGACAGAATCTGAACAAGCAGGCGTACGATCTTGCAAAGACTCTGCTGAAGAGGACGGTCCAGACCATCGAGACGTGCATCGCAAACGTGAGCAGCAGACCCGCATAACCACTGTTTGTATCGGCAGCACAGATATTTTAAATGATGAGCTATTGATCTGACACGGTGCTCTTTTTCCCCTTCCTCAGTTCTTCAATCAGGTGTTAGTAATGGGCAAGTCGTCGGTCAGCGACCTGTCGGAGCACGTCTTCGACCTCATCCAGGAACTGTTCACCATCGACCCCATGCTGCTTACTTCTGTCATGCCACAGCTGGAATTCAAACTCAAGGTTAACACGACAAACACGCTGTCAAAATAAGCGCAGGTCTCAGACGTGTATACCAGATATGTTTGTAGGACCGCGATGATTGTCAATGAGCAAAGACGCTTGAACTCGAGCACTTTTAATCCAGACCTTGCTTTTTAGAGCTTCCCAAGTCCATCCTTCAGCTAGACTGGCTGTGAGAGGAGGCTGGACAGGTCTAAACATAGAGGCTCTATTCAGACTACTACGCTATTGATTTAAAAAGCATAACGTTTGCTCGTTTTGATTTGCGGACCCTAGAAACACGATGATGTTCACTTCTTGATTGGTTCTCACCAGTCAAGATTAAAACAAATGACCGGAGCCTCGAACACCACAGCTGGACGCGTGAATACGAAACGCCTTGCTGACATTGTTGTCTGTTTGCACAGTTACATTTTATAATGCTACTACTGCCGCCAGGTGCAGGAGGCAGGCCTTCATTTTAGTGCTTTGCAACAATTCCCCTATCCTGCAGTGTTGTCAGCCATGGTCATGTGATATGCTGCTTCTTGTGTTTTCAGAGCAACGACGGCGAGGAGCGTCTAGCTGTTGTCCGGTTGCTGGCAAAGCTGTTTGGGGCCAAAGACTCTGAGCTGGCGTCCCAGAACCGACCGCTGTGGCAGTGCTTCTTAGGGCGGTGAGTTCCGCCACTCCCCAGCTCCATCACCTGCTCCTCCCAGGTGTGACGCCCATTCGGGGATCTCTCTCTACCTGCTACTGATGCTTTGTTCCCCGCAGGTTCAACGACATCCATGTTCCCGTCCGGCTAGAGTGTGTTAAGTTCGCTAGCCACTGCCTCATGAACCACCCAGACCTGGCCAAAGACTTGACAGGTGTGTTTGAGTCTCATCACTCTCCTCCCCCAACTCGGCCCTTTCTTTCCCCATTCAAGCTCTGAACACGCGGCTCTCTCCCCATCTAGAGTATTTGAAAGTGCGCTCGCACGACCCAGAGGAAGCTATCCGCCACGATGTCATTGTGACCATTATCAACGCCGGGAAAAAGGATCTCAACTTGGTCAATGACCAGCTGTTGGGCTTCGTACGAGAGAGGACCTTAGACAAGAGGGTGAGAATAACGTGCGCTCCCAAGCGGTGCAGATGTTGCCATCAAATGGCGTTTTGGGTAGTCGTAGAAGCCGTCTTTGCTTGATTCAGTCCATTTATCAGCGTTCATGGACTTTGGAGACATCTCACCCACATAAATGTTCAGATACTCCGGGTTTTACTTGCTTATGAGCGACTTTAGGTGGAATGTTGACTTTCTGCATCTGAACTGTTTCTCCTCCCTCCCTCTCTAGTGGCGTGTGCGTAAAGAGGCCATGATGGGCCTCGCTCAGCTTTTTAAGAAGTACTGCCTGCACTACGAGGCGGGGAAGGAGTCAGCCCAGAAGATCAGCTGGATCAAAGACAAACTACTGCACATCTACTATCAGAACAGCATTGACGACAAGTGAGCATAAACACACGGACATGTAGTCTTGTGTTGACGTGGTAAACGCGGCCGTTTTGGCTGTTCAGACCTTGAGTAACCGTCTAAACATGGATGATTGCAGTTTATTTTGGAAGCACTGTGCTCAAGTTTAATAGTGCATTGACAATACTGTCCTTTCCGTTCGCATTTACTCCTCCAGGTTATTAGTCGAGAAGATCTTCGCTCAGTACATGGTTCCTCACAGTCTTGACACGGAGGAGAAGATGAAGTGTCTGTACTACTTGTACGCCTGCCTGGACACCAACGCTGTCAAGTCAGTCAAAGCTGCAACATCTCCTCTAGCACATGACTGCCGACCTGTATCTTTATTTTGATGCTTGCATGCGATGAACACACAAACCCGCACAATGGCCAACCAGCCACTACCAACACTAAAGGTGCAACGTTTTGTGACACCTCACCGGTTTCTCCTCTCTGCGTGCTTCGCTTTCAGGGCCCTGAATGAGATGTGGAAGTGTCAGAACATGCTCAGAAGCCTGGTCAAAGAGCTGCTCGACCTCCACAAGCTGCCAGTGGTGTGTTGACAAACATTTACATACAAAATTGACCACATCTCCCCTGAGTTTTGTGATGCAGAACATATCTAAAGACCGTATCTCTCTCCCCGCTAGTCCGAGGCGAATAACACGGCCATGTTTGGGAAGCTGATGAGTGTCGCCAGTAAGTTGGAAACCACACAAACGTGCACAGTGCGCATTCATTCCGCACACATCTTGTATCTTCTGGGCGGTCAGGGTTCATTTGGCTTAACAATATTGTCCTTTTAACTCGTCTCTGTGTTTGCAGAGAACCTCCCAGACGCCGGAAAGGCCCAGGACTTTATGAAGAAGTTCAACCAGGTTTTGGGTGAAGACGAGAAGCTCCGAGTCCAGCTGGAGGTGCTCATCAGCCCGACATGCTCCTGCAAACAGGCCGAGATCTGTGTGGTGAGAGGAAAACACCATTTGGCGTGCACGCCGCTCTTTCACTTCCTCCCAGACCGTGATGGTGGTCGCGTTCTGTCTTTATTTATAAAGAGCTCAGGCTGTGTTTTGAGTGCATAGATGTGCTGTTGTTTTTGAGAAAGATGGAAAGCTTCTGTAGACCTGCATTAATCAACACCTGATCAGCTCTGTTCCTTCTTTGAACTGGGCTGCCAGCTTTTCTGAGATTAGACTGAGACAAAGAGGAAAGGTGATGTTGAGATCTTTTCAATAGAACATCTTTGATGTGTTGAGTCATTGTCAATCAGCATTGAGATCTACAGCGTCTTCATTTCCCTCCAGCTTTTCATCCTTTTGCTCCAAATTCGTTGATACAAGGTTGTTATTGTTATTATTATTATTATTATTATTACCGTGCATGTTTTGGTGCAATCTACTGAAACATTCAAAGATTTAGTAAAACAAACCTGGGTTGTAAATGTGGATGCCCATTTATAACCCTGATCCATGAACGTCTGTATTGACCGTGTTGTGTGTTTGCAGAGGGAGATCACACGAAAGTTGACGTTCCCCAAACAGCCCACCAACCCGTTCCTGGAGATGGTTAAGTTCCTGCTGGAGCGCATCGCCCCCGTCCACATCGACTCGGAGGCCATCAGGTCCGAAAAATGTCCCCAAATGTTCAACAGATCTCGTGCTGCGCTTGAGTTTCCCTACAGACCATTCATAGAGGAACATTCATACTAGGCTACATTTACATTACATGTCATTTAGCTGACGCCTTTATCCAAAGCGACTTACAATAAGTGCATTCAACCATAAGAATACAAACTCGGAAGAGCAAGAAACAAAGGGAAATTTCCTCAAATAAGCCAATTTACAATAGGTAAGTGGCGCTATAAGTACAATTTAACATGACAAGAGCCTGAATCAGTACCTGCGCTGCTTTCCGAGTGAGAAGGAGACATTCAAATTTGAAAGAGGGCTTAAAATCCTGTCAATCAGATAAAAGTTTCTTTAGCGTTGCACAAAAAGATGCAGAGCAGCACTTCCTGCCTCATTGATAAGAGCTCTGCTCGTGTGTTGTGTAACACCCTGAGCCGGCTTCTCTCGTTCACTGAGACACCTAGTGGTGAAGAGATGAACCCGCGGGCCTCGGGCAGGGATCCGGTTTAACCCCTTCTGCTTCATGGAAAAACACCATAAGAGAGAGAAACACACCTACGGAAATGACTCCCGGTGCTTATCCATAGGCCGCGTTGTGAGCACTCACACATTATGCTTATTTTAAATAACCGGCTCGTAATTCCTTCCTAAAAGAACAAATCCTGTTTTTCAAAGGACTTTATTTAGGTGCTGTGAGCAATCAGTGTAATTTGCTCTCCTTTATTGGTTTGTAATTGGACACCGTTATGGCAAATATTTAATATTTTACAGCGAGGCAACTCGCAGCAAAGCAATCCAGATGGATGTATAGCATTGGAGGTAAGGGGACATGTGGGGCTTTGTTGGGCAGTGTAACACTTTCTGCTGTTATGTTATAAGACGTCTCATGGTGCGCAGTGTGTCCTGTTGCTCCCATTTAGAGGATCTTAATGGGTTGTTGCTTGTTGTGTCTTAGTGCTCTGGTGAAGCTGCTTAACAAGTCCATTGAGGGCACCGCTGACGACGACGAGGAGGGCGTTACCCCCGATACAGCCATCCGCTCCGGGCTGGAGCTCCTTAAGGTGGCGGACGTGGGCACACTGTAGCGTACAAGACAATTGGGTCATTAGTAGTAAGCCGGTTTGATTACCGTATTCTCTTTTTTTCTGCTCCCCTTCTAGGTCTTATCGTTCACACACCCAACAGCGTTCCACTCCGCAGAAACCTACGAGTCTCTGCTGCAGTGTTTGAAGATGGAGGACGAGAAAGTGGCGGAGGCAGCCATCCAGATATTCAGAAACACGGGACAGAAGATTGAGACGGAGCTACAACAGATACGATCGTAAGAGAGAAACGACATGTTTGAGAACTCTTTTAGTTGGACGGTTGCTTTAAGAATCTACAGCGAGGGAACGACGTCAGCCACACAGAGAAATAATCTTCCTTGTGTGCTCCAACAGGACTCTGATTCCCGTCCTGCATCAGAAAGCCAAGCGGGGAACGCCCCACCAGGCCAAGCAGGCGGTCCACTGCATCCACGCCATCTTTAACAACAAGGAGGTGCAGCTGGCACAGATTTTTGAGGTAGGACAGTTTTTCATTTTTCTATTTGCAAATGTTTCTTTATTTTAGCTTGAATTAATCATTATTCACTCCCCTCCTGTTTATCCTTCTCGTACGTGATCTTTTCCTTGAGCTTTCTTCTTTTGTCGCAGCCTCTGTCACGTAGTCTGAACGCAGACGTCCCAGAGCAGCTCATCACTCCCCTCGTGTCCCTGGGTCACATCTCCATGCTGGCACCAGATCAGTTTGCTTCGCCCATGAAGTCCATCGTGGCCAATTTCATCGTCAAGGACTTGCTCATGAATGACCGGGTGTGTGGAAATGAAGCTTCACACCCATACAACATTTGCTCACTTTTCACACTGTTTTACAACAATTTCACAGAATTGTGTTTGATAAAATACAACTTTTAGCCAAAATAAACCCGGTTTAGAAAAGAGTGGCTTTGATTTTCCTTTATGTCTCCAGTCAGTGGGAAACAAGAATGGGAAGCTGTGGACCACGGATGAGGAAGTTTCACCCGAGGTCCTAGCTAAGGTAAAAAAAAAGCACCACTGTGGCATTTTCTACTACATGATCTTACATTGATGACAAATGTGTGAATCTTCTTCGGTGCCCATGTAATAACAACTACATGAAGCCATGTTTGAAAGGTCCCAGCACCTTGGTCTCCCTAATCGAGCTCCTGCTGGTCCCACAGGTGCAGGCCATCAAGCTGCTCGTGCGCTGGTTACTAGGAATGAAGAACAACCAATCCAAGTCGGCGAACTCCACTCTGCGCCTGCTGTCGGCAATGCTGGTCAGCGAGGGCGACCTCACAGAGCAGAAGAAGATCAGGTGATTCGGGGCTTGAATGTCAGGATTAAGAAGTGTGTGTGGGGGGACAATCATTTATTACAGATTCTAACTTCTAATCTTCGCTAACATTCTTGTTCCTTCTTTCTCCCCACAGCAAGTCGGACATGTCCCGCCTGAGGCTGGCTGCAGGCGGAGCCATCATGAAGTTGGCCCAGGAGCCGTGTTACCACGACATCATCACACCCGAACAGTTTCAACTCTGCGGCCTCGTAATCAACGTTAGTCTGCGTTTTATGAGCCTCTTTAGCAGCAGAGCATGTGCCGTTAGAAGGAGGAGGGTATGGACGATCACATTATGGACGGCTGCATTCCACGGAGCTGCACCGTCCTGGTTCAGAAGTCCTCTCCCCCACATTGACGTGTCAGAAGGCCGTGTGGAAAAAAAGGCCTGTTGTAAAGTACACCATGTTGTTTGACTCGAGTCTGCTCCCTCCGACGTACAGGACGAGTGCTACCAGGTCCGTCAGATCTTCGCGCAGAAGTTGCACCTGGCTCTCGCCAAGCTGATGCTGCCCCTGGAGTACCTCGCCGTCTTCGCCCTGTGCGCCAAGGATCCGGTGAAGGAGCGCCGCGCGCACGCCCGACAGTGCCTCCTCAAGAACATTTCAGTCCGAAGGGAGTACATCAAACAGAACCCACTCGCTCAGGGTCAGTTTTTTCACCGACGTGTGCGCCGCGATTACACGCTGCTGCGGTCTTTTCTGACCTGTAGTGTTCTTTTTATCCATTTATTTTTTCACAGTCCGCTTTATTGAACAGCCATTGAACGGTCAAATATTCCACCTTTCCATCTAATTTGATTTGTTTAACCACATCTCCAGAAAATCGACACAAAGTAAATGCCGTTTGCACCCAGTTCTCTTGTACAGATGTGAGGAATTAAATGGAAATGGAGGACGTGTGGCGTTAAACTAATGCAGACGAACAATGTGCCAAAAGGCTGCAGGTCAAACCTCAAACGATGTAGAGTACGTGGAAATATCACTGCTGTTTTTAAAGGCGTGTTTTATTTATAGGTGTTTCATTGCACTTCGGTACACAAACTTTGATGGGTGACATTTATGTTCTTTGAGAACGTGCATTAAACTCAACATTACTTTTCTCCCCACAGAAAAACTTGTCTCCCTCCTTCCTGAATATGTCGTCCCATATATGATCCACCTGCTGGCCCACGACCCGGACTTCACAAAACCGCATGAATATGAACAGCTTAAAGACATTAAAGAGTAAGTGCTGCCATATGAACTATTAATGCATCTGTATTTTTTCAGATTTGTTTAAGATGCCTGCAGTGATGTTCATTTTGCTTCCGTGTGCAGGTGTCTGTGGTTCATGCTGGAAGTTCTGATGACCAAGAATGAGAACAACAGCCATGCGTTCCTAAGGAAGATGGTGGAGAACATCAAACAGACCAAGGATGCACAGTGTCCCGAGGACGCCAAAGCCAACGAGGTATGCACACGTTTACATTGAGCGTGTGATCTGGCCAGCATCTCTTGAAACGTATCTTCTTGTTCTTCATTTGTTCATAAACCTGAAGCTTTGGGAATAATTGTCTTTAACTCTATAAAACCATTACATGTTTACTAGATGGCAAAGCAGAACAGACGCAGCCCATAACCGCGTCTCATGTTGTCTTGGTTACAGAAACTGTATATAGTCTGCGATGTGGCTCTCTTCGTCATCGCCAATAAGAGCACTGCGTGTCACCTGGACTCCCCTAAAGACCCGGTCCTGCCCTCCAAGTTCTTCCTCGTACAGGACAAGGCAATACACACTCACACATGCTCTAATGTAGACAATGTATTCGTGCTCACCCAAAATGTCAAACTCTTCTTCAAAGTGCTTGTTGCAAATGAGTGTCTTACGTTTTCTGGTTTGATTTATTTCCACAGGACTTTAAAAATGATAAAGAGTATCTGTCGACGGAGATGAGACAAGTGCTGCTCACTGGAAAGGTAAAAGCTTTCCACATTCTGCGATCCGTAGAAAGGTCACTCATTCTGTATTGGCATTACGAATTTACAGGGTGAAGGGCAAAGGTACACAAGTAGTAAAAGCATAAAGTAGCAACGGTGTTTGTCACGGAGTACATCCACGACTATTATGTTCTGTTAAATATGAATTGAATGAAATCTCTAAAAAGCAGCATAACGTTCTCTTCTCAGCCTAAACCTGCTCCGGTGTTGGGAGCTGTGAACAAGCCTCTGACGGTACCGGGGAGGAGGATCTTCACGAAGACCCCCACGGGCTCCGACACAGCCAGTAACACCAGCACCAACTCCTCCCCCCTGAACAGCTCCACTATCAACAAGAACAGGTACACACACACGCACGCACACACACACACGTGCACTGAGGAACAGGCCTCTGCCAACTCTTTTAATCGTGTCCCGTAACAGCAACGCCGTCACCGAGTCGTCAGCGCAGGAAAACAATGAGAACCCGGTCATCCAGCACGATGTGGGGAAGAAGGTAAGCACAGAGGGGACCGCCTGCCGTCCCGAAGAGCTCCGCAGTGCGTCCTCTTTTGACCAAGCGCCGCCCCCCCCCCCGACCGTCTCTCTCTCTCTCTCAGGAGGAGCCGAGTCAGAACGTGACCCCCGGCGGCGACACCGCGGCGTCGCCCGTCAAGCGGCGCGGCCGCCAACCCAAGTCCGCCACCGCCGCTCCCGTCGAGAAAGAGGTGGCGCCGGCCGCGGCGAGCCGCGGCAGGAAGAGGGCGGCCGACCCCAATCCCAACCCGCCGGCGGACTCCATCAACATCAAGATGTCGAAACAGCAGCAGCAGCAGAACGACGAAGGGACAAAGAGACAGATTGACTTGCAGAGGTGAGGACGAAGGAGGCGTGGCCTGTAATGGATTTAACCTGTAGCAGCTGAGCTTCAAGTAGCCTCCACAGACAGGTGGAGAAAAAGGAAATTGACTCCATTTCCTCGTCAGGTGGCCGTGCGTGAGCGTTGGGAAAGACAGAGAGAGAAAGAGGGAGTCTGGAGAGGAGGCAGGGAGAGCTGTAGGGACAGGGGCCCTTCTTCTGGGCAGAAAGGGAGACACTGAGATAGAGCTGCAGTCCAGCCCAGAGGGCCGTCTCAGTGGCAGGACGGAGGCAGGGAGGTGCCCCCCCCCCCGTCCGACTCGTGTAGCCAGGGAGAGACCAAGTCCGCGAGGAGAGGCGCTCCCTTTGGAAGGCAGTGGGCTGGCAGTGAGTTGGTTTGGTCCAGGAATGTCTCCTAAACCGTGTATTTTGCTACTGAGCTTTTGTCCTTGTCAGAAGGGCTCATTGTAACAGATTTCACTCTGATCTGTTAGTTTGATTAAATGAGCCTGACGAGCCTTTACCACCTCTGACTGACTAGTACTTCTTGTCGGTTGTATTGCCGAGGAACAAGCTGTCTTGTGCAGTGCTCTTGTGTAAAATTACAATCTCCTGTTAATTACAGACCAGCTTGGAGCTCTGAACTCTATTTTGTCTTTCAGGTAAGGAGGAAGCCGGCGAAGGTGAAACGAAGACTAGAGAGAATCGGGCCAGACTCTTCCTCATATCTCCCCCGCCCTCCGTACACGCGCCTCGGACTCTAAAGCTTTCCTGGACACATTATGGACCTTACTTAAAACACACACACACACACGAACCACTGACATCCTAGAAGGTTTTAAACACCTTAGTCACGATTTGAAGCTCATTGTATGTAGGTCTTACAAAAAAAACATGTTATTTTTTTGCCTTTCGTTTGTTGCTCTTTGCTTCTTTTGTGGAGCTATTTTTAAGAAAACAAAAACAGGATGGACATTTTACAAACGTTTTAATCTGGTTATGATTGTTGCTTATTAAATTCCCTGGGAAAAAAATCCTACAATATGTCTCCTGACTTCTTACTCTGTCTGGTGATCGGGTTGCAGTTTATATACTACTTTGCCGTTTTGGAACATCATTTTAAGAGATATTACTGATACCAACTTTATAAAAACATTTGGTGTCATTAGGTTTTGACGGGTTACAGCTCAGTAGGAGCTGGACCGTCATGCATAAATGATCCAGTAGCAGTCACACTTCAGTGTGTCCTTCTGACTGCTGCTGTACATCACTTCACGTGTGCGTTTTATCTTTTACAATGAAATATTTGCTGGCTAACGCCTACTATTGAGTAAGTGGAGACGACTCATCTTTACATCAAGTATCAGTAACTACTCGAATGATCATATTTAACTAAAGAACCTTTTTAGGTGTAAGCAGCACAGCTATCAGAAGCCAAGACACGAATCACGTTATTTTCTGCCATTTTGTTTTTTTTAATCAAAGAAACATGACATTGTCACAATAAATAACCATGCTTTTTAAACGGCTGCCGATGAAGCAAAGGAGAACAAATCCGCCTCGATCCAAACAGGGAAACTGATGCAACGGCCCGTTTAGCCTATTCTTCATCGTCGTGCAATATTGTACATTCTGAGGAAACCTGCCTTGTTCTTACAAAATATAGATCCGGCCATTAACGGTTTCCTTGGAGGGCTGAAGAGACGCGGCTCTTAACAACCGGACTATTCACAGGTCAAGGAGGTGATCCGGCAGATTCTTTGTTGTCTCTGGCTGGAAACTGTCAGCAGAGAGAGTGGAGAGGAGGCATGAAAACTCAGTGGTACCGTAATACGTCTCGTGTTGGTGGGGAAGCAGTTTTTATTACTCAAAGGGGGTGTGTGAGGGTTCACCCTACAGTCCATGTGCCAGATAATCAAAAACGTCCCAGCCTCTTTAACAACATCTCAGACATCACAGGGCATTTTATTTGGCTCTGTAGCAAAGCGCATGTGTGGCTGACGCTTGGATGTAGTGATCAGCATCAGGACCAGAAGATCCTTAACCCGTGGCTTAGAAGTGACGTGGTCGCTCTAAATTAGTTTTTAAAACACTGCATTGCAAACTCATTTCTCCTTCAGGCGAATCGTTCCAGAACAGAAGAGGGAGCTTTGAGGCTGAAGTCCCCCCCCCAGACGGCAAACTTAAACTCTGGCTCCCAGTCTCGCCAGTTCCACCGACCTGAAGGGATGTTGGATTGGACAACCATCCCCCCCCTGCGCCCCCCAATCACTACATTGTTTGGCCAAAAAAAAATAAAAGGCAGAACAGGTCATGCAAGGACAGTAGAAGGCAAAAGGAAAGTAGTGATTGTGGTGCAGCAGAAAAAGGCGGCACGTGGCGTCGCTTCCTGTCCCGGGCTGAGCAACAATCTTCAGAAAATAAATAAACCAGCATTTTCAGATGATCCCGAAAGTATAGAAAGGTATCCCGCCCTACATAATTATAAACCAGGCATATTTAAAATAATTTGTTATCAGATTGTGTAAGAAAGAAGAAAAAAAAAAGTATATCCGATGTATTTACACACCTATTTACAGATAATATTTTCCCTATGTGCAGATGTTTGTAGGAGAGGTTTTATAATCCTACAGACAGAAAATAAAAACTGCGGATTAATGCAGCATCTGATATGATACAAAAAAAGTCACCCCGCTCAATGCAGAACACTATCCAGTCGAGTTAATGGAATCCAGCCAGACCTTTTGCAGTATTAGGGGGCTCGTCGTGGCGCAGGGGTTAGAGAAGGTGTGCTGGGAAGCACGAGGTTGATGGTTCGGGTCCAGGCTGCCCCATGTTGAAGTTTGATAAAAGCGTCTGCTAAATGACCTGTATTTTAATTTAATTATAATATTAATTATCTGACAGTCCAACTTGTTGCCGTAGTTGGTGACGCACTGGGAGGAGCAGCCTGCTGGTTTCATCCACATCTGACCCTGCAGGTCATTTGATTCTTTGCAATAATAATACTGGAGAAAAAAATATAATATGAGCTGCGTGAGGGGGGGGGGGTGTTTTATGACGGGGGTACACATGTCATGATAGCGGAGGAAAACACTGCGTGCTGGACAGACGGGGGTCGGAAAAGGCAACGGGGTGCTACCGGTGGAGGCTCAAGACTGCATGGGTGGAAGGGATGGGGAAGTTCTGTGTGGGTGTCAAAAAAAACAAGAGTGGGATGAATGAATGCGGGGGGGATGATGCCCTGAGGGGGACGATGCCATGAGGGGGACGGTCGGATCCTCACACCCAACTTGGTTGCCTCAGTTGCTGAGCAGCAGCTCTGTCGCGGTTTCCACGTCCCAGGATTTTGAAGACAGGGCCGCTATTACTGCATTCTGTGAGCGGGGGGGAAATGGAATTTTTTTTTAAATGATTGCAATCAGTGCGGCATTTGCAGGATTGAGTTCATATCTGAGATGAGAAAATGGCTTTGCAGTATGCCATTACAAACAAATCTGTCAACGCTTTTGTGCAGAATGGATTTGGTGCGTTTGGATCATTTGTTCCTTTGACATTTACTTTAGCGAGGATGCTAAAAACGTGTTCCTCGAAGAATGATGCCGACTAAGGCAGCAACTGACTATTTTTAGCAGCTGTTAATATTTTTTGTTTGCCCTGTAAAATGACAATACTGTAGAAATTAGTATTCAAACATCTGGTTTTAAACAATCCAAAACAAAAACTATGGATATTTATATATGATCTATTAAACCAACCAACTTCCATTTGTCCCACACAGCGCTGACATGCAGAAATGTGACTGGAGCAAAGCGGTGCCGACCTTATCGAAGCCCATCGCACACAGCTTGTCTATTTTGCGGTTGTAGTCGGCGCTGGAGACGGGAGCGCCCGCGTACACGTGAGACCACAGCCGGGCGGTCTGTTTGAACATCTCTGGGTTCTGCTTGTACTGAGGATGTAAACAGTCAGAAAGCTCAGCGAGGGTTAGACACACACACACAGAAAGAGAGAGAGAGAGAGAGAGAGACCCCCCACCTGGTTGGCTACTACTGCGTCCTGCGGGTCGTCTGGTTCTGCTGCGGCGAGCAGAGCCTGAAGAGACAACAGCACCGTCCGCAGGGTCATGGCAGCTGCCCTGGGTGACGCAGCACGAGGAGGGTGTTAGACGAGGGGACACACACACACACACACACACACACACACACACACACACACACACACACACACACACACACACACACACACACACACACGGTGTGAAATGGGTCGCATGGCTCACTCACCACTGGTCTTTTAAAATGTCCAGACATATCGCTCCCGTCACTGAACTGATATTAGGGTGCCAGATCTTACTGATGAAACGGACCTGACAAAAAGAAAAACGACAGTAGTTCCACAAAGAGCTATGAATTATTTTATATGAATTGCAATGTGAGAAAAGTACATAAATGTCAGTTATTTCATTCATGCGAAAGGAGCTTTACGGTTTATAACTGCTTCACTATGAAATCATGCCCATCACCTCGTGCACACTTGAATTTGTCAATTATAATTGTTAGAATACAAAATGTATTGACTCGTGTAGCCAGAGGAGAGGACACACCTTGTGCACACAGCAGACAACACTCGGAGAACCAGTCAAAAGGTGTTTACAAGCCCCATCAGAGTAACTAAAGTACCTCAGTTGCCATCGTCGGGTAACCGGTGTGCATGTAGATGTGAGGGGGGGAAGACATACAGCAGTAACGTTCTATGGGACACGTACCTTTGGAGGGTTAAACGGATACGTCTCTGGGATTTTAATTTCAAGTTGAAATCTGCCACCTCGGAAACCAAAGCACAACACGTTTCAGGATGACTGACGTGGATATCAAAGTGTCGTGGCGGGGATCGTTGCCCGTGCAGCTCGGGCTCAATACCTTCATACGGCGTGTCGGGAGGACCGGCGATCTCCCCCCTCAGCTCCGTGAAGTTCTCGTCCACCAGATCTACTTTTATCTGGTTTTTACTCGTCTGTGGACACATGAGAAGGCAGCGTTATCCCGCTGTTCACGGAACCACGGGACCCGCGGCCCCGTGTCTCTGTAGGAGACCACGTACTTTTACACAAACACACGTGAAAGACAAACTGTGACGTTAGCTACTTCTCCGTGTGTCCACGGCGGCGTTCAACAGGAGCGTCGGGACATTTAAATGGGTTAGCGGCGTGGTTAGCTCGCTGCTAGCCGAGCTAGCAAAAAGTTGTCTCAACTACCAACCCGCAATAGCAACACGGGACGGGGGACGGGGACACTAAACGTGTCACGCTAATCTTACATCTGACGCCAACTGTTAAAAATGCCAAGTCACGTTATGTCATGAACACCAGAGGCTAATGCTAACAGACGTTGAGATTGTCAACATGTCGCTACCGTTAGCAAGCTAACAGCCGCTAGCTGCCGGAGCCAGCGAGTAATTAAACACTCGATTAACGTGCCGGTGTCTTTGATTAAAGCTTGTGTCGCCCGCACGCGGCATGTTCCGTGCGGTCAGCGGCAGGTATGCCGGCGCGTCCGTTACCGACAGGCGGCCCGTCAGGTGGCAAAGCGGAAGCCTCGGTGTTTCCTGAACACACGCACCTGACGACAAGGGGATAGTTTCGGCCGCGGCACCGACGTCAAGCTAAAGCTAGCTAAAGTTCTGCTTATGGGGCCCGACCCAGAGGCCCTGTCGGTGGGTAACGTCGGTATCTGACAACGACTACAGCCGCTACCTTTTGAATTAGTTCAGTTGACACGTTGAAAAAGAAGAAGCCGAGTGCAAGCGGGGGGGGGGGGGGTTGTTACCAGAAACGTTACCGCACCTCTTCGCTTTTGAGAACTTCTTTGAACTCCCGCTTGATCCTTTGGACCGCGATGTTCGCCATGGCTGTGTGTGCTGAACTGAACCCCGGGCTCCTCTCTCTCTCTCTCTCGCTCTCCCTCACTCCCTCCCTCCGTCGGTCGGTCGGCCGGTCGGCGTGCGTTGTGTGTGTCGTGGTGACTGCCCGCTCCGCTGCTGATCTCCTTTCGCTTTCACCGTCGACCGCTTCTTTCCCCCTCAGAGACAAACACCGTCACCGCCGACTGCCAGTCCGCCCGGAGCGCACCCAGGGCAGCCGGACGCAGTAGAACCTGGAAGTTTCATTCATGGTCTCTGGTGCGTTGAGTTGTGTTGTTTGTGTTATTTGTCGTGCTCGCCTTTTCAGGACATTTCTCATAGTGTGCTGAACACATTGGGTTTATATTTTCCACCACTGGTGACTGGTCTTTTATTAACCTAGAGGATGTTTAAGTCTGACTGATGCGTAATGGAGCGTCTAATGGATTGACTGATTGATTCATTTGTATTATGGAATTACTTAAAAAGTAAGTGAGCACAGCTGTTTTCACCCTTCAACTGCTACCACTGTCACATAGCACTGCCTTCTTCAACGGAAGCCCTTAATCCACTGACATGATGGTCTACACTGATTGAGCGACAAATATTTAGATTAACTGTCGAAAGTGTTGAAATATTGTACTTTTTATAAAACGTATTTGCAGTTATCACGACGCTCATGTTGCATGCAGAATATACATGTATGTACTTAGTGTTATACTTGTTCTATGCAATTGGTTTCTTATTAAGTAAACATATTTTGGTAATACATGTCCATGATTTCTGATACAATATGTTAAAATAGAAGCATAAAGTCGCGATAAAGAAAAATAAACATAAGCTGTATCTCTCTTTATTTTTAAAAGTACATCCCATCACAATGTAACTGGTTACACAACCGCACAGATGTTGGGGCTTAGTTCTTCTCTCTGTGTGTCGATAGGCAGCGGACTGTTTGTTTACTATCCAGACGTTACAATCGTTTCCTACTGTGATTGGCTCAAAGTCCCGCCCATCACATTGCTAAACCAATGAGAAACGTCCAAATCGTCCTGGGTGCGTAGTTCCCGGATGTGTCGTGGAGCTAGACTGGCTGGCTCACGTGCACTAACAAACGGCGGACGGTAGGTTGTCATGTCTGCAGTTTAATGGTTTCCGTGCGGGGGACGACAGCGGTGCAGCCCGGGCCCTCTACCGACATTTAACGGGGCTTTTCAACGTTTACAAAGCTCAAGTGAGTCGTGTTTCGATGCCGTTTTCTGTCACATTTGACGCGGATCATTTTTTTTTCGTTATTACATTCGACAGAAAAAAAGGAAACGCAGAGTCTTGAGTTGCTGGCTACGTTAGCAAGGAGCTAGTCCAACCGGAGCCGAGTTATATAACAAAGATCGATATTATTGTTGTTCTAATCATTGTCAATGTCGAACCCACCTGTGTGCCGGTGGGTGAGAAGTGATGAGTAGTCGTGATAAAACCTCTTCGCCACTGGAGATGTCTGTGTTGTGTGTCTACCCTGGCTACTTTCTATATTCTTAATTACAAATGTCAACATCAATCATAAAGGTTCTATATTGATGGATAGGCTCATAGGTTGAATATGTACAGGTAACCCGTTGAGGCAGAAGCTTTGGCTCACATTGCAAATACATTTCAAACCATTTGCAAAAACGCATCATACGAGGCCAGTTTCTCAGGTGACAATTGTTTTACATTTACAATACTATGCACGAAAAGACACATTTTTGTAACCCAAGGAATTTATTTTTTGGTAAAGACAGTTAATGCTCCTGTTATATTTTGTATGATCATGTAAAACAAAAAAGAACTGACAGTATTATAGAAGAAAGCCACTGGAACGACATCTGTGTATTTGTCCAAATATTAACCACTACACGCGTGTTTCCCATCAGTTTGCACATGAGATTTTGCAATTTATTTATTTTTCTCCAAAACTGACTTCAGCTCTTAGCTGATGATGTGGCTCATAATAAGTGATGTATTAAAGCAGGATGCACCGGTTCAGATCATTACACATAACAAACAGACACCAGAATGAACTCTAGTATGTTGTCAACAACGGTCTTCTTCTTGTTTACTTTAAATCACAAGTTCCGGGACTACGTTCGGCGGTATAAAGCAGCCACAGAGCCACTGGAGTGGTGAAAGAATAAAGGATTCCCTCCTTTGTTCATATACTTGGTCTAAGTTCGAGGCGGTACTTGTGTTTTCTTCCAGGGCCAACGCAGTCTGCTGAGAAATGGCGGAGGGAGGCTTTGACCCCTGTGAGTGCGTCTGCAGCCATGAGTATGCCATGAGGCGCCTCATCAACCTGGTGAGTGGCCTCGGCCCGTGCCTCGAAAACTTAAGTGGCTTTCTCACATCAGAGCGGAGTTGCAGGAGATTCAGCACCAAGTGTAAGTACGTCCTGGCAAAGTGGAGAGAGGATCAGCGATCCAACTAGCGAGCGACTGGAAGTCCCGGCCAGAGGGTGAACTGAAACGCTGCCCTCTGGCCCCGAGCCACCGTGTCCTGGTTCCTGCCGTGTGTTTTATCCAGGGAGCCAATCAGCATTGCCCACATAGGGACGAGTCACTCGGGGGCACTGTGTGCTGTCACGTCGCTTTGGGCATGCAAATATCTTCCACCCCTCTTTATTGGAACACGTCCAATAGGCGTTAAGCGTTGTCGAGAGGGACCGCGCTTAACACACAGGTCAGAAGTTTCGATTATTCCCTGTTTCCAGGTGACCTCATTGGCTCTTTTGTGCCCAGGTGAAACCCACACGTTCAGCTTCAAGGGGAATGGGGTTTTGTCCAAATAAAGAACGCATTCTCACAGGAGACCTTTTGTTTGTGTGCCTCAGTTACAAGGAACACTTGAGGTTTATGTTTATCATGTGCGTTCTCTCTAGTTAAGCAGAGGGAATACATCTGCGGATCAATAATATAACTTTTCCTGCTCTCCTCTTGTAATGTTTCTGCTTTGTGGCTTGTGTAATTTCTCCTTCAGCTGAGGCAATCTCAGTCCTACTGCACAGACAACAACTGCCCTCAGGAATGTATGTATGACCACATTAGTGTGCTTTTTTTTAATTTATCATAATGTGTCCTGTTGGCAGATCACAAGCATTTAGTTTAGATCACTGGTGCAAAGATGCGTTTGTTTTGCAGTGCCGGGTCCCAATGGGCCGGTCGGCGGAGGCGCTGACCTGACCCTCCCCACCCTTCTGATGGGATGGGCGGTGCTGGCTCTGCTCCTGTTCCTGCTGCGCCCCTCCAGTCTCAGGGGCAGCCGCTCCACAGGAAAACCTACCGGACCCCACAATGTCAGTGCCGGGCCCACGTCACGGTGGTGCCATAAACATGGGTTCAGTGTATTTCACCACGACAAAAAAAAAAATCTTTTTACAGGGATTTTATTGCATAGAATTGAAACGTTTCACCAGGAAACTATAAAGCTGCAAAAGAAAGAAGAAATGTTATTAGTGACATTTATTTTGCTACATGCTAGCTATTTGACTCTTCTCAAATTTACAGCATCATTTTTGAAGATAGAAGAAAAAATGCTTTCAGAGGCCTAGAACTAGTAGTTGGTTATGAAAAGAACTTCCTCTGCGCACAACTTGTACTTCACTCACTTTGAGAACACAAACTTGGCTCCTGAAAGATTATGATCAGGTATTGAGTGAAACCCTTGAATTTCAATTATATATTTCACCATAACATCAGATGTTTTTTAATGTGGAGCTCCTGCAATCCATTGTTTTGTGTACTTTATTCTTTTTTTAATGATATTTTCATTGCATCGCTGCAATTCCTTCTTTTAAATCCCTTTTTCAGAGCAGATATTTTTAGCTGCTTTGGTAAGAAGAGTTGGCTCCGGCCTGTAAGCACTGGCAGTGAGTCCCACAATACAGTACGACATCATTACACCTGTGCTGTTACTGCGCCGTGTCCAATTGTCTTTCAACAGGTCAGCCTGTCAGCTGACTCATTGTTTTTTGTTTGTTTGGTTTAATGACCCACAGTGGGCTCTGGTTTGGAATGGCAGTATGTATGTTTTACATTACATGTCATTTAGCTGACGCTTTTATCCAAAGCGACTTAGTCATTTTATTTGTATCTGTTATAATACTGCAAGTGGGTCTCCAAACAAATGCTGAAATGGTTCACACAGTTTTTTATGTTTGAGTTGTTTGGTCACTATTTTGTAAAGATGAGCAATTATCTCCTAAAGAATAAGGAACTGAATGTTCCCTCAGTGAGGCGTCCTGCTCTCTGAAAATATTAATGAAAGACAAATAAAAGTTGTGTAGCCGGTTTTATCCGGATGAAATGATTGGAATGGCAACCCGCCTGTTTAGCGGCCTTTGCATATTCTGCCTGTTCGCTGTGATGGCTCAGGGGGCGTGGCCTATGAGGGACGCACACAACCACGCCTCCAAACGTGCTGCTTTTTGTCATTTTTATTATTCCAGGATGTGCCAGTTGTTGTGACTTGTTAATACTTTCTTGTCCTGGTTATTCGCAGAGCCGCGGACGGGAGCCTCCGGCGCCACCTGTTGACTAGCAGCCGAGAGCACCGGCCCCCACCCACCTGCTCTGACCGGAGCCGTACAGCCAGCCGGCGACCGCGGCAACACGCCGGACCCATCGCCCCTTCACTCGAAAATCTACTTCTTTTTTTCATTTTATGGCCACGTTTTATTTGGAGGGTGTCGATTTGTCTCGGGTTCCCTGTCACTGGAGCCCAACTGATTTCAGTAACAAAACATAAAGACATAAAGGGTTTTTTTCCAATCGTTAATCAAAATAAATACGTACTAAAGTTGATATTTTGTGTATTCAAAGGCCGTTTTGACTGATATCGTCGGCTGACGGGATCAGCAGGTCAATGCATCAGTTGGGCCCCATGTGGTGTTCACAGCCCTGAATCAGAAGGCTCTCGGTCGGCCCTGATCTCGGCTCTGGAGTTGACTGAGCTGAAAAATGTAGGAATGTGTCACGTGTGTTTGGGGGGGGGTGGGGGGGGGTAACTAGTTAGGGTGCTTGCTGAGCGGTGACGGGTCTTCAGGCTCTCTGAAAACATTCCTCTCTTTCCACATTGAAGTCCCAACTTTAAAGCACAGCTTCCCTTTAAGCGGCTGTTGGTTTTCTGACTGTAGAATAAGTCACGAATGAGTGTGATCACTGGAAAACAACCAGCGGTTTAATACCATCGGCCCGATTCCATGTACTGTCATTGTTTTATGGTTAAAAGATAAAAACTAAAATCGTAATTGTACGATTGATTGTCCGTAGCAGAGGGTCATATTTTTGTGTGTGCGCTCTGTCCTCGTGACGGCGTGCTGAGTCAGCAGTGTAAAAAAAGGTGGAGGTGAGGGCCTGCAGTCTGTCACTGCTCGGGGCATCGCAGGTTTCTACTTTCAGAGCTTCTGTATGACGACGATAGTTCTGGTCTCAGTGCTGAAGCCACTTCTTGCAAAAGAATGCCGATATTTGAGTTTTGATATAAAATGGTATTCCAGGAGAGGACGTGGAAATGATCTGCAGTGGAGGTTTTTGTCATTCTCGTGGTTTCCAGGATCTGTTGAGCTTTCCTCGTCGAGCTGCTTATTCAGTGATTCATTTTATAGAAGGTTTGCAAGCGAGACTAAAGGTTTAATTAGTAAACACAACGATGTAGCGGTGAAGTCTCCAGTTTGTTAAGCATATATGTAAATGTGGGTGGATAATTATAACACAGTACAACAGCATACACTACAATCTTAAAGTTACTTAAGAAAATCAATACTTCTTTGATACATTCTACAGAAAAAAATGGAAGGTCATACCAAGTGAATGTTTTTTCTTTAACGTGTATATTGTTGTTGTTTGGATGCTAGAAGGTTTCCTGTGTTTCTCTTCACTGGCCGTGTCCTTGTCGTGCTCCTGTCATGGCAACAGGGCAGTTGTGTGTCTGCGCCTTGAATTGTGTTTTCAGGGGTACTTGTGAAATAGAACTTGCATAGATTAGACAAGTGTCTTTTGTGATATACATGGTATAAGAGTTTAGAACGTGAATATGATCTGTAATAGCTTCTCTTTGTTTCCATATCGGCGAATAACGCCCTCTGAAGATTTATTTTCTACGTCTTTATAGACTCAAGACATGGCAGGGAGGAGATGGGGAAAGTTTAATAAAAGATCTAACAAGGTGTATATAATGAAGGCGGAAACCATACTAGGTTGTTGAGATGAGCAAGTGGACCATCTGGTTATGCAGGAGACCTTTCTTTACACTGTTTCTGTCGAAGAGAAAAAGGGCTTCTACTATGCACTTTGCCTATAACAAAATAAAAATAATTCAGTCTTATTCTCTGCCTGTGCTTTTTTTTCTACATCATTAGTCCATACATTAAGGATGTGTAAGAGTATTCGATCAGCGGGAATACAATATTATATTCATTGTATTTAATTCGTCATTTTTTCTTTTAATTTCCGGTTACTTTTTCTCGAAGTCGGCTGTTTTTTTCATCACTTGAACTATGATAAACGTGTGAACTCACGCGCATTTGACCGTGTGCGCCTCGTTTATAGCCGACACAAATCATCCACAAATCCGGAAAATGTATTTCCAAAATATGTTAAGACATACAAGCAATTCGACTAAGCAACACTGTTCGCCGAAGAGTCGCTCAGAGCCAAACACCACCGGCGCTTCCTGTTTTACGTTCGCCGCCATAGTTCTCTCACGCCGCTGACGCAGGAGAAGTCACGTGCAGTCTGCGGCCTCGCCGCCAGACGGCGCCAAATCACACACGCTGCACCTTCGAGTAGAATACCGTAAAACCGTTGCGTGACTGATTTTCGTGGCTAAGTTCGAACGTTTTCACATCGGCATTATCGATAACTCCCCCAAAAGCAGGCGGAATCACGTGTGTGACAAACATGTACGTTTGTACACGTGTGTCAGTCAGTTTACAATCCTCCGCGCATGCGCAGTAGTGAGACGGTGGCTCCCCTGGTTTCCCAGGGTAACCATCAACAAGCCTGTAGCGAGCTAACGGCATGTTTAGCTTTAGGTTGTATTCATATCGCTATGGTCTGTATTACATTAGACAAACATAGTGGTAATTTAGCGCTACCAATTACACACTATTACGCATAGGAAGCGTAAAAGCTTACGTTAGCCTGCATTACTTGTCACAGTGAACTTAACAAACACTGGCTTAGCTAGCATGCTAACGTCAGTGAGCGCGTCCACAGGAAAGCGTGTAGCGGTGCAGTCTTCAGAATGACTAATCAGCCGTTCACGACGCTGGCTTACACGAAGAGCCCGAAAACAACAAGGAGAACAACGTTTCAGGTATAGACGCTTGATGTGTGCAGCCATGATAGCAAATGAGAAAATACTGGATCAGTGTTAGCTAAACCGACAGATCCCCGAAGAACACACGGCTATGAGGCGTCGCATGTAACGTTAGTTACCATACTTCTTTCATTCTACCTGTCACTTTCCATTATGGTATTGCGTACTCTACAACGACATGGATGCTGTTGCTGTTGTTTTGTGTCATGCGTGTCGTTGTACCTACTTGGGAGAATAAGCGAAAGGCAAATCCCAAGTGAGGAGAGCAGTCTGGTTTCATCTAACGTCAACCCAAAATGATCCAATCCAAAATCTCCGCAGGACGAACTTCAGGCTGCTGTCTCCGCCAGGGCGAACCAAACCAAAACGGATCGATACTCGTATTCCGACGACTTCAACGACGACGAAGACGGTGAGATACGTGGTTGTTGAGCGCGAGGTCCTCTGGGTGTGGGCCTGTGTGCTGCTCCTGTTTAATGTGTAATTGTGATCTACAGTGCATCAGTGTTGCTAGTTCAGGATGGTGGATGGCATCCCTCCTTTCATTAGTTTATGCGTGTCATTTGGATTACCAGGGAAAATGCATCAAACTAATCTGAGAAGTGGTGAAGAGATTTTTCACAAACTGTTGGGATAAATTATCTTGAAAGCATCATATGCCAAAATGTACATATAACATACGGTGGGGCCTCCACCTTGTGGTAACATTGTTCGTCAATGCGTGGATGGAAGATAAATAGCTTAACTCAAGATCTCTTTCTACTATTTATTCTTCAGGGAGTTAGTAACCACGACTCTGATTCTTCTTGGGGGGTGGGAAAGCTCCAAAAAAGCTGGATAGTCGACATGGAGATTAAGTTGTTTCGTAATTTTTTTCTCTTTTTGATCTTTCACAGATTTTTTTAATGAGCTCCTTAAATCAAGAAAAAAAAAGTCTGGGTCGATCAAAGCGGCGAAGAGTCAAGCCAAAACAAACAACTTTGACATTTCAGACGACGAGGGCAAACAGGGCCGGACGAAGAAGGTTTCCTTTCTAAAGACCCAGAAAATCGCCTCTCCCTCCGAGTCGCGCGAAAACGAGCCCCCCGACCCCCCCGCCGGTCCACCCAGCAATCACCAGGACTCCTCGTCCTCGCCGCGCTCCACCAACATCAGCGAGGAAAACGTCCGATTTGACAGCAGCGATGGGCTGTCCACCGATCCTCGGATCGCGAGAAGGAGCTCCAGTAAATCTGTGTCCTACCAAACGTCCGATGACTCTCTCCTGGACATGCCGTTGCCCTTACCGGCTGACAACATTGGGGAGGGTCCTCCTTGTCCCGGGGAGGAGAGGAGCTCGGCCCCGGAGGGAGGCTGCCAGACTCCACCGGTATCAGCGCCCGACCGCCCACGCGTGCCCTCAGCAGGTCCGTTCACCCCGCGTACGAGGAACAAAAGGCACTCTGGTGTGTTTACTTTGCTGATTCTTGGGACGTTTTGACCTCACGTAGCAACATGCCGTCTTCATTCAGATACCAACAAGGAGCCACCCAGGCCCAAACCGAGGCAGAGGACTCTCGGATTGGGCCTTCGCGCCGTGGACAAGATGGCCGAAGACGCTGGATCTCCGGGTGTCAGCAGGCCCCAGACGTCCCCTGCGTCCATCGCCCTGTCGTCCGACACGTCCAGCAGCCTCGCCGTAAGGAGCCACGCGGACGAGTCAGTGCTCAGCCTCGCTCCATGTCTGTAGTTGCAGCGGCGTCTGACGGGACCACGTGTGTTTTGTTGTGGCGTTTTTATTCGCAGGGGGGGGAAGAAGGCAGCCTCAGCAAATCCTCTTTGGGGAAGAGTGAGCAGTCACAGCTAAACACCACAGCTGATCCTGGATCCACAGGTAACATTCAGCATCCTCAGCACCATTTGTTCATTCAAGGAACTCGCGTTCATCCTCCTGATTTTTCACTTCTTGTTTTAGACGGCTTTATTTCCGACGGCAGCAAAGAGCAGGAGAGGAAGAACTCCACGTCTTTGGAAGAGTTTCACGTGAGACCCTTGTTCCCGATTGACGGCTGGGGTCATGTTGGAGATGCTCTGCCTCATTGTGTCCCCTGTCTTCTCTCAGGCTGACCCCGGGGATCGCTCTCAGCGGGTCTCTGCTGTCCAACAAACGGCCCGTGAGAGCAGGTACATTAGCAGCAGCAGCTGCTCTTGAAGCTTTGTGGACGGAGCGGTTTTGTGAGTTAGCTGACCTTGTTTCGTTCGAAGCAGGACATCGTGTTCTCGCTCTGCTCAGAGACCGCACAGCGTGTGCTCCGGGGAGGTGCAATCAAAGTACCTGGGAACTCTCAAACTCCTGGACCGCAAAGTCTCGGAGCACGAGTCTGAGCCCCGAGCAGCCGATTCCCTCAGGGCGGCCATTTACCAGGTGGGTGTGACAATGAGCCTTTGTAGTTAGAAATCCCTGCAGTGTTTTCTTTGTTCAGGTGTGAAGGACAATAGAGGAGTTCCATTTTATACGCAGATACGGATTAGATTACAGTTATAAATTACACACATCACATGTTGTGTCTTGTCACGCTCCATTTACCATTTCGAGGTGTTATTCTGAGATTTTATTACGTCATTATCAGGTACAGATGAGGAGCCAGTTTGGACTTGAAACGCTGTACTCGTGCTCGTGTAGTAAAATAACTTGTTTTAAAAGCCGGTCCTTGGGAGTCTGTTTCTTTTTCATCATCATCATCATCATCATCCACTGGGCGACAAGGATTAAATGCTGTCGTCAGAGTGCATCAGTGTACCTGCAACTCCACTGACACCGACATGCACTTCTAACAGGAATGGCTTAAAAAGAAAAAAGAAAAGTCACGAGATAACTTGCAAATAAAGAAGGAGGAGGAAATCCTGAAAGAGAAGAAGCAAAAGGTACGTCATCTGTTTTGTACGTTAGATAGAATGGAAGAAGCCACATTGTAATAGAAATTCATATATTTCAACAAAAAAGGCACACTTTGTGCTTTTCTTAAAACAGGAAGAAGAGGCTAAAAAGGGAGATGCCGTTGCATCGTATGAGGCTTGGAAAGACAAGAAGGCAGAGAGTCTCAAAGCTAAAGCCAAAGAAAAGCAGGAGGCGATCCGAAAAGCACAACGAGCAATCGAAGAGAACGAAGAAAAGAAGCAATCTGCCAAACAGGTTTGTCTTTATTTACTGTGCGTTAGAATCAGCACTGTTTAATCGGTGATGTTACAACACGTTGCAGGTCTTTGAGAAGTGGAAACGTGAGCACGATGACCTCCTCAAAGAAAAGTCCAGAAGACAAAGAGAAGCTGAAAAAAAACGTTGCCTCAGAAAACAAGAGAAGGAGGAAGAAAGAAAGACAGACAGCAAATCTGCCTTTTCTGACTGGTGAGTTTAAACCATCGACTTTTAAAGGCAGCAGCTTGTGTACTGTCTTACAGAATGCCTGTCCTCCACCCCGCAAACAGCTTCACTGTCATTCAAAGGGCCAAGAAGGAAAAAACACATTTAATATTTGCATAAAACTGTCCTAAACTGAAGACGATAAACCACCAGATGGCAGCTGGATGTGTAGCAGCGTTTGTTTTCTTCCAACGTTTAAGGCGTGAGAAGAAGACAGTTGTGCTCCATGAAAAAGTCTTAACAAAGCGAGAAGAAAGCCAGAAGAAAGCGGAGGAGGAGCGCTACCTGACGGAGGAGAGAGACAAAATGGCCTTGGAGATGTATGAAAGCTGGCTGGTGAGTAGAACCGCAGGTATCACTCACTCTACGTCCAAGTCATTGAGAGGCGTTCACGTTATCAGTCCCCTCGCTCCCCAACAGCTACGGAAGGATCTGGAACAGAAGAGACAAAGAGAAGAAAGACGAATACAAGCGATACTCCAAGACGACCCCCCACCTCCGTGGAGCCCACCGAATAAAACCATCCCCTTTGGGAAATAACTTAATAACTCTGTGTTACATTTGAAATGTCTTCTGTATGTTGCATTTTAAATATAGTTGATGGCAGCTTCTGAATTTTGTATACATATTTTATACATTTTAGATGTTTTATATTAGCGTGTCGGTATCAAAGGAAAATTGCAATAACCGCTATTACCATGTTATACATTTGAATGTAAAATGGCAATAAGAAAACAAGATATAAAAAGCTTTTTGAATTGGTTTGCTGATTCCTGTACTTTAATAGTTGAGCTGCTGTTGGTTTCCACGTAAGGTGGATTTTTGTCTTGAGATTATAAGAAGGTCCAAAACGTGACACATTCTTAGAAACTAATCAGTAAAACATGATTTACTTTTACCCAATGTGTATGTTACCCATCATCAATAACATTGACTGAGAAAAAAGGCCTTAATGGATATCTTTAGGGATGCAACAAAACAATAAACTCATGAGGGAGACACTTTCATTTTATTTTATTTTATACATGTGTATAAAATGCATGTGGATGTAAAAAAAAAAGATGGGTACTAAATGCGCAATTTATTCTGAGCATGAAACTTAATATCATTCGCTGCTTAGAGGCTTTATGTGACCACAGAGATCCTGATTTAATAAACTAACATTCACAGAAGAGTTATTTTCCCCTTTCGAATACTTTAAGTACATTTCCATGTAGGGGTTGGCTGAGAGAGAAAACAGAAAATACTGAGGAGCGGAATTTTTTTATTGAAATAAACACAAAAAGTCCTTTCACCTGGACTTTAGCTGTGTCACTCCAGAGGAGACTATGTGCGCGAGCTCTGAGTTCTGGACAATTCCATGCAATATTTGAGAAAAGCACCGAGATGAATGTCACAACCAAGCTCTTTAGCTTTACGTTTACTACGTTTTTTTGGAGAAGCAGTCGTACATTTAATAGCGTGAACATCCTCCAGCAGTGTCTCAACTTTGAGTGGGATCCTGACTAAGTGTTTCCATTGACTCAGAACATGAGTCGCAACTTTTACTCTGAAACGCCCCACCGGAAGCTTCCTGTGGCTGCCGGGAGTCATGGAGACAGAGGCGATTACCTTTACACAGCTTTAAAGTCTCAGTCAAGGTGGAGGCGCTGCACGCAAAGTTGCCAGAGCAGCCTACATGGTAATGGTGTTAAGAGTTAGCTGAAGGCATTTACAGCTTGTAAACCACCACCGGCTCCGGGACCGACGGCTGCTTCCAGACCCGAGTAGAGGAGCTAACGGTCGCCGCAATCAACGCATTCCTCAAGTTGCCCGACCGTCGAGTTGCGGAAGGTAACGTATCGTTAGCTAGCTAACGGCTACTCGGCTCAACGCCGAGCGGCCCATTCATTAGCTTATCGGGTTTAGTTCTCTCGCAGACGAGAGCAAATAAGCGCAGTTGTGCTCCTGTCTGTGCGCGATGTTACGCTGTGAGCTAACGTGAAATAACGTTAAGTTCACCGCGCGGTATTGTGGGAGAAGAGGTCCGTGTCCATGTCAGTCAGACGTGGCTGAGCCGCGATGAAAGGCTCTTTATTCCCGAGCAGGCTGTAACGGTGCGACTGGTACTGCGGCCCGGACCACAGACAACCAGCTAGTTTATCTCTGGATATATATAAGAATATGTTTATGTGAGTATATGTATATAATATGTGTATAATATGTATAATAAGTGTGTATATATATATATATATATAATATGTGTGTGTGTTTTTGCATGAACATATGTACACACACACACACAGGTGTGCACTGATGTTAAACACTAAGTCAAAGTTCCCAGTGACATTCCCGATGATATTTAAGGACGTTTTCTAATCTACATCCTCTCCACGTTGGCAGATGTTTCAGATAAAGAGGATCTGTTGCATCGGTGCCGGCTACGTGGGGGGCCCGACGTGCAGCGTGATCGCTCACATGTGTCCGGAGATCACCGTGACTGTCGTGGACGTCAACGAGTCCCGCATCAAGGCCTGGAACTCGGACACTCTGCCCATTTATGAGGTATTCTATCAACGTAGTTCTCCAGAGAAGCTGAGCCAAGTGTGTTATAACAGGGTTCATCGGGGCTTCGCTGGGACAAGGGAGGGGCCGGTTTCATTATTCAGTTAATCATAATGTTGTTGACTTAGCGAGGCAATGGTTCCAGGCAAAGGGTCTCGTTGTAATGAATGCTTCAGCGTGGGAGCAAAAAGACGATAAATGAGTTCCAGACTTCGCGGTGTTGCAACTTCTCTACATCACCCATGACCACAAAGCATTACGCAACCGTGACTCCCGTCATCATAAGCTGCCCTTGAGAGCTTGTGTTACTGTTTCTGCCGTGTTTGTCCAACGCCTTTGGTGAAACACCCTCCGCTACTCATGTCTCCCACTTCTTCCCTTTCGCCAGCCGGGTCTGAAAGATGTGGTTGAATCATGCAGAGGACAAAATCTGTTTTTCTCTACGGACATCGACTCAGCCATCAGGGACGCTGACCTGGTCTTTATCTCTGTGAGTCCCCCCCCCCCCCACACCCACACCCTCACACGCATGCACAGTTTGACCAGCCGAAGGAATAAATCTGACATTTTGGCCAATGCGTTAATTTATCGGACAGGTCAACACCCCAACCAAGACCTATGGGATGGGGAAGGGTCGTGCAGCCGACCTGAAGTTCATTGAGGCGTGCGCCCGGCGGATTGTGGAGGTGTCCAACGGTTACAAGATTGTCACGGAGAAGAGCACGGTCCCGGTCCGAGCTGCCGAGAGCATTAGACGTATATTCGATGCCAACACCAAGCCCAGCCTGAACCTACAGGTGTGTATTGTTGTGTGAGAATGAAGCCCCGGGCGTCGTTTGTGCCGAGAGATTCTCAAGTGGTTGTGCCACCGCGGCTGTAGGTGCTGTCCAATCCGGAATTCCTTGCAGAGGGAACGGCGGTGCGCGATCTGAAGGAGCCGGACCGCGTCCTGATCGGCGGAGACGAAACGGCCGAAGGTCAAAGGGCGATCCGAGCGCTGTGCGCCGTCTATGAGCACTGGGTCCCGAAAGCTCGCATCATCACCACCAACACGTGGTCATCCGAGCTGTCCAAACTGGTGGGTGTACTGTATTGGCCTCAACTGTTGTGGGATGGTCCGTGACCTAAATAAATATTTTATTCACTATCGAAAACAACAAAGAAGACTCTTCAAACTCCCTTGTGAGAAACCTGAACCAGCAAATCTTCACTTTTTGAATAAAGACACATCTTACGCTGTGTGCTTGTGTAGGCGGCCAATGCATTCCTGGCACAGCGGATCAGCAGCATCAACAGCATCAGCGCCCTCTGTGAGGCCACCGGGGCCGACGTGGAGGAGGTGGCCAAGGCCATCGGGATGGACCAGAGGATTGGAAGCAAGTTCCTCAAAGCCAGCATAGGTAACAAACGCGTCCAAAGGACTTAAGCGTAGAGTTTAGTGACTCTGAACCCAGATTAAGTGACGGCTTCTTCTAACACTCGTGTCAGGTTTTGGTGGAAGCTGTTTCCAGAAGGACGTGCTAAATTTGGTCTACTTGTGCGAGGCACTCAACCTGCCCGAGGTAGCCTCCTACTGGCAGCAGGTGAGCACCTTTTTATTTATTTTCCATTTTCAAATCTGAAGGCCTCTCCTCGCTGAATTTAATTCTGTAATCTGATGGCCACGTTCTCAGGTGATCGACATGAATGAGTACCAACGGCGGCGGTTTGCCTGCAGGATCATCGACTGCCTCTTCAACACCGTGACCGGGAAGAAGATCGCGCTGCTGGGCTTCTCCTTCAAAAAAGACACGGGCGACACAAGGTCAGTCGTTCTCCATGTTTTTGTCTCATTTCTTTTTTGTCACATGTGGTTTTTGTCCCATTTGTCGCCCCTCAGTTCTCTGTGTTTCATCCTCATTTCCAACAACTTATTTTGTGTAATCTAACTCTACTCCACATGATCGACCTAACTAACGTGTGGTGAACTGTGTGTGTGAACACTCCAGGGAGTCGTCCAGTATCTACATCTCCAAGTATCTGATGGATGAGGGCGCCAAGCTTTTCATCTATGATCCCAAAGTTCTCAAGGAACAAATCATTCACGACCTCTCCCAACCCAACATCTCCGAGGACAACCCAGAAAGAGGTGTGTGTGTGTGTGTGTGTGTGTGTGTGTGTGTGTGTGTGTGTGTGTGTGTGTGTGTGTGTGTGTGTGTGTGTGTGCGGGCCTTTGATTATTATTATTAAGTAGGAAAGCAAATGTAAACAATGCTGAAAGAGTTTTGACTATTTTACTCTTCTGACATTGAGTACAAAGTCGTCTATAATGGATGTAAGAAGAATTTTTAACACAAGTAATTCCATGTCGTTCTGGATCAATTGGACACCCGGCTGATTGGTTTGTTTTATCTCCTCAGTGTCGGAGCTGGTGACCGTGACCTCTGACCCTTACGAGGCCTGCCAGGGTTCACATGCGCTGGTCATTTGCACCGAATGGGACATGTTTAAGGTCAAAAGCACACGCCGTTTCTTTTCTTCCTCCCATTTTACAAATCCTAATCTGGGAGAGATGACTCATACCCACCTGATTCGCCCCACAGGAGCTGGACTACGAGAAGATCTACAAGAAGATGCTGAAGCCGGCCTTCATATTCGACGGCCGCAGAGTGCTGGACCAACTCCACGGCCACCTCCAGGACATCGGCTTCCAGGTGAGAGAGCGAGCGCGCACGGCCCACGCACACGGCACACGCACACAGCAACACGCACAGGACTAATGTGGAGGCCGCCGCCTCTCTCTGTCCACAGATCGAGACCATCGGTAAGAAAGTGACTGTGGCGAGAATCCCCTACACGCCGGCAGCCACCGGTCCTCGCGCCGCTGCCATCGAACCTCCCGCCAAGAAAGCCAAAGCCTGAGACGTTGCCCGGGGAATCGGCATGCAGCACGTTCCTCTCAGCCCTTTAATTGCTGGTGAAACGTTTGATGGCGGTCCAACCCGTCTGCTGGTACACGCCTGGGGGAGTAACAGCTGCTGCAGCTGCAGGCCGGGGAGGGAAAAGTTCAGCCTTCACCACTGAGTGAATGTGAAATCACGAATGATATTTATCAACCAAATATTTTTAATTCAGTCACTCATGTACCAACTTTTTCCAATCAAACACAATTAGATGCAATTCTTTTTTATTGTTTTAGAATTATAGTATTGTTTAATTGCAAAATACATTTTATACCATTTGAAAAAAAATATTTTTATAAATCCACTTAACTTTGTCAATCCAAATCAGTTTATATGAAATAAAACGTACCACGTATCCGTAATTTGTGCCTGTTGATTGTTCCGAAGAAAAACAAAACCCAATCAGGATACATGTGCCGACTCTTCTTTATTATTCAAATGAAAACGTACATCAAAGATTGCTTCTGTCCCAACAACGTCCAAGGGTGGAGCCAAAATAGGAAGTAGTCTCGGCCCAAATTTTCTTTGTCACATACAGCAATCAAAATGTCCTACTCGTTACACTTCTGTGTCTGACAAAAGGAGGCTAAAACGTCTTGAATCGCGGAGCTGCTGCAGGAATCCTCAGTCCAAAAAAAAAAAAAGAACACTCCCTCTTTAACTGGAAGAGTTCATGAACGAGGCGAGCGGTCAAAGATCAGTCGCTCTCTACCTGAGGTCTGGAGGCGTCTATGTGATTTACAGGCCCTGTGGTACAGAGATAGAAAATGACCTCTGCCAACACAAAGTTGTACTCTTATCTCACACAATTTATCTAGAAACCTGCAGCCCTTTAACCCGCTGCAGGCTCTCTGATCGCAGAACAGAACGGCCCCTGTTTGTTTTCTGTTTCTACATGTGTGTGGTTACGGTGTTTCCTGTGCTGCAGCGTGATGTGATGCATTATGGTACGGCAGCAGCGAAGCTGTCACTAGAAGCGTGTTTGGGGGCGGGACTAAGGTGAGGAAGCCTCTAGGAGCTGCTGGGTCAGAGTTTCATTCCGCCACAGGGACCTCTGCTATCCTCTTCTTCAGTAGGTTCTTCAGGAAGAACTCGCCTGTTAGGACAGAAGATCAATTAGAATAGATGTTCTACTATATACATTTAAATATAGTGAAAAAGCCAATAGAAATGTTCCCATTACTCCGTTTGGGCTGCAGACCTCACTGAGCCGTCGTCATTGGACTGTGGTTTATCATTCTAATCATCGCCAGAGCTTAATGTGACACTTCAGCATGAACAAATTTAGTTTATGCTGAAGTGTCATCTCAGGTGGAATAATGTTTAATAAGCACGTTTTCCTGCAAAGGCTAAAAGCTGTAGCGCTTGCTAACTTTTGTGATCCGTCCGATGGTCTAACAATAAGGAGAGCCCCATAATACCCGGCTAATAGTATTATTTGTTTTCATTGTTTTGCTTTTGCTTTTTTTAAACGCCATGCTGCATTGTTACAGTAAAGCGGACCGGAACATAAAGTCGCTCTTCTTGAATATACTAGTATTTTTTTTATTACTAGTAAAAAGGGACTGAAAAGAGTTGATGCCAAACTCAAAACTTTGAGTAATTTTGTTTAGTAATTTTGAAGCACAAGAGATTATTTCATAAATCTGTTATAGGCATATACTTTACATCTTTGCAATTACAGTTCCTGCAGTGAGGAACATCTGCTGCATCTCCAGATAAGGAGGATAATTGTAGTATAAGAGGGTCATTAAGTCAACCCGCATGTCACTGGAGTAAACCTGTAGTTGAAAAAATTCTCCACCTCGAAAACATTTTGCACAGTAGCTTCTCCCACCATGGAAACATACGTGTTTTAACATACTTATCCTTTGTATTCTTTATCTTATTCTTCACCAAGTCAAACCCCTTTATGTGTAACATACAAGGCCATAAATGGCTTCTGATTCTGAACGATGGAGCACGTTGCTCACCTGCTTTGTACGAGGATCGCACCAGCGGCCCGCTGGCTGTGTACGCGAAGCCCATCTCATTCCCAACTTTCTCCCAGTGTGCGAACCTCTCTGGAGTGACGTACTCCTCCACCTGCACACCAAACACACACACACACACACACACACTGTCACAGCGCGGCTTTAACTCAGGCGCGTGAGCGTTGCATCGCGCAGCGCCGTCGCCTCGGCGGATGGCCAGCGTGGAACGTGCTCACCTTCAGGTGGCGTTTAGTGGGCTGCATGTACTGGCCCAGCGTCAGGCAGTCCACTCCTGCCTCTCGCAGCTCTGCAACATCACCAGGACAACGTGCATTAGAAGTGTGTTGTTGGTGGATGGAATTGTGTGTGTGTGTGTGTGTGTGTGTGTGTGTACACACACACCGGTCAGGGTGTCGAGGATCTGCTGGTCCGTCTCGCCCAGTCCCAGCATGATGGAGGTCTTGGTGAGTAAGGTGGGCTTTACCTTTTTGGAGTGCTTCAGGACACTCAGAGACTGGTCAAAGTTCGCTCTGGGGTCACGGACAAACCTACGGGGACACGTGGACATCAGCGAGAAATTAAATGATGTAAAAGGGGTAAAAATACACCCAGATTACCATAAACAACCAAAGTACACTCTGTTGTCTGTGTGTCTACACCTCAACAGTATTATCCTAACAGGAAGGGATTTGTTGTGCCCCCTGCTGGCCAGTCTGTGTATTACTGTCCTGCCTATGACCGACGTCCCTCTAGCGGCAGAGCTGTAACCGCAGTAAAAAAACGCTCAAACACCACACATACAATCACCGGCCGCCATTAGGCACGCCGGGTTTAATTGCTTTATAACACACGGCTAATTAGCCAATCACATGGCCACAACGCACTGCATTTAGGCCTGTAGACGTGGTGAAGATAAACAGAGCATCAGAATGGGGAAGAAGAGGAGAATGGGCAGACTGGTTTGAGGTGGCAACCAACTCAAATAAGCACAGTAATGCAGAACACCATCTGAACGCACAACGCGTGGAGCCTTGAAGAAGACAGCAGCAGAAGACCACTCCAGGGGACACGCCTGTCCGCCAAGAACAGGACAACAGAGACTACAATTCACACAGGCTCTCCACAATGGGACAATAGAAGATTGGGAAAACTGTTGGCTGGTTCGACGAGTCTTGCTCCCGGCTGAGACATTCGGATGGTCGGCGTGAACAACATGAAGCGCTCAGGCTGCTGCTGGTGGTGTGATGGTGTGGGGGATGTATTTTTGGCACACTTCAGGCCCCTTAGTACCAATGGAGCCTGTTTTCAACGCTGCAGCCTACCTGCGTATTGTTGCTGACCATGTCCGTCCCTTTACGGCCACAGTGTACCAACTTCTGATGGCCACTTGCGGTTTTCTTATCTAACTTACTAACGTGTGTTGCCGTTAATTGTTTAACGAACGATACCAATTGAAATAGTTAATTATTCAAAATATTGACTTGCTCCTGCGTATCGTCGTAACCACATTATACCATTGGTGCAAAGGACAAACTCGAATGTTAGTCGCGATGTTCTTGTGATTCTCGTTTGTTATAAAGTTGTTTTTAAAACTAAAAAGGCGACATTGCGAGGTCGTACCTTTGCAGCTCTCGCACCGTCTCCACGTTGTGGGCGTACACATCCAACCCAGACAGGGCGATCTTCTCTACCGCTGCCAAGTCCCCGCGGAAATCGGGCGTCAGACACTCCACCAGGATGCGAGACTCCCTGAGAGGAGGAGGACAAAGGGGCGTCTTTGTTCCTCCGTTTGCCGGTATTAAGATACAAACGCCGAATGAGTCCAACAGTCGGTCGCGTTCATACCTTTCCTTCAGGTTGTGGACAGTCTTAGCGAAGTGAGCTGCACCTCCGTCAGCAATATCTGCACAGATGTGAATGGAGAGACTGTTAGTCTAATGTGGATTCCCCAAAAGTTGTCCGGGCTATTTGGTGGACAGTTACCATCCCTGTCGACCGAGGTGAGAACCACGTAGTCCAGCCCCCACGCCGCGATGGCCTTGGCCGTGTTGTAGGGCTCGTCCGGGTCCAGAGGCGGAGGCCGACGGGCCGTCTTAATGGAGCAGAACCTGCACCCGCGGGTACACGTGTCCCCCATCAGCTACAGACAGAGGGACCATTGTGACGAGTATTACTGCTCAGCCTGCGTGAACTGCTTTATCTGGGAGGGTGTACTTCATTTTGCAGGTTGTGGGGTGAATCTGTAACTGGGGAGACGCACCATGATGGTGGCTGTGGCGGTGGCGTATTCTCCTCCTCCCCAGCATTCCCCGATGTTAGGACACCTGGCCTCCTCGCACACCTGGGGAGAAACACACAGCGCTCAAATGCACCACAGGTGACACGGAATTACCGCAATTCGTACAAACGGGCGGTTTAAAAACGTGCAGACTTCTTAACAGAACATTTCAAATACCCCAAACAGTCTGGGTGTGCGGTCCTCGTACCGTGTGCAGTTTGAGGTCTCTCAGCGTGTTCTTCAGCCGGTTGAAGTTCTTCCCGATGGGGATCTCGGTCTTCAGCCATGGAGGAAGCCTCAGTCTGTCACAGGAAAAACAAGCGCACCGTGTTCACTGGACCTGCACCGTGTTCACTGGACCTGCACCGTGTTCACTGGACCTGCACCGGACGTCAGAGGTGGACACAAATCGGCCGTCGCGAGTCACAAACCCAACGTGATACAGGAACCTTTTGGAAGTATTCAACTCACATTTATAAATAACATATAATCATATCATATTTTATTCCACCAGCGTCTGCGCTGTGTTTTTGGTGTAGAAGTCCTCCTGGTCTTCTCTCTGTCTCCATGGAGATGATCACCAGGGATGAAAGACGGCCTTGGTGACGCCGATTCCGACTGAAGGTTTTCCTTCTGTTCAAAGCGCGGGAGGACCTTTCCACGGACGTGGGGGGGGGTCGGTACGGGGAGCACCAGCTGGAGAACCGTCTGCGTCAGATCCTTCTGGACCAAAAAGCTGAGAAGCTCTCCGGAGGATTTACATTCCCCCCGCACAGCTTGTGAGCTACACGGTGCAACGAGGTCGCCCTTCAGTCGAAACAAGTCAAAGGACCCGGCACGTGTTGACCGGATCTGCGGTTTGGCGTCATCAAAATGTTGTGACATTTCAGCCGATTTTGTACAAATCGACCAAACCAAAGATAGCGAGCTCGCCAAAATGATGAAACCTAGCTTTCAGTTGCAGGTATTGTCCCGAATGGTATAAAACAATCGTTTCCTCTCATCCCTGACTGACTTTGACCTTTGCACATCAGTTATTGCCCATCAGTTATTTCGAGCGCGCCGCATTTCTTTCCAAACCGCCCGTAGAAACTGTCAAAGTCCTGCGTCTGGCGATCCACGCGGCCAATAGTGTCACAGATACGTGCCCAAACAAAGCGCGGCCCATGACTTTGTTTTGCAGTAGACCAAAGAGTGCGTCGGTTACACTGAACATGTCCCCGTATGCCACGATGCCATGATGAAGAAGCACGTGGAGGCTCGTCTGTCATCGAATCCCACAAACGCCTCGCTGACCTCACAGGCCGCCTGGCGTTTAGCCACGTAACGCAGGGCGACAGAGGTGAGGGCTTTGTTTGTGGCATCCGAGGTCTCGTCCACCTCTACAGCGACAAAAGACACTTAACTCCCTTTTCATATCAATTCTAACCGCCATTTGAACGTAAGGGGTCGACCTTTCGTGTTGGCCGAGGCTCCTGGGGAGATTCTTCAGGCGCGTGGTCGCGCGGCGAGAACACCACACGGAGGAAGCAGCGGAGGCGGCCTGTGGAGACACAGCCGGTCCTTCCACGAGTCCCACGCCGCCTGGAAAGAGCGCGTGACCTTCTGCCCCGTGGCCTGCAGCGACCCGCTCAGCCGGCGAGGGTCTCCCCTTAGATGCCGCTTCACGTGTCGACCGAGGGGCTGGTTTTGAGAAACCTTTAAGCTTCCATATAGAAACGTCCACACGACCTGCACCACGAGGGCCAATATTACAGTGGTGAAAAAGGAATTGTCTCTCCTTTGGACGGGACGTGCACAGATTAAGTGATTTTCATACACAAAACACGTCTAAAGCTAAATATAGATAGATATATTAAATATATATTCGATCATTATTTGTTTATATTTTACTTTTCACGATCTGCATGACATCTGCTTCACACTCACAGAGGCAACAGAGAACTAAAACGTCCCATTTCCTCACCCTTGTTTGCCACGATATCTCGGTTGCCTCACCTCTCTCCCTTCCCCCTCTTCAGGTTGCCTTTGTACTCTTCCCACTTGCTCTTCTCCGATAATTCCCCTGAAATAAAGTCCTGTAGATCGGGCCCGTCGTCGCCCAGAAGCTCCTTCTTTCTGCCGGTCGGGTCTGCGGAGGACTCGGCCGCAGTGGTCAGACTGCGGGTGTAAACCTGCGGAGGAGCAGCGGGGTTTAACTTCAGGGCTCACGGCGTCACCGCGTGTAATTAAATGCCGGCAGGATGTTTACGGGTCCGTGTAATATGCTCCGAAATGAGAGTTATAAACTGCCCTATTGTCGGTACAGCTTAGTTACAAAACAATTAGGCCCGAGGCTCACAGCTGACGGCTGTTGACGACCGCAGAAGGCGTCTGTTAGTCGGAGGACACGTGAGAGGAGGATACCTACGTGTGGGACGGATCTGGGACTCGGCCATAGATGGTTTGCGGAAAAACGGCCGGCGACACAGCAACTTTGTTTCAGCAGCGCCATGACTTTAGCTAGCAGGTAACTGTCATTGACAACAAACCTCGATGAGCGGCTGCTTTGGCCTGGTGCCGCGTTCAGGGGCTGTAGAGATCGTTGTGATTTTCTCTGACGTATTAATGCGTTCACGGGACGGTTGCATCGTCGGTTAAATGAGCCAGGTTGTTCATTAAACAAGTTAAGCCTGATGGAAGTGAAACCCCGCGTGTGTGTTAATGAAACTCAACATGCGTTGCAGCAACAGTCTTTTCTCATTAGACTAATTGTAACTGCGTTCTTTTCCCAAACATATGTGTACATGACAGATTTCAGAAGGGGAAGAAATGTTGACATTCAAATAATTATTCTTCCCTTCTTTTTATAGCTCTATTATTTTGCTAAAATGTTTATTTAAGCTATAACTATAATCGACATTCACCATGAACACAATCGTGACTTCCTCGATTGATTTATAATGCCTGATGACGGGACGTACGTGCTCTACAATTGCGTCGTGACGTCCTTCCTTCCCCCTTTCCTCAGCTACCGACGAGGTGAGAATAGCTGAAAAACTAGTCCTTGTGTTTCATCTAACTCCATCTGAGGCAATAAAGCGTGTTTTGGGCTAGATTTTCTCCCACCAGATGCAGACATTATTGTGATTCACAAAATAAGCTTTATTTTGCGTCAACTTTAGGTTTGTTAAGAAATAAGTTTGTAGTTGTTCCCTCGTTCAACATTACGCCGTTTGGTTGAGGCCTGGCGAAGCGTTGAATCAATGCTTATTACTACACGTTCAGTAATGTTGTTTTTGAAATACATGTATAATGTGTTGTCAGCTGCTAATTACGCCTTTCACCTTCTAGCTAAATTGTTCCTACTGAGCGATGAACATGTGTGGTGAACTGTCGGTGCTTAATCTGGCATTCCGTTAGCATTAGCTCAAGCTAATGGAGAGGACGCCGTGCGGCTCTTTGCTAATGCTAGCCTGTTTATCATATACAGTTCTTAAACCGCGTCCAGCGTTACCGTGGTCGTTTTAATCCGAAACTAACACCGTTCTAAAGTTGTTGGATTTCCAACATGTCAGATCGACGTTGAATGTTGTCCACCTCTTAACCTGCACTTCAGAAGTGAAGTTGAAATGTCTCGATTCATACGTGACGCTAACTAGCGTCAAGGCTCTAAACTCACTGCGTCCCATTGACAGAATGAAGACCATTCTCAGCAGTCAGACTGTCGACCTCCCCGACAATGGTAAGGAACAAGCGGCGGTTGACGCGTTATTTGCATGTCGAGATCCCCGCTAACGCTCCGTGTTTCTAACGCTGCTCCCCGGGTGCTCGTCGCAGTCGAGGTGAGGCTGAAGGGGCGGACGGTGACGGTCAAGGGCCCCCGTGGGAAACTCGTCCGAGAGTTCAACCACATCAACCTGGAGCTCAGTCTGCTGGGCAAGAAAAACAAGAAGGTAAGGAGGAAGCGGGTGTTACTGTGGAAGCTGCAGCTGAAGTGCTGTTCTTCAAAATCCCTCTGGGCGAGTGAATTGATGTTTACATGATGAAATAATACCGGTACCAAAACGGATGCAACTGATGTACTGATCCACATACATAACAGCAAAAGCAACCCGTCCGTATGGCCATAGTGATATCAATGATGTCCATCATGTGTTGGGAGCTGGTTTGTTTTCTGACGGTGAACGTCGTGAGAGTCACTGTGCTGTCTTCCTCAGCTTCGCGTGGTGAAATGGTGGGGAAACCGTAAAGAGCTGGCCACTGTCCGCACCATCTGCAGCCACGTCCAGAACATGATCAAGGGAGTCACTTTGGTGAGACTACCGTTGAATTTGTCTGATGCTTTTGGAGAAATCTATAAAGGCTTATTGTTTAGGTTCCAAACAGCTTTTGTAACATCTTTTGTGCATGCTAAGTAGCTGGATTATAGGTGTTACCAGGCTGCCTGGCTGGTTATTGTTGGGAGATCAACATGTTGTGTCTGTCGGTGTGCGTTGTCTCAATGCGTCGTCGCTTCTGTCTGACTGCAGGGTTTCCGGTACAAAATGCGCTCCGTGTACGCCCATTTCCCGATCAACGTAGTGATGCAGGAGGGTGGCGCTATGGTGGAGATCAGGAACTTCCTGGGAGAGAAGTACATCCGCCGTGTTAGAATGAGGAGCGGTGAGTCTGCAGCAAGATCTGAGATCTGAGAAAGAAGCATCCTAGTTTTTTGTGTTGGTGTTTTGAGAGCAAAATGACTAATTTCTGTGCAAAAGAATGTCTTGTAGTGCACTTGCACCACTATTTGTGTAGGTAAATGCCTCACATTTATCTTATCTGGTCCTACTGCCCACCAGGGACCAGATGACGCCCATAGACATTTACAGAACGCACTAATGGGATCAGTCATTTTATCTCATATTTCTTATGTTCTCTCCAGGTGTGAATTGTGCAGTCTCCACTAACCAGAAGGACGAGTTGGTGCTGGAGGGTAACGACATTGAGCTGGTGTCAAACTCTGGTACGCTGTCTCTTTATCTTCAGCTGTAGTAGCATTTCCCTACATCAGAGCAGAATGATTCATAACCTGACCACTGTTAAGATGCTCACATTCTGCTTTGTGGATGTTAAAACTATCCCCCCCTTAAATGTTTGGTTTCTTAGCTGGATCCCTGATATAATCCTTTTAGTTTTGTGCTTCCTTGAAGCTTAGCGTCTGAATGCCAGTCTTCAGACGGTCTTTCAATCATTGCACGTTGAAGTTATGTTGAAAATTGCAGCCATGTCTTTGATTTGGAATGTGTCCCCTCTCATGTGTTGCTCATCACCCAACTTCTCTCTTCCAGCTGCTCTGATCCAACAGGCCACCACAGTCAAAAATAAGGATATCCGAAAGTTCTTGGATGGTATCTACGTGTCTGAGAAGGGAACAGTAGTGGAATCGACTCAGTAAAAGTTACATCTGCAGGTCAGACGATGCTGCCAAAGTCCTTTCTTTGCTTTTCAATGTATGATGTCTTGGTGGTGTAAACAACATATTTCTTAAATGACTCTTTCCTTTGATGGAAGTGTGAACTTTCTTTTGCAGTGCAAGCAAATATTTCAGTTGAATGTAATTTGGGCTCTGTAATATGATTAGGTCTTGGGACCAACTTAAAAAGGTCTTTCAATCAGAAACTAAATTATGACCCTGTTCATTGTGTTGCTATGCATTACCTGCACATCAAACTCATGACGGTTACGTTCTGTATTAGTTTATATTTTGTTAGTTAATGTGGGGCCACTGTTTTTAAAACAATACATGAGTCATGTTCATTGTGCTAACATATTAATATCTTCTTCTTCAGAGAGACCACTGGTGGAGCAAGAGACCCGGAAAATTGTTCATATCCTGTTATGGCCAATAAAACTACCAACTTTTCCAATCAATCCTGTGCGTCTTTTTGTCTCTCCATTTAAGGGAGCCGCAAATCTGCAAGTAACTCTACTAAATGCTGTTTTATTTCCATTCTGCACAAACCGCACTGGCGTGAAGCGTTGTGTGGGAGTCAAGCTGCACGAGAAAGAAGCTCAATAGAGAAATGTGTGATCACACTGAACATTACACCTGATGAATATTAACATTGTCAGATAATCATAATTACACAACGTGTTTCACTTCTCAGCCTTCTAATTTGACATAATGCAAAAAAAAAACTATCATGCAGAAAACATTTTCATAACTCTTTAATTCTTTGCAAAACAGAAATAATTAAGAAATTTAAAGTTGATATGAGGGTGCTGGCTGATTAAACTCCTACAGTGATTGTGATCGTTGCTCAGCTCAGGAATCTGGGCCTTGTTCCTCGTACGTGGTTAACAGAGGTAGCCGAATCATTTTCAGGATGAGCTGACGTAGATCAGGCTTTTTGGTTCCCCGAAGCCGGTTTGTCTGAATCGCCATCGCAGCACATCCAAAAACTTGAACCTCAGGTTCATCTGACCTGCTGGATTAGTTCATCACTCCCCCAGGAAAAAAAGGGGAGCTCACTTCATCGATGAAGGAGCGATAGATGAACTTTTTTTATGGAGAGACTTCTCCCAGATCAAAGACCCGTTAAGCCACGATGACGAAGTCCTGTACGAGCGCTACAGATGCTGAAGAGAGGAATCATTTATTTTACAAGATTTTGCCGAGCCGAAACGTTACGTGATGAACACTGCAGCCGAGCATCCACTGTCTCACACCCTCATGTTTCACACACTGTCTCTCATACATAAGCTGATACAGTACATATATCCTATTCATTCATAACAATTTGATTGTTTGGGCTTGTTTTCATCGACATACTGAGAAAAGAGTTGAGATCATTATGCTCATTGTACGATGATCATCCATGAAGGGGTCGTCGTGGCGCAGGGGTTAGAGAAGGTGTGCTGGGAAGCACAAGGTTGATGGTTTGATTCCAGGCTGCCCCATGTTCCATGTCAAAGTGTCCCTGAGCAAGACACCTAACCCCTAATTGCTCCCCAGGCAAAAATGTGAAAAAGCCACGGGTTTAAAAGTGTAATGTAAGTCGCTTTGGATAAAAGCGTCTGCTAAATGACCTGTAATGTAATGAAGCCTCCTGCAAGCAGGCTCATTTAAAGTGATCTGATTGATTAGTGACGAGACACTTAAATGAGCCGTTACCTTTTATCAACACTAACGCACTTAACGTTGACTTGTGTGTGATACTTTGTCGAGCTTGTAGCCTCGCAGGGGGCGCTGTCAGATTTTGCCATGATTATATGATTCATTTAATGTTATTTTGTATCGCACAATATCGCAAACTTGCCTCAGAAGTCTTTACAGTCTGTATACATGTGATATCCAGTAGTTGGGCAAACGGTTCGGCCGACCGTGGGGGGAGGAGGGGGGGTGTGTTAGTCTGCAAATGGAACCTCCGTGCATGGAAAAATAACAAAGAAAAACAAAAATAGAAAAATGTTAACGGGGGGGGATGTCAGATGCACAGTTTTAAAGTGGGTGTCCATAATGTTAAGCTCGCATTGTGTCAGTGTATCCTGAGTGTTGCTCCGCTGGCAGCAAGGTGGCAGGTCCTTGAGAAAGGAAGTTGTAATCGGAAGCGAGCAACACACAGAATGAGGATACAGGACCGTTCAATGAGGTGTGTGAGCCGGAATAAACAAAAACACCTGTTAATGTCAACTTGATGGTCTCATTTGGAAAGTTTGCTTTTCTTCCTCCTCCTAATGCTGCTGTCTACAAGCATTCAAAGTGGATTTCAATGTTAATTCACCTGAATGTACAACAATATTGACTTTACGGGAAGTGACTTGTCTTACCCAAATCAAACATGACCTGCAGTCATGTTGGGCTCAAGATTAAGACCAATGTGTTAACATGCTGAATGGCCTTTGTAGTGGTGCAGGATTCATTGCATGATGTCTGTGTTTTGGATGTTTACAGATGGACAAAGTGTGGGAGGAATCATCAATACGTGCCAAAAGCCTACCGAATGATTCCTGAACTACAGACGTGGTGCACGTCTGTACATGGTGTCTGTACATGGTGTGCACGCACAAATGTTGACCTCAGAAACTGAGAAAGAGAAAGTTGAAGGATTTTCAAATTATTGTGTCTTGTTGTAGGATCAAATAAGTCTGTTTTAAAATGAAAAGGCTGATGAACAATCTGTGGGGAGTCTTTTTTTTAATGAGATGTAACTTTTCTTTCTGTTTCTTGACAACTTCTGAAAGGCTGAAAGTATTTAGGTTAAATACCAGGAAACCTTTTCATGAAACTTACACCATTAATAATTCCAGTTTGCAGAGGGACCACGAAATAACAGCACAGGCAAACCTGTCCAACTATGAAGCTGAGGTTCACTCTCATTCGGTAATAATCATTCTGTCTCTCTAGATTTGTCATTTAAAAAAATACAAATCTACTGTTAAAGGAGTCCAATTACTGCTTTTTAAAATGTCATACAAAAAACAAATTGTATCCCCATCATTTTTTTACCACTCCACAGTCACCGCCGCGATTTTTAAAATCTAAAAAGTATGAGAGTGACACATTTTATTATAAATAGTTGTAAGTCAGTCCTACTAAGTTCTATGTTGTAAACACTACGCGGTGCTTCTACCTTGTTAAGGACACAACTGGTTTAAATAATGTTACATTTTATTTACACCAAGTCTAAAAGATGAATCAGCATCAGTAGTAATTAGATGGAGATAATATGTCTTAATAATCATATATTCTGCCCCGCTGCTTTTATTTTCCCCTGATTTAACGTTTCTCTCTCCTCCGTCACGTTTGCTACGTTCAGGGACGCACGTGACGCACGCGATCCAACTCCCGGCGCGGCGTCATCTTCACGCGACAGCGTCCAGCTTCGCGCCAAGCCAGTCGGATGCTTAAACTGTATTTTCTGACAACACGCTTGACCCCAAACTGCAGGAGCGCTGTGCATTATGGTGAGTTAACATGTGAACGACGCGTTCGCTGTGCGCGCCCGCTGCCGCGATGAGCAACGCGGGAACTAAACGCCAAAAGAATCCCGCTGTCTCGTCAAACTTCTGCGGAGTGTTAGCTAGCGCGCAGCTAAAGACGCAAAGTATCCGTCAGAGCCTAAAAGTCCACGGTCGTTTCCTCTGGCGTGTAACCGTTGACAAGGCACCGCTGTTTTTAAAAATGCACCTTTCCCTAAAACAAAAAATAACGCCAGCAAGTGAAATCTTGAATCTGTAGCGGTGGACGTAATTTGCATGCGCTCGGTGAGATGAATTTGATAAGTGACGTCAGATACAAATCAGTGCATCGCTCCGCTGTCCGGCTCCGTGATGACGCTCCATGTCGCCTGTCCGCACGCAGGACATCAGGCGGTTCTTTGCACCGACTTCAGACAAGTCCGCGGTGCAGAAACCAGCTCCAGCTGAACCCGTCAACACGGAGAAGAAGGAGAAGAAGGAGGAGAAGAAGAAGAAGAAGAAGAATCCTCTCTCTTCGGATGAGGAAGTGAAGAAGAAGAAAGAGATCGCCAAGGCAAGAACACGCTGTTGCCCCCCTGGATCCCTTTCAGGGATCCACCATCATTCATCATGTTTCACTGTGTGTCCTTCAGGAGAAAAGCTCCAAACCAGAGGAGAAACAGAAGGATAGTGAGAAGAAGCGAAAGAAGCGCGCAGTCATAGAATCCGGTATGGATGATTACGTTTTACCTGGTCATTTTTCATTTGTTCACTTTTTGATCCGCTGAGCAAATCTGAGAGGCAAGCGGCGATTAAGATAAAGTACTCCATCAGCTGAAAGATTATAAACTATATGTCTTTAATTATGTCCCAAGTTGTAGTAGTTATAGTTGCAACTCTTACTTTAATATTCAGTAAAATGGTAGTTTAATTCACTACATTTTCAACTCGGGGAAAATAGTTTATTATAAGCAGAGACGTTCTGATTAGCTGCGTCCGACTGTGCGACCTCCTTGCAGCCGATGTTTCTCTGTCTCTCCAGACTCTGAAGATGAGAAGCCAGCGAGGAAGACCAAGAAGTCACCGAAAGAGAAACCGACAACAAGGAAAACAGAGGCGCCGCCCAAGAGCGATCCTGTGCAGTATGTCTCTGAAACAGGTAATGGTGTTGTGCTTCCTCATGCTGCAGACCTGAGCGCTTTGGCTGTGCAACATGACCTGACGTCCCCGTCGTGACTAATTATAACATTTAACTTAATGACGATGATGGGAACAAGATAATCTAATTCACAAGTATAGCCAAAGTCTGCACCTCTTCCTTCATGGCTGTCTGTCATACCAGCTGGAACCAAAATTAAATTGTCCCAAGCAACAATTTTGAGAAAAGAGCAGGTGCTTAAAATCCAAATAAACAGGTTAGGAAGTGCAACAGGCCAAGTGGAACCATGTTTAGAATCCGATAAACTCTGAACATGATAAAAGGACGACGGGTTGAATGTGAGGACTGAAGTACATTTATGCAAAATGTACATTTGATTTCTCTGTTTTGTTTGCAGACTCGGACAGTGACAACTTTCAGTCTTTGAAGAAGGCCTCCAAACCAAAGCAGAATGACGCGACCAAACAGACCAAACCAGATGTGGCGCTCGCTCGTCCACGAGTCAAAGGGGGGCCGAAGTCTCCGCCCAAGCCCTCCGCCACGCGGGGCAGAACTACGGCGAAGTCTCCCGTCACCCCAAAGTCAACGCCGCCGCCGCCTCCTCCACTCAAACAAACCCCCACCTCGGTACTCGACTACTTCGGTAACGCGGCCGTTCAGCGTTCCGATAAGAAGCTGGTGGCCAGCACCAAGCGAAAGGCCGTGAGTGCTTCCTCATCCAAACCTCCGTCGTTCATTGCGTTGTGGCTGTTGAGTGCGGCATCACATCCGAGTATTTCCCTCAGCCCACCCAGGAGGCCGATGATCTGATGAGTGATGAGCAAATCGCCAAACAGCTGCAGATGGATGAGGACATGATGGAGGTAAACGGATCAATATAACAGCTGGTAGCTGATTGCACTGGTAAATACAGCAGATACAAGCAGTCAAGTGAAAGAAAATGCATGTCCATATTATAACTGTTTTGGTTAAATATATATATACAAATATTATGTGAATGTTATTTTAGGCACTGGAAAATGACGGCTTCTTTTAAACTTTTTTTATAGACAAAGATTAGTCTGAAAATCCAACCTGTAGATTCAGCAATTCTAAAAATATGCATTATTCATTTCTCACGTAGTGGGCCTGCTTGTAGGAGTGAGACCGGTGCACTTGTAGGAAGTTGCATCTCATGCCTGGAAAAATGGAATTGGGAATCTTTTGGAGATTTGGCTGAACCTTTAATAATGATGTTTCCTTTAATACGTGATACAAAAAGTCAGTTCTTGTTCCAACCTCACGCAGCTAGAGAAGCAGGTCCATGAGGACGAGGAATTTGCCAGAACTCTGGCCATGCTGGACGAGGAGCCTCACGCAAAGAAGGTAATGCAAAAGATGCAAAGATCCCACAAAGGAACGTCCTCTTTTCATCAAAGCGGTCGGTGAATATAACTCTGTGTGGTGTTGCCATCCAGGCTCGTAAAGACTCCGCCGCCGGCAGCCCCTCAAAGACCAACCGGAGGGGCAGCGCGTCGGAGGACGCGATCGGCCCGACTCCTAAGAAGGACGCCGCGCCCGTCAAAGTCAGCTCCAAACTGGCCACCATGAAGAAAAAGAACGAGGAGCAAGAGGCTGGCTCAAAGGGCAAAAGGTCAGCCACGCCCACAAAAGTCAAAATCTCTCCCAAAAAGGAGCCGCTCCCCTCGTCTGGCAAGAAGTTCATCGCCAAAACGGGAACCACGCCCATCGCCGTTAAAACGTCTCCGATGAAGCTAGAGGTGAGGAGACGCCGGGCGCATAAACGCGCATGCATGCAAGGTAAGAACGTGGAAAAACACACTCAAAGTGCTTCGTGTCTCTCGATCTAACCAGAGTACCAGTCCTGAGGACGCAGACAAGAAGAAGGTCAACTCTGCAGCTTTCAGGAACTTCCTCAACAGAGATGGACCACGAGCTCTGGGCTCCAAGGAGATCCCTCAGGTAACACACACACACACACACAATGAAGATTCCCTTGCACCCCGTCACTGTAGCGTGTGTTTAATTGCATTAAAATGTCATCGGAATGCATCATTCAAAGTTCATATATCGGATACATTGACAATCTAAATGCCAAAAACGAAGATCATACTTTTTTTTTTTAATTAAAAAGTCAAATATTAGTCTGCAATAAAAAAAGTAACTGGCTAGCATATTTTTGCGTGCGTGCGTGCGTGTGTGCGTGCGTGCATGCGCTTCCCAGGGTGCAGAGAACTGTTTGGAGGGCTGCATGTTTGTGCTGACGGGGGTCATGGAGTCCATGGAGAGGGATGATGCCAAATCCCTGATTGAGCGCTACGGAGGCAAAGTGACGGTCAGCATCAGCAAGAAGACCACCTACCTGGTGCAGGGCCGAGACAGCGGAGTCTCCAAGCTGGAGAAGGTGACCCAACGCGTGCACACTGACGTCTCGCCCAGAGAAGCCCACCCTACAGAAAATGACCTTTATAATCACGTGAAGACCAACCAACCCCGATGTGTCGGATGCAATGGGAGCTTAGGAGTAGTCAGCAGACTCGCGTGATACTTTGTGTCTTTCCCTTTCCGCCTTTTGGCGTTTCATCTGTTGACCGTCGTCAAATAATATACAATATTTGTACAATTGGCTTCATGCACAGGCGGAGAGTTTTGGTACCAAGATCCTCGATGAGGACGGTCTGTTGGAACTGATCAGAACCAAACCAGGAAAGAAGTCCAAGTACGAGATCACTGCCGAGGTCAGCTCTTTCTTACCACATCATCATTTCAAGCTGCAATTGTAAAAATAAATGTTATCTCACCATTTATCATAAAGTAAGATGTCCAAAGCCTTTTTAAGGGGCAATAATCAAAGGTTTTTCTGAATTATCTTTGAAAATAAATGAGCTATTAAGAAATTATGGTTTTACTAATTTACAGAGCATTTCTGTAAGTTGTAGCAGTAATTTCCATCATGCTCGAAGATGAATTATTTCGATGTCCTGCATTTTCTTTTCTTTTTAGAACCAAGCGTCAAAGACCAGGACTCCCCCCGGCACCACATCCAAGAGCACCCCCAAAGCCCAGAAGATCTCTCCCTCCAAGGGCAATTCCCGGTCCCCTCACACCCCGAGCCCGTCGAAGACCGGCCTGCCACACGGCAGAAGCTCGGGGCAAACGGCCCGCCGGGGGCTCGGCCTCTCCTCGTCCTCCTCGCCCCCGTCGGCGGCCATGGACGACGCCACGCTGCTGTGGGTGGACAAGTACCGCCCGCGCTCTCTGAAGGCCGTCATTGGTCAACAGGGAGATCAGAGCTGTGCCAATAAGCTGCTCCGCTGGCTGCGCAACTGGAACCGGCACCACAGCGGGGGCTCCTCCAAGCCAGCAGGTAGTAGACGGTTCAGAGTAATGACGAAAAGCTGGATACAGGAACCGCGTGTGCTAAACGGCGTGTGCTTTGTGCGGTTTGTTGCCGCCCAGCTGCGAGGTTTGGGAAGCCCGGAGGAGGGAAAGATGATGGAGCAGCATTCAAAGCGGCTCTGCTCTCTGGACCTCCGGGCGTGGGGAAGACCACCACAGCAGCTCTAGTGTGTGAGGTTAGTCAGACACACACACACGGGCATGTTTCTGGCTCCTTCATTAGGTTTTCACAATGATCGGTATATTGCTGCACCCACGACTTTGACCTTTCGCTCTGACCTTCCTCGCGCGTCGCCTCGCAGGAGTTGGGCTTGAGCTACGTGGAGATGAACGCGAGCTGCACTCGCAGCAAAAACAGTCTGAAGGAAGTGGTGGCGGAGTCACTCAGCAACACGAGCATCGAGGGCTTCTACAAAGGTGATGCCCCCCTTTTCACGTTGCTTCTTGGCGTACATATTTAAACCATGTCTAGACTGATGTGTTGAGTTGTTTGTCTTGTTGAGTTTGGTTTGGTTGCATGAAAGCAAGCGGGCCGCTGCAGTGTGACTCCGTCTGTTACCCTCGCCTTAGATGTTGGTGCTCATGCTTTGATAGTATGTGTTCACATTCTGTTCATGCTGAAGATGATTTCTGAAGTGACACTGATCAAATAGCTCATCGTCATTCGGACGACTCGGAATGACCTTGAGAGTAAAATGATTTTCTCTTATTTGTCCAGAATTGAATGTTGTGTGACTGTTTTGTTTTGTAGGCACCTCCAAGAAAGTGAGCAGTGAACACGTGCTGATCATGGACGAGGTCGATGGGATGGCCGGCAACGAAGACCGCGGAGGAATACAGGTTAAAACCAACCAAACATTTTGTTGGTCTGTGTAGAGCTTGACTTTTGGATAAAGGAACAAAGATGTTTGAATGCTCCGTTTGTGATGACATCTGTGCATCTTTTTTCTGCAGTTTTTATGTTCACATAAAGAAATGATGGCTGTCAAATGGGCATAATTCATTGATAACTGCTCCTAGCAACTGTCGCCACGGGGCCCTGAAAGTATCAATTGCTGAACCGCTGCATCATGTCGGTACTGACCTCTGACCCTCCGCCGGCTGCAGGAGATGATCGGCCTGATCAAACATTCAAAGATTCCCATCATCTTCATGTGCAATGATCGTAACCACCAGAAGATCAGGTCACTGGCGAACTACTGCTTCGACCTGCGCTTCCAGAGGCCGCGGGTGGAGCAGATCAAGGTACACACACACACACACACACACACACACACACACACACAGGTGTTCTAGCATTTGGGTTAAAACCTGATACGAGACCCACAGAGAAGCAGATTAAGTCCAACTCTTAGATGTAAGTCTATGGTCGTATGCATTTGGTTAGTTGCTGAAGACCAGCTGATGATATTCAAATGAACATTTACTCACCCACGAAAAGAGGAGGAGTCAAATATAACTTTGCTTTTCATTTATTAAGTAAAGAAGTTCAATATCAAGCAATAACATTTAAGGTTTCATTTACTAACATTACAATTAATTTAATATTTAAAACAAAATGAATCAAAATAAAACATTAGAATGTTTAACTCTCTCTAAGCGCAAAATGAATTCTGTTGACTTGATACAATCTGCTTTTACTTAATACTGGATAATGAATTGATGGTGTAATAGTTTTCGCCCGGTTGGACTCAGACCTTTTCCTAAACGCTGTTTACCCGTGCCCCGTCGTTATGAGTTACAGGGAAGCCAAAATGCTCCAAACTTATAAGAGGCTGTTAGACTTTATTTCACACTAAGAAGATCCGCGGTTCACAGGGACTCGGTGAGGGATGATCCGAACTGATCACGGCTCGATCGCTGTTTTATCCGTTTTCCCCCCTTTTAAAGGATAAATTTCTAAAGTCAGCTCTTTGCAATCATCTACTATCAACGTTCCATCCCTCCTGCTTTCTATTTCCTTTCATCGGACAGGGAGCCATGATGTCCCTCGCCTACAAAGAGGGGATCAAGATCCCGCCCCCGGCTCTGAATGAAATCATCCTAGCCTCCAATCAGGACGTCCGACAGGTAAAGAAGGCTTCAGTCTCTTGGTTTATGTCCCCGCCCCTCTCGCCGTGCTCACTGTTGTTTGTGTATCTTTCCTGCAGGTGATCCACAACCTGAGCATGTGGTCGGCCAAAGACAAGGTGATGACGTACGACCAGTGCAAGTCGGACGCGGCCAGCGCCCGCAAGGACACCAAACTGGGGCCGTTCGATGTGTGCAGGAAGGTGTTCAGCTCGGGGGAGGACAGCGGCCACATGAGCCTCATCGACAAGTCGGACCTCTTCTTCCACGACTACTCGCTCGCGCCGCTCTTCGTCCAGGAGAACTACCCGCATGTTCGCCCGCGGGCCGCCGGGTGAGACGGCCTCAATGCAAAGCCGCATGCCCACGCAGCGGGGGCGTCGTTCTCCAAGTAATTCATGTCCCATCTCATGTGCCTCTTCTCACAGTGGGGACCTGAAGGCCCACCTGATGTTGCTCAGCAAGACCGCTGACTCCATCTCTGACGGAGACCTGGTGGACCGACAGATCCGCTCCAAGCAGAACTGGTCGTTGCTGCCCACCCAGGTAACACACACACACACACACACACACACACTGTAGAAGTGAACGTGACCCACTGACTGCTGCATGATGTCACGCTGAGGTCCGTTAAACCACAAAGCAGCCGGGGAAAGAGACGGTGCCCTGCAGGAGGCCCATCTCTGTAACACAGAAGCAGCAGGTGAAGCCTGGATAGGATCGACGCGGTCACACGTATTTGGAGGGGGAGGAGTTTGTACCTCTCACCACGTTTTTGGCCCCTTGCCTCTGCTATGAGGACTCCACCCACGTGAGCTTCCACGTGAAGCTGTGGATCCTCACTGGCGTCATGGTTCCACTCGCACCACAACTTCAATAGTTTATACACACGGTGACTCTTTCCAACAATTAATACAAGCATTCAACTTCAATGTAGCCATTTTTTTTTCTTTACAGACCATATTCCACCAATTCAATGATTCCTTCTAAAGATTAAATGAACTCATTGCACCTGAAGGATCAATCTTTTTATTATAATTATTTCTGATCTTTGTTTTTGCCCTTTTTATGTATGTTCTTTTAAGACACAATGATTTTAAAATGTTCTGACATTTTAACAATTAAATTAAACACAGGCTTGTGTCGGTACCAGAGATTCATCATTGTGTGTGTGTGTGTGTGTGTGCGCTCGCTCGTAGGCCATCTATGCCAGTGTTTTACCCGGCGAGCTCATGAAGGGCTACATGAATCAGTTCCCCACCTTCCCCAGCTGGCTCGGCAAGTTCTCCTCCACCAACAAACATTCCCGCATCGTGCAGGAGCTGGCCTCACACATGGGTTTAAAGTGAGTGGGCCTCCATCGCCGTCTTCTCACTCTGTACTCCCAAAATGTCCTCCTACACAGCAGAACGTCTCCTTTTGTGTGGCTCCTGCAGAACGATGAGCAGCAGACAGGCGGTGAACCTGGACTATCTGCACTACCTGCGGGGGGCGCTGCTCAGCCCCCTGCAGAGGCTCGGAGCGGAGGGCGCCGGCGAGGCCGTGCGGCTGCTGGACAGCTACCAGCTCGTCCGGGAAGACGTGGACAGCATCGTGGAGATCAGCGCGTGGGGCGGGCAGCCGGACCCGTACTCCGCGCTGGACTCTAAGGTACCAGGCGGGTCGTTGACATCGCGGAGTCTGGTCGCAGGAAACGGGATGGAATTATACCACAATTAGTCTGGACTGTGATCATTAAGATCACTGGTGTATTTAGCAGGGAAGACGGGAGACGTTCTGTCTCTTTAAAGACATTTTCCTCAGCATGACAATCTTTTAATTGGCTGTTAAGGACCAGCAGAAAAGACCCGTAAACTCAACAGTAACGTATTGTCGCTTAATAAGACGGCCAGCTGAGGTCTCTCTCTCTCTCCTCGCAGGTGAAGGCAGCGTTCACGCGGGCCTACAACAAAGAAGCGCACCTGACGCCGTACGCTCTGCACGCGGTGAAGAAGGGCCGCCGCGGGGGGCCGGGGGCGGGGTCTGAGTTGGGAGGAGAGGACGCGGACAACGAGGTGCAGGAGTCCGAGGACGAGGGAGTAAACGCCGACGCCATGATCAAAGTGAGAACCAGGAGGTCACGACGTCGGATCCCGCTGCTGCCGTCACACGCTCTCTGCTCACGTGTCGCCTGTCTCGTTCCTCTCCGCAGCAGAAGAAGTCCAAAGCCACCAAGGACTCCAAGAAAAAGGAGAAGGAAGATTCTGGCAAGGGGAAGGGCAAAGGCAAGGCTAAGAAATGACCGACGACCAGAAGATTAAACCGCTGTAACTGCCTCCCTCCGCCCCTCAGACGGAAATGTTCCTTCTGTGCACCTGCAGAGATCCTTTAGTGAGTATCAGGAGGTCGTGACTCTGGTTGCTGCGCCTCAAACACTCGATGCTAAACCCAGCGAGCTAGTAAGAAAGGTTCTCCACCTTTTTAACTTCCTGTTGTCTTTCTATCAGAGCGAACAAATGATGTAGATCACCTGCTTGTTCTATTGTTCTATTATCTATTATCATGTCTCCGTGGCAACGTCTTTCTTCCATCATCGGTTAGTGGGACGGGTGTTGAGGCTGTAAATAATGTGACGGACGCAGGAGTCTGTTCTCGTTGCCAAGAATACAATACAGAAATGTTCTGTGCTGTACGCTTAGTACCGAGGTTCTTGTAAATTACAATTTTTGTAAAAAAAAAAACACGTCATGAGGATTAAAGGAATGTGTCAGTAATGAGTGTCAGTGATGGATTTCTTAAAGACACAGATTCTAGGACCGCCGTCATACTTAATACGACATAGTATATTAACAAACTAAATGATGGCTTTTTAAAACCCTTAATAATAGTTTGACATTTTTATACTTTCAACAACATGCTTATACTTCCACTTCGATGTTTTACTCTTTTCTTTTTTGACCAACTGAACCTAAAGATTTTTTTTTATCAAAATAAGTCATGACTTTGCCAACATACTGTAACATTTCCCTTTTTTGACATGACCGTTTTAACTAGATTATATAACCTTTTACTGAAAATGTTTTAAATAGTAAATCGTAATAGTTTCTCAATACGATACCATGATTTGTCCGAGATATTTTTCACTTCATTTGAACCGTTTTCCAAAATATACAATGCGTTTGAGCTTTTTTTTTTTAACGTACCGAATTGACATTTCCAGCCTCCCTGCTGGTTTTTATTCCAAAAACAAGCTAAAAGAACATCAGTTTCTTTGTTTTGATTTATTGACCTTCGCGTATACAGTAGACATCTCAAGCGTCTGTTATTCAGTCACTGCCCTGATATCCCATCATACAACTAAAGCTAAAAGCTGTAACTAAGCCAGCAAACACATATTTAACATATTTCAACAACTAGACCTATAGATCTATACACATGCTTTGGTTTTTTCCCTTATTCCTCCAGTTGGTCAGTCTGCAGGTATTTGGAACAATCCGGAATCTTCTTTATCTGTTCAACACTCAAAGTCTCAGAGCACATCGGACACACCGCCTCCGTCTCCAGCAACCTGGACACATGAACAGCTCAGTTTGGATCAGAAGTACCTCACCTGCTCGCTCTCTGGATGAAGTGAGAGGAGAATATCAATACCACTCATTGACTTCTTACACCCGCGAGGAACTCCTGGTTTTTGATCCTCTCATTTAACTCCAGAGGGAAAAAAGCAGATGAGCGGGTTGCATAAAATATCAAACCGTTACTTTAAAGTGAAGAAATCTCTAAAAGAGTTATCGGATATTAAATCAGTGAAATATTAAATCAGTGAATAATTAACCATCAGATTGTTGTCAGCAGGCGTAACAGGAGCCCGCTCCGGATAACATTTTATGTATAAATTAGTTAGAATGTTGTCCCAAGGACGTAATGGCTCACTTCTTTCTTATAATCCTGATTGAATTAAGGATAAAAGTGGTGCCAGTACTGTGAACCAGCAAACTGCTGCTCACTCAACGGATTTGAGAAAAACAACTTAAAAAGGATAAAAATGTATGACTTACAGAATGAACTGAGAGTAGAGCGCAGGGAATTCACAATGAGGACACACGCACCAGTCTTCTTTCAGCATGTGACGACCCTGAGCGAATAAGCAGAGAGGAGGGCCCATGATGAGTAAGGCAACTATTTAGTCCAGCGCGCGCTCGAAGACGTGGGCGGGCGAGGGCGCGCTCGTACCGTGGAGATGCAGTAGGGCACGTTGTTCTTGCAGGAGATGCACAGCAGTTCGTTCTGTGGCAGCTGGAAGCCGCAGAAGGGACACGGAGTAGTCTCATCCTCCAGCTCCGATGTGTCCGGGCGTCTGCGGCGTTGGTGTGGTGCCGAGCGGGTCAGAGGGGATGAGGTGAAACACATGTTCACCTGTATACAGATCCACACTCGACAAAGAACAGCGGGGACGTTCTCGGGCCTCACCGAACCATGGCCTCGATCTTCTTTCTGTACTTTGGGTCGATCTGGTTTCGGTACTCTGGCCTCATCAGCAGGGCGGCGAAGCCGAAGGCCGAGTTCTTCAGTCCGGCGCGGTGACACTCGATGACCGCCGACGTCAGAATAGGAATAACGTCTGCAGAAAGCACACGCGGACGGGTGAGACTGGATCGAGCCGAGGGTGGGACAGAGAGACGTTCCCTGTGGACTCACGAGCTGGAAACCTGCTGATGTTGTTGCTGACGCGAATGAGCATGCGTGCCCCTTTAAGGTGGTCGCCCCTCTTTACGTGGACCTGCACGACATCATGTACAAAGTCAGACACACACACACACACATTGAGCGGTAGCAGGGAGAGTCCTGACCTTGACCAGCAGGTACGAGTGGAGGATCATCAGGTTGGTGGCCATCTCAGCGGGGATTTTAATCTTCTGGGCCTGCAGCTCAGTGTACATGCTGAACAGCACATCGTGGGCGTTCCGGTAGTTTCCTGGGAGGAAAAGCACAAAACACAGAATGCAATATGGGATTAAGATGAGCTCTGGCACTGTGCCGCTGGGACATTGCGTTTGCGTGGAGACGTTTGAACCTGCACACTGCTCTTCTCTGGCGATGATGATGGCGGTGCGAGCCGCCTCCCTGTACAGCTCCAGAGCCATGTAGAGACGGAACAGGTACTTGGCGTCCTAGGAAGAGGAGACAGAGTTAATCTAACGTGTCCCTCAGGGTCGGGCTCACACACCCTCACAGGGAGGAACGCAGCTTCCAGTCAGCCTGCTCTGCATTCTGTGCATAATGTGTTTAATGGGAAACTGCAGTTCGGTCTTTGAAATCAAGAAATAAAAGTGGAATATGATATTTTAACAAGCCTCGGAATAATAACAAGCAGATTCTCGTCTCCAACTAAGAAAATGTCTATTTCTCCGAAGACAAAGAACAAATTTCTAAGGAAACAAAAGAAAGAGGTTGGAAGACAAAAGCCCTCGCGTGAATATTGGGACTCTATGGAAGCTCATTTCCAGCCCCAAAAAACATGACGAGATAAATTCAACTTTATTTTCTCATGACTTTTTATCTCATCATTTTGACTTTTCTATCTCATATAATTGTTCGTCGAGCATTCTGCTGCTCAAAGTCAGCAGCCGACTGATGAAACACATTCTGAGAGACGTACCGGAGGCAAACTGTGGCCGTGGGTCGATCTTTCCCCACAGAATGCGTTCAAAACTAATATACCTCTACTCTCTTTGCACTTCAGTTGTCTAGCAACGTCAAATGGTCGCTCTGCTCACAAGGCAGTATCTCATAGATTTACACACACGTCCCCATAGCAACACCGACGGCTGTGTTGCAACACAAATCTAAAGGATGTAAGAAAAAACTATTCCTAACCTGATTCTACAGTGTGCAAATAAATGAATCATATGAATCCACTAACTCACTCAGAGACAGACAAGTATGCAGGAAAACACAATATTTGTATGTGATTAAAATGGCATTAAAAGTCAAGTATATTTCAAGAAGCCCGGAGGGAGGTGGAGTGATTACCTTTGGCATACCGTCGCTCTCTCCCATCAGGTAGTCGATCAGCTGATTGGTGAGAGAACCGTCCCTGGCTTGACCCACCTGAGATACACACACACACACACACACACACACATCCAAACCACTCCACTGACTGCTCACATCCTTCTCTATGTGCACTGGGACATTCAGCGTGATACTGGGCTCTCACCGTCTCTATGGCCATCTCAACAGCCAGGTTGACTTCAGTGTTGGGACACTTCAGGAAGTGCTTCAGGGCCTGAGAGACAACGGCGGAAGACACATCGCTTCAAAGTGCAGGTCAACAGCTTGAAACTCATCAATTAATGTCAAAAACAAGGAAGAAATAACCCAGAAATTAAATCAAAAGAATGAGTCATAAAGGAGCATCCTTACTCTACTGTACTGCCCACACTTCTGGAAGAACTTCCCCGCCTGCAGGTGCTTCTTTTCTCCCTCAAAGTAGAGAGCAATGCTCTGGTAGTCCTCCTGCGTGGCCTCAGGACCTGATGAACACACAGCACAGCGCGCTTCACTGGCACCGCAGTTCTAGAAAACTAGAGGAGGACCCCTTCATAGTGTTTGTTTCAAACCGCGAGTTACTGACCAATGATGTCCGCGTAGACCTCCATCTGCCCGTGCTGCTGTGCCAGTTGGAAAGCTTCGTCGTTGCACTGGGACAGAACCAGGAAGTGGATGGCTGAGCTGTAGTCATTCAACCCCAGGAAGAACCTGAGGCACACACCAGCATACAGTATGTCCAAGGTCCATTACACAGGTGGGGGGGAAAGGGAGCCGAGGGACAGAAATGGAGATGAAACGAAAAGTCAAGTCAGAAAAGGATTTGGCAACAGCAATGTGAAACGAGGATGAAGATAAACACTGCCAACATCTGGATGTTCCAGGTCTTCACACGGTATTTGCATCTTATCTCTGTTTGATGGATTTGTATATTAAATACGTTTGGGCTGCTGTGTTCCCGCCGGTCCTACCTGGCAACCATCTTTGCGCCGTCGATGCTCTGCGTCTCCCTGGCGATGCGGACGGCCTCCTCCGGGCTGTTCAGGTGCTCCAGCAGCACGCGGATCACGTTGTCCCAGTCCTTTGCACTCTCATACGCCTGCGCAGCGTCTTTATACCTGGTGCACACGGCACACTTTGCATACGTGTGTTCTCCAATGGCTGTCCTCCCCCCCCCAAATCACGGACGCCCACACGAAGGACTTACTTGCCGTCCGCTTCCTTGGCTTTAGCGTACTGCAGGTGGATCTTGGGAGAGGAGACGTGTGCGAGCAGCTCCCCGACCTTTGCCCTACGGTGACAGGAAGTGGAGTGGTTATCATGAGGAGAGGAGCGGGCTCGTCGCTCTGTGGTGGCGGTTTTTCCTCACCAGTTCTTGCAGCGAATGTAGACGGATGCGGCCTTGTCGTAATACTGTCCTTTTTCATAGAGCTGAGCGGCTTCAGAGAATTGCTGGAGGAGAGGGAGGAATAAAACCAGCGGAGACGCTGTTAAAAAGCCCAACGTGCCAGCAGACCGCTAAGCGTCGACGGGGGGGGGGGGCGGGGGGGGGATGAACCTTCATGCTCTCCAGTATGGCCCCACACTCCTTCTTGAGGATCCTGCTCGGGTGCTGGATGGCCTGAGCGGCTCCTCTCCTGATGTCGCCCATCCGGATGGACATCCGGGCTACACCGGCTTTGCACGCCTCGTTGTGCTCCTGGAACAGCACGGTGAGGTCAGT